TAACGGAAAGAAGGAGGGAGGAAACACTGAGAAGAAGGTGGGCCGCAGAAAGGGTCCTCTTTTGCCAGAGCAGCGAAAGCAAGCCAGCGAAATAAGAAAGCTGCGCGCTTGCCTGCGATGCAAATTTCTTAAGAAGACTTGCGATAAGGGAGAGCCATGTGCTGGATGCCAGCCGTCTCACGCTCGCCTCTGGCAGGTTCCCTGCACGCGAATTGACATCAAGGACATTGGTTACTTCATGAAGGACTGGAAGGCTGACTATGAGAGACACATGGACCGCGGAGTTTCTGTCTACAATGTCAAGGGCTTTGCTCAAAAAGAGACTCTCATGTGGATCACCCACGGCTACGGCTTTGCCCTGCCCGTCATGGTTCGCGAGGTCTTTGTGGCTGATGACAGCTGCTTCTCCGTTGAGTGGGTTGAGTCGTACGTTGCTACTAGCGACACCATCGACTTTGAGACTCGTACCGAGAAGCTCGACGTTGGTGCCGAGGGCATCCGTCTCGATGCTCTTTCTGAGTATCTTGACAAGCACATTGAAGGCCCCTTTGAAGACTTCATTGATGACCACTTTGAGGGCACTCCCTTCATCACTGAGATCCTCAAGACTGCCCACCGCTACTACGTCAAGGAGAAGATGCCCGTCATCCGAAAGGCCCTTAAGTTGGTGCTTGCCTACAACTTGACTATGCACATCACCATGGTCGAGAGCCAGGGCTCTGAGATGCCCCTTGACGGCCAGATCGACGACGAAGACTCCAAGTACTACGGCCGTACCGTTGCGCCTGTCATGATCAACTTCCAGATTAAGTGTGCTCTGGCTGACATGTGGCGCGAGCTCCAGCGGGACATCCTGGAAGAGCTCTCTGCCTTGTACTCTGGAGTCTACAGTGGCGAGAAGATGAAGAATTGGCCCACCATCTTCCTCTTGGCCTCAATTCTGCTCGCCGTGTGGGAAGAGATGCAGTTCGACTGCCACTACCGTGTCCCTGACCCTGTGGCGGTGAACAAGTTCTGCAACGACATGGAAACGACCCCTGTTGGTGTTATTGTGGGCCTCTTCCACGCCATCTCTCAGAAGCTTCCCGCCTTCACCGACTGGGACACCCGTCAGCACGGCCACCTGCTTCACAACAATGTTGCGGTCTGTGATGCCATGACCGAAGTGCGACAGCATGTCATCAAGCATGGTAAGTTTGCGTACACCTGCGCGCCACCAAACACACCACCAAGTGGAACTAGACTAACCATTTTATGCAGAGGCCTACCTGCGAACCCGAAGAGAGGCCAAGTTTGATCGCTATGACTTCGATTCGCTTTCCAACAAGTTCCTGTCAAAGCTTGTTATTCGGGCCAACTAGACCAACAGTGGGCCTTTTCTAATTTGCTTTTATCTTTTCGCCATCTCATTTTGTCTTATTTGTAATGGGGCCGGTTCAGCTAGGCGGACTAGCCATCATCATTTTCTTCACGACTTTCCTTTTACACATGATTTTTATACGGTCATTCAGCGACGGCGTTGTTATAAAGATTCTCACTGCATAAATCTTTGAGAACGACTTATGAGCTCGCGATCTACTTCACCTTAGCGTTTCTATTCTCTTCATGGGTTGACCGCCGCCATGCACCACGACGTTATTGCGGAATGTCTTACGAGCCTGACATGACTTTCTTCCACGAATGTATGACTTGAAGAAGAAGATTTCTCTCTTTACATCCTTATGCACACCTCCCCCCACCACTATATCTATCTTTTGGCTTTTGGTTCTGCGCTTTTTCTATCTTGGGCAGCTCATCTACACTTATTTTTATTGCGGGGGATATGCGATATGCGATTTGATTTTACTTGCTTTTTGAAACGGAGAGATAGGGACACTCTCAACATATGTTCGTTATGGGAATACAATGTTGCACGATGTAGTATTATGGAATCTACAGACGGAGAGTGGTTATGCAGCATAGAGCGAACATGCATGGTATAAGGCGCCTTGGGCCATGGCTTTTCGACCTGGCCTTGGATGGGAGTGGGATGATTTGAACACATGGTGCCTTGAACAGTTAGGCAGTTGGGTGCGATGGCTGGGCATGCCACGAATTTAAAAAAAGCTTTGACTTGTCTATTAATGGAAGCGATTTGTTTCTTTGAATGATGCGTGTTTTTCTGATTTGTGATGCTCATATAGTACTAAATAGCTGGAAATAATGTCGCGGCCTCACTTACACGATGGCGGGGTACATGCTATAGCTTAGAAATACAGATTTGAATCACTGATTATCGCTGGTTACATACAGAGTGCAAGAAGGTGCTGTGCGTGTTGCCATTGATACATGAGCTCCAGCTTTAACGAAGCATCAACACCGCTAGCTAAAGGAGAGTGTTTGGAAATGGCAGCTATTTTGCTCATCAATGATGGGTAAAACTCTAGCCGTTCTGTGAACTCTTCCTCCCATAGATCCCCGAAAGCAAATGTCTATTGACTAGATCTTGCTTGCCCTTCTTCCTCTTTTCTTCGTACATCATGTCGATATCTTCTAGTGGATTAGTAAAATACGGCACTTATAGAGAGTCCTCTCTTCCGATGTGTAAGCCAAGTTTGGAAATGCAGACGACACGATTTGAAGGGAAAGCTGAATGTACATGGGCTGATGCGGAGCGAAGAAGCGTAAAGGAAAAAAATAAAAGCCATTCGGCCGAGAGGCTTTTGGTATTATTAATGATTCTTATTAGAAATGCTTACTATCTCCGGCAAGGCTGGTCAGCCAAAGTGACAAATGCCTTTGAGATGTCTACAATTACGACTCCGCGCCCAGCATATCAAGAGTATACCTTGCCTAAGCAGTAATTTGCGCTTCGTCACTTCAAAGTGAATCCTGGAAGCGATAGAGATCTAATCTTCAGCGGTAGATTGCGTTTGGGACAATGCCAAGCATGATTGCGTGCCGCAGTGGGCGAATTGCCTCTATAATCTGATGTATATCTAAGACTTGAGCATGCGTAAAAAGAGGCATCCGATACAGAATTTCATACTAGCATATAGGAGGAAATAGCTCGACATGTAGGGCTGTATAAGGCTATGAGACACTCAGACTACCCAAACTGAGCTGCATAACATCGCCATCACTCATCATCAGTATGGTAAGTATTTGGACAGTGCCGTTTTGAGGAATTTCCCTTTTACATCTAAGCTGACTTTGCTGACAGCATTTGAGACTACTTGATTTTGCTAGACGTTACCTAAGACCTAAGTGGTAGATGATGCACATGAATCTCAACGAAAGCCAAGACCCTAGTGTAGGTAGTGGAAAGTAACTGGCTGGCGAATTGTCCTATGCTGTGTATTGTTGATGATGCGCAGATTTTGTAATAGAAGCGGGGTGATGAGTAACCGACATACTGATGCGTCTGATACAAGGTCTATTGAATCCTGTAGCGATACTTGTGTGGAAATTGGCACAGAAATTAAAGAGAGAGGGAGTGGTGTAAGTGTGTAACTGAATTTTAATTACCCTATCGTAAATAGGTACATCTGGATAATCCTCCAGTGTAGCGATGAGGTTGAATAGCCTTTTAACCATAGGATTCCCGACTACAGTCAAAAGGACCAGCTGACTGTCTCGTCTGTAACTGGAAATAAATTCATCAATTTGAAAGATGCCCATTCGCAGTAAAAAGCCATGTTACTTCAAGACGTGGAAAGGTTGCCCACAGCCCACTAAACAGATTGTCTAATCATCCCTGCTCCATGGCGAGGAGTCATGTCCCAGCCGCAAGAAGTGAACTACGGCAAGGGAAAAAGAAAAAAAAACTCGTCGTAGGGAGTCTGTAAGAGCTAATGCGATGTGATAGCTATCCCACTCAATGAAACGTTAAAATCCTTCCATTACTGATATGCATCCATCACAATGCCTCATCCAATGAGAATTCACTGCCGGCACGCCCGAAATGTCAAAAAGTCTGGACTCAGATGACGTATCTTTTGGGGTTTCGGGCTTGCGATAAAACGGCCCGTAGCGGCACGCCCCGCGCAAGTCCGTCGATGTGTGGGATGGTAGATTTCATACTATAGTTGATACAGTGTAGAGAGTGCCTGTTTGTAATTGGTTGCTGAGAGGACAGCTGAACCTCCGAGATGGAAGGATGGTCACAGTATTGATGGATGATTAGAGACTGTAGCTCTCTGAATTACGGACGGAGAAGCGGCTATTCACAAGAGTACTCTGTGTATTCAGGCATGTTTGGTTGTATACAAGATAGGTAGCAGACGCATTTACCCGGCTATAGGTCTGTTGTTGACTACCTAATGGCGTCTTCTCTATCAAGACGTGATAAGGGAGAGTGGCTTGAGCTATGTACGTGCAGATATCCTCCGAGGTTTTCAAATTTCTCATAGCCTTATGAAATAGATGGCCTTGTACGTACCAAAGACCACTTTCTAGATTAGGAAATTGTGCTAATCAAGCGGTTGCTCGTGCAGGTAAGTAGCCATATATACGGGGTAACTTTGGAGAATACTAAGACATACACGATGCAAGGCTGGAGATAAGGGACTAAAGGCAAATGAGAAGTCGGACAGGGAGACGAAAAAAAAAAGAGGCATGTGTGATAGATACTTGAAGATTGTCAAGAATCGAGCTATGAATCAGGAATATACAAATTTGGGCGGAAAGGCTTCCCCAGCCCATCGCCTCTCCAGATGCTTCTCTCTCCTCTTCAAATAACAAAAAAAAAAGAAAAAGAAAATAACTCAAGCATATGCATGCCATTCAGGCTCGTATTTCTCAAGTACGCGTCTTATGTCTATCATCATCTACCCAAAGTCTGTTTGATACCACAATGATCCCTCTACACATCCTTTCTAAATGAGGAAAAAGCTATATTTCACATATGAGGTATACAATCCCTATAAACAAATTGGTATCGCTGCAAAGTCATACACATTATCCCGCTGTACAACTATTACTGTTCCTACCACCTCCTGCTTTCATATTATAACTCTCGTTTATCGCTTTCCTTTTCGTCTATTACTCGTCTTCTTCTTAGCCTCGGGAACACTCATAGTACCCCCCTCAAGCTCACCCTCCTCAATCTTTCCCTCGTTCTCCATCTCTCTCAGTTTTTCCTGGCCGGAAATAAACATTGTCAAATCTCGATTCATCTCTTTTAGGTCCGCAATCTCCGTCTTCTGTTCCTCCATCTGTTTGCGCATCGTAGTCGCCTCGCTGTCGAGGTGCTCGATCCGCTTCATCAGACCTTCGTTGATCCGCTTCTCCTCTTGCAGGGCTTGACCTAGGCTCCTCGCCAGGTTTTCGCCCTTCTTGGCCTTGCCCTTTTCTCGCTCGAGATCACGCTCTAGCTGCGGGATAGTCTCTTTGGTGAGAGTATCGAGTTTCTGCTCTAGGTGTTTGGATTTGTCCAGGGCTTCAGATGCCTGTTCTGCAGCCTTCTCCGCCACCGCCGAAAACTTCGATGCTTTGACAGCCATTTTGTTGATCATTTCCTCGTAGTAAGCTCTTTGAGACTCGAGTTGGCTTGTAATCAAGTGAGTATACTCCATGCCAATTGTCTGCAGCTTTGCCCGTGGGACTACATCATCGTCCTCTCCTTCGCTATTGGCCGTGTCATTCCCTCTCATCGGAAGCTCGACAACCTTGCCATCGCCTTTATCGCGAATGAGGCGATGCACCCACATATCGCCGGCGTAGTCCCACACGTATTGCGTCTCCAGCTCCAAAGCAAAGCAGTGTGCCGTGTCTTTCCAGTGGTCCTTGGCGTGACCCCCCTTATATCGACCGCAACCCACGTAACCACATATCAAGCAAATCCAGAGGTCGTCGACACAATCGCAGACGCTGCACAAGTTGGAGGATGATCCCCCAAAAGACTGGCTGTAAGGATTTGACGGATCGCTCTCTTCTGAAGGATTTGTGAATCGGCAAACTGGGCATCCCGCTCCTTTCCAGCTTTGTAAACAGGTGCAGTGGAAAACATGAGAACAAGGCACTGTCATCAATCCGTTCGTTTCGTCCATTCTCTCTAGACAGACTGGGCATGTGGGCAACTCCACAAGGTTTGGCGTGGGAGGAGGAAAAGGCTTCAAGCTATTCGCAACGGCCTGGCTGGATGAGATGGAGTAGTCACGTCCCCTTGCTCGAGTTGGTCTTTCAAACGTGATGCTTTTCACAAACACCACATGGCAGGCTTGGGACTATTCGCTATTGTTAGTATGCAGCCACTCCTTCAACAACAAAACCGGTTGATTGTCATACGTACCCCCATAGAGTTGAAAATCTTGCCATCATACTCTCGCCTCCATTGTTTCGCCCGTTTGCTATCCCGAAACTTGAGTAGAACCAAGTACCGACTCATTCGCGATGTCATGACCATACGACAATGGCTGATATCTCCTTGCCACCGCTCTCCCAAGAATCCCAAGAAGTCTGAAGGCGACATGTAAGCAGGGACGGCAGGGATACATAGCGTGGTGCAGTCTTGCATATCACCAGCCTGCTCCTCCTCTACGTCCTCGTTGTAGAGTCCAGGTGTCTCTTCCCCCTCTTTATAGAAATGCACGATGCCCCATCCAACTTCGGTATTCTTCCCTTCGAATTCGATAAACTCTGCCTTCGTAGCCGTCCCTGCGCCACTGAATGACGGTCCCAAAGTTGGCGCAGCTGATGGCCCAGCCGCAGCTGCCGCCTTGCTGCCCTCTGCAGCCATGTTCCTCTCGTAGATCAAGCTAGGATCTACAGTCTCGATGTTTATGCGTCCGAATCGCCAATCCTGGATTGTAGTTTGCGACCGCAGAGTGCTCGACGGCGATGAGATGTTCGTTCGCTCTGACGGTTGTCGTCTGGACAAAGGCTTGATTTTGTGTCCGTTTTCGACCGATGCTCGCGGAACCCCACCGTCTACAATTTCTGTCTTCTGGTTTGCGCCAACCACGGCTCTGCGGTCCAGAGTCGCCGATGCGCCAAACGATCTTCGTCTTTTTGTATCTAGTCTCTCGATATTGTATGTCTCCGAGGGATAAGTTCGAGGATGTGCGGGAAGATTGTCAAAAATGCTGGCTTCGTCCGACGGTAGCCAAATATTCTGGCTGCTGCCTTTAGCAGGAGCTCTCGCTTCGGCGGCGGGGTTTTCGGTTGGATAAAGCTCGAATTTAATGTGGAAGAAATAAGAAGTCATTTCTAAGCTGTCGATGCCGGCGAAGATTCATAAGAATGTGCGTTCGTAAAAACTTGCCGGACGTCGTGGTCGAAGGAGCAAAATGGTGGGATGCCGAGGTGGCAAGAATTGGAGGCTCGTGGGATTATTAAGGCGGCAGAAGACGCTGAACTTGAAAAGAGTAGGTTGATATTCGGTCGATGTGCATAGCACCGAACAGAAACATGGACGCAGAGGCTGCAATTTATAATGAGAAGCAGAAAATTAAGAGCGAACGAAGCTTTCGGTTGAAGGTTTCCCACCAAAAGCGCCATGCGACTCCATCGATACGTCGTTTCTAACAGTGGAGATAACCAAGAAGCTACTCCACCTCGCCAATTTGCCCAACAGAGGGAGCCACTTTCAGTTCAGTTATCTACGTACGATCAACTACGTGATGGCACACAATTTTCACAAAAGGTCATTATAGAGATTGAAACTTTGCAAGTTAAACCCGTTCTTTTGAACGGAATGTGCTTGTATTGACGCGCGCCTCAATATTGGCAACGCAGAAATGTGCTAGCATAAGTATTGACGACCATCCAAGTCGTCAAGTTCCCATATTTGTCGTGAAGTTCCATTTAACGCCCAAACAATCATTACTGTAATCCATCGCAGACACCTTACTGGCCACCACGCAGACGGAGGACCAAGTGCAGGGTGCTCTCCTTCTGGATGTTGTAGTCGCTCAGGGTGCGACCGTCTTCCAGCTGCTTACCAGCGAAGATAAGGCGCTGCTGGTCAGGGGGAATGCCCTCCTTGTCCTGAATCTTTGACTTGACGTTGTCGATGGTATCAGATGACTCCACTTCTAGTGTGATGGTCTTGCCGGTCAAAGTCTTGACAAAGATCTGCATACCACCACGAAGACGAAGGACCAGGTGGAGAGTAGACTCCTTCTGGATGTTGTAATCGCTCAGGGTGCGACCGTCCTCGAGCTGCTTACCAGCAAAGATGAGACGCTGCTGGTCGGGAGGGATACCCTCCTTGTCCTGGATCTTGGACTTGACGTTGTCAATGGTATCGGATGACTCGACCTCGAGAGTGATGGTCTTGCCAGTGAGGGTCTTGACGACTGAAATGCATATTAGAATCATGTTTCAGCGTGGAGAGAGATATCAAATTGACTTACAGATCTGCATACCACCACGGAGGCGGAGGACCAGGTGGAGGGTAGACTCCTTCTGGATGTTGTAGTCGGACAGAGTTCGGCCATCCTCGAGTTGCTTGCCAGCGAAGATCAGACGCTGCTGGTCAGGAGGAATGCCCTCCTTGTCCTGAATCTTGGACTTCACATTGTCGATAGTGTCGGAAGACTCCACCTCGAGAGTGATGGTCTTGCCGGTGAGGGTCTTGACGAAGATTTGCATGGTCGCGGATTAAGCGGTGATCGCTGAAGAATGGTTGGAGTTTGGTATAGTAGAAGATTCGCTGGTAGCGGATATTCCTTAGGGAGCAGAAGAAGAGATGTGTGTGCGGATGGAAAAGAGAAGAGGAAGCGTGAGTTGCTGACAGGCAGGCGGTCCTTTATGTAGTGACAGCGCAAGGAGGAGGCAAGTGGAAGCCTGAGGGGGCGGTGACCGACAAGACGAGAAGGCGCAGTGACCAGCCCAGGCGCGGTGCAGCTGGCCCAGCAGGAGGTCACTGCTACCCGCGCCGATGAGTAACTGGTGGCAAGCGGTCCCACGCATGATTCATCAGCCAATGCAATGGCCCCGAGAAGGCTCCAGAATCATCCGGGGAAGGCGAGGCGCCTGTTGTCGGTACCGCATCCGCACGCAACGGCTGGTGGGCCTCGAGGTATCGTGGACCTGCATCCGGCTACGCTGCCCTCCACTTGGGGGTCAGGCATTCAGCCTATCGAACGCGGTGGGGCGCTGTAGCGCTCTACCTTAGCTGGTGCTGCCTGTCGCCCCTCTTTTGCGTTCCCCCAGAATCAATGTCTCTGCGCAGCCCAGCGGGCTCGGCGTGGCAAATAACTGAATAGTTTTGCGCAGAGAGGCGAATAACGGAAAATAAGATATGCATCTATATGACATCTGTTATCCATGTTGTTGCAGTTGTTTTTCTCCCATCTTTCATTCATTATTTCCTCAGAAACGATGTGCATGCCGCATTTCGCCCGAGATACCACCCGTACGGAGATGCTCGGAGCAGCCCCTAGAAACTCGCGTTATCAGACCAGCGGTCAACATCAGTGACGTAGTTCACTGGCTGTTTACTGGCTGTTCACTGCGCTTTCCAGGCTCGGCTACCGCACCAGCGCGCAACGGCTTACCTCATTTGTGCCAAACGCAAGCGCAGCTTATCAAACACACTGGCCTAGCAACAGGAAAGAATCTTGCGCAATCAGGATTTCGTCATTCGGATCAGGGGTCGTCTCGCCATGCAGAAATTGCATCATCTTCATGATTTCACCACAGGAGGGGCCGAAACTGGCGTCCGGTTTTAGTACCCGCAGTTTCGCGCAAGCCGCTCTTGTGGGGGTTGGTATTTATTTGAACATCGCGTGAAGTAGTTTTGTCAAAAATGCTTTGCTAGAGATGGTAAAAATGCCGAGCTCTGGCGTACAAAAGCGGCCAATTCTCATTGGCCGGGAAACGACGTTCACAGACTGTTACAGAACTCACTGAACAGTACTGATAGCGCGTCACTTCTTCTTTCAGCGCTCTTATCTGGTCCCGTGTACCCTGATGGCTGAATATCAGTAACGGGAAAAAAAACCAGCGTTGATTCCTTGAGACCGTAACCCGTGCTATTGGATGAACGACAACCTTGATGGTCTTAATGTTATAAACTAAGGAGACGATCGCTCAGATCATGAAAACCAAGCTGCTAGAACACCTGAATTAAGTTAGATAGGCCAGATGTTATGATCCCTGCCTGCAGTCGATCCGGATCAGCCCGCCAGGAACAACTATGTTGCCACTTGCCCATGAGGCGGCCCCTGCTTTATGTCGTCTTCTGGGCGGAATCTATCAAGCCCATCTAAGTTAGTGCATATTATATCTACAATGGAGCGTCATTCATAACCCAATAATCAAGACGAGATTCTCTAAAGTGGGAGGAATACAGCGTGCTCAGGTTTAGAAAAATAATATGAGAATCTCTAATGTGAAGTTCCTCTCAAAAGTAAAGGCGCCAGCATGGTCATGCACTACTGCTCCTATAGAACACAAGTGAACATGCCCATCTATCTGACGGGTTTCAAGCTGGTAAGCCCTAAGAAATGCAAGTGACTTCGCCACATTCTCGCTTGAATGATGCGTGCTTCGTTCAAATACCGCGAAAGAAAAGCAAAGGTCTATCAAGTTTCGGCAAAACTAGAGGATTGATGTAGAGTGTATTTGAAGGACCCCTGAGATGCTTGAATGTCAGACTGATGTTAATGGCAAAAAACCCTCGGAATATGCAACAGTTCTATGAGTACCTGAATCCTCATTGTAGTCTCACCAGATCTGTCATTTTGTTAGAGATAGCCCGGATAATATAAGTTAGTCGAAAAAATACTGAATAAAATTCTATTATCGAACAAATAGTAAGGAACAGGCATGCTAAGTGGGCGGCTTTATATGTGCACTACTGAGAGTATCATTCTTTTCATTCTTTGGAGAGTGAGATCTAGACCACTATCTAACACTGAGATATTATTTCTAATACCTAATAAATTCTTGACTTCCTTTTCCATCTACAATCTAGGGTTATTGGTTTCTGCCATATGCTAGCATTTTCTTTTGACATTAAAAGTGGTGATCCTATATGATGTCTCATAGCAAAAACGCACTTTTATCGGGGTATTTCCTGGTAAACTTTGGAAGACTGAATGCACACATAATTGTAGAACTGGATACTAGACATTGTTCTTCTTTACCTACAGAATCCCGGACAAGTCTTAGAGGATGTACCTGAATATGATTGACCAAACATATACTTCTATACCATCTCTTGGTTGACGCTTGATGTAGCTTACAGGAGATTTTACCGTTGGCAGCGCGTTTGGCGCGTCCCATGCTTAATTGGGATAGATGGACGTGGTTGATTTCTGTAGTTGTTCATAGCCAAGTGTTAAAGATAAGGTTGGATCTCTTTGTTGGTGGTTCGTTGTTACCCAATAGACGCATCTAACAGGGATTGAAGGTTGCTTCGGCTGCTGATAGAGTTCACTAGAGCTCACTGCAAGCAGACTTGTGTCTCAAGTCCAGAGTTAACGCTTCTCCACATTATGCACCAAAACATCAGTCAGTGTCAATGGCTTTGTTTCCACTGACAGTTGCGCGATCAAAGACAAATTCCAGACACCTTTGTGCTCTCTCCTCCCTCGCTTGGGATGGTATGATGAGAGCAGACGCAAGCACATGTTAATCGCGAGACAATATAGAGTAAACCCACTAGCATTGCCCCGTACTACCTTATACGGAGCGGCATGCCTCGTTTCAGCAGCCTTACCGTGCCGTATCGCCGTTCGTCCGTCCGCGGCTAGCGCTGAAGATTTACCGGTTGCTCCCTGTAACGTTAATATTACTGGTACTAAAGATAGAGATCACATGGGAATTGGCTCGAAGTTGGACGCGCTCCTAATTTCAAAGAGAGCAAGCCGAATAATTGCTTGAATCAGCATTTTCTGCTTGGAATGCTCCCTATTTTCATTTTTTCTCTGTCGAAAAAGCGAATAAAAGAGTGTTGCGAAGCTGAACAAACATCTGACGCATCACACCAACTAAGAATCTTAAGCCCCTCCTTCGGTCTACGCAGCAAAGCGTCATTCACCCCGTGCCAGCTTTTCAGACTAACAGCTGGAGCTGCGGTACTAGAGGGGTTGATCTGTTTTTGTCCACTTTTTTTCTTTACACATCAAGCTTCGCACAGCTTGAGCGTTCTCCCTCACTCACCACGTCGATCAGAGTTACAGCGGTATTATTATTGGTAGCGAGACACGAAAAAACTGAAAAAAAGAGGATTTTGCAAATATGGCCTCGAAAGAAGTCGCGGCGTCGACTGCGACAGATGCAGAGCCTCATGAGGCATCGGCTGAGGGGTCTGAGCAACCCCAGAAAGAGCTCTACCCCATGATCAACTGGAAGTACGACCTGTTCCTCTACGGCATGGGCAATCTGGTAAACCTGTTCTTCAGAGAGGTTATACCACGAGGCGCATGGAGAGTTCCACAGAATGGACCTGTACTCTTTGTCGCTGCGCCGCATGCGAACCAGGTATGGAGTTCCTATCTTTTCTGAATGATTTCCTTTCTAGTGTTTTGCGATCAAAACGAAGCCAAAAGCAGACGTCATGCTTACGCGAAACCCAACAGTTTGTCGATGCCATCCTTCTGCAACGAACTTTGCGACTAGACGCCAACCGCCGAGTATCGCTCCTGATTGCGCAGAAATCTGTCCACGGTTTCATTGGCTGGGGATCCCGCCAGGTCGGCTCCGTTCCCGTCGGGCGAGCACAAGACGCCGCGAAGCCTGCAACGGGCTTCATCTATCTCCCGGACCCGATCAACGACCCGACGCTGGTTCGAGGAGTGGGTACAAAGTTTGGCGAGGGCGAGGGCGAGCCTCAGGGAATGCTGTTTTTGCCCCCGGGCAAGAAGACATCGGGCGAAAGTGTCAACATTGACCAAATTCTTGGCCCTGAAGAGATCCGCATCAAGCGACCTTTCAAGACTCAGCTGGGCCTGAAGCAGCTCACCGGTCGAGACGATATTGATAAAGATGGCAACTTTACGAATAAATCGGTCAACGGCCCTGCACAGGGATACCAGGGGACTAAATTCAAGCTTGCGCCTCATACGGATCAGACAAAGGTATATGAGGCTGTCTTTGCGCGACTGAGGAGCGGTGGATGTGTCGGTATCTTCCCCGAAGGCGGCAGCCACGATCGCTCCGAGCTGCTCCCAATCAAGGCCGGCGTGGCCATCATGGCTCTGGGAGCGCTGGCGGAGTCGCCCAACTGTGGCCTCAAGATTGTGCCCGTGGGCATGAACTACTTCCACCCACACAAGTTCCGCTCGCGTGCTGTTATTGAGTTTGGAGCGCCCTTTGAGATTCCGCCGCACGTGGTTGAAATGTACCGGAATAACCAGCGAAGAGAGGCCATCGGCCAGGTCATCGACACTGTCTACCAAGCTCTCAGCTCTGTGACCGTCTCGACTCCAGACTACGACATCCTGATGATGATCCAAGCAGCGAGAAGACTCTACAATCCTACCGGCAAGAAGCTGCCTTTGCCCGTCGTGGTGGAATTAAATCGACGCTTGGCCCTGGGTTACGAGCGGTATAAAAACGATGAGAGGATAACTAAGCTGTCTAAGAGCGTGAAAGAGTACAATTCACAACTGCGCTATCTCAATTTGAAGGATCACCAAGTGCAGTACGCCACTATGTCGATCTGGAAAGTCATTGTGCTATTCATCTACCGCTCGATCAAGCTCCTGATTCTCTTCCTCTGCACGGTTCCCGGCCTCCTCCTATTCTCCCCAGTCTTTGTGGCAACGAAGATTATCAGCCGAAAGAAGGCCAAGGCAGCACTGGCGGGCTCAACTGTCAAGATTCGTGGACGTGACGTCATGGCCACATGGAAGATTCTCGTTGCCTGTGGATTGGCTCCAACGCTTTATCACGGCTACAGTATTGCCGTGGTCGCTAGGGCCTGGTATGATCGTCTCTGGGGCTATCTACCGGATTGGGTGCCTCTCTGGTTGGTGTACTTGGCTACTTGGGTGGCCTGGACGGCCATCACTATTGCTGCGCTGCGATTCGGAGAGGTGGGAATGGACATTTTCAAGTCTCTTAGACCGCTGGTGCTGTGTCTGGTTCCAGCATCTGATTACAACATCCATAAGCTGAAACTGAGGCGGGCAGAGCTGAGCGCGCAAGTAACGGAGCTGATCAACACACTTGGACCAGACATGTTCCCCGACTTTGATAAAACAAGACTCGTTCCTGATTTCACGAAAGTCGAGACAGGTGGCACTCAGTCATCGCCCGCAGAGACTCGCCCCCGGCGCGACAGCGACCTGTCAAGCACCGGTGTCGACTTGGAGACGCCCCCGGCGCTGTCACGGCGCAGCACTACGCAGTCCAGCCGCTTGTTGCCTAGGAACGACTCTTTCAGTAACATTGGCAGAGTTGGCATCTTCTCAACACGGCCGCCATCACGATCGCGCAGTCGATCCAACAGCTCCGGTGGCGGCTTTGGGTCTAGCGGCTTCCCAATCAGCGGATTCACAACTCTGGATTCTGCTGAAGGCTTTGGTGAAGCTAGCCGCAAAATCAGAGAAGCCATGAAGGATAGGCGGAGGAAGTCTGATAAGGTCAAGATGCAAAGCGGTGCAGATGAGGACGAGAATTCTGATAGCGATGAAGACGGATACAACGAAGCGAGGAAGAAGAATGTGTAAGAGAAGCGACGGGCAACCCGCTTAATGAGGGTGACTTGTGCGCGGGTGTTACACATACTGTCCCTTTTGCTTGTCCTTTCTTTCTGCCTTTTTCCATCTTTGTTTAATTTTCTGCTTTGGGGAGGTTTTATTCTTTCTTTTTGTGTATATGTATTTTATCGAACTTCTCTAGGGAAATAGCGAATGTGGGTTTCTTGTTGGCATTTTTTGGGCCAGCCTTAAGACTTAAGAGCCTTTATGGTCAATCATTCACTGTTCCAATGACATGCAAGGTGGTTTTGTTATGGGTATTAGCGAAAAACTTCCTATTGATCTGAACATCTGACATGCTCCAAGTCGATGCCATCCAAATGAAATTCTGAAAGTCACAAAAGTCTGTTGCAACAGAGCTGGCAAGCAATATTCAGCGGCCATGCAGGTATCCCAACTCTTTTCTTTTATTTGTGTATGAATTAATTTTAGTACAGGAAAAATGCCTCGGCGCCTAATCCAACGAATCACCACAGACTTGACCTGAGTGCAGTATCTGACACACCTGCGAGCAGAACCCAACCACCATGTCAACTCCAGCGAATGAGGTGATTATGCAAATGCAAGTAGGCACCCACGGTCGAGGTGGACCCGGCGAATAGCTGATCACAGCCTCCTCACCAACTTGTTTCTGCCCAATTCCGCCCAGTCGCCCTTGTTTGAGTAATAGTCGCGGTGTCGTGGCTTCTTTCATCATTAAATCCGTTGGTTCATTGCAACTCTGTCCATCAAAATTCGGCGTACATCTTCAGGCTTACCTTGCATTTGAATCACCTTACGAGCGGACATGCCACAGCCTGATGACTACACGGTCGGCTGGATTTGCGCTATAAGAACGGAGTATGTGACTGCACGAGCATTTCTCGACGAGGAACACGAAGGACCTACAGCTGTGTCACCCAATGACAACAACGCTTATACGCTGGGTAAAATTTGGGGGCACAATGTTGTTATTGCCGTGTTACCTGACGGGGAGTATGGCACATCCTCTGCTGCTAGTGTCGCAAGAGACATGATGCATAGCTTTTGTAATGTCAGAATAGGCCTGATGGTCGGGATTGGCGGTGGTGCGCCGAGCCAAAGGCATGATATCCGTCTGGGCGACGTTGTGGTCAGCGCTCCTCGAGACGGAAAGGGTGGCGTATTTCAGTATGACTTTGGCAAAACCATTCAAGATCAGAGCTTCAAGCCAACGGGATTTCTTAATCAACCTCCGGCCGTCCTGCGCACGGCAATGACTGTACTCAGCGGCCAGTACGAGAGCGATGGGCATGGCCTTGAAGGGGATATTAACAACATCCTCCTACAGAAGAAAAGACTCCAGAAAGCATACAGTCGGCCACATCAAAGCCTCGATAGGCTTTACCGTTCTGATGTCGTGCACCCTAGATATTGCGATAATTGTTCAGCAATCTGTAGTACTGATGTAATGAGGGTAGCGTTGCGACCCGAAAGGACTGAAGACGAGGATAATCCGGCAATCCACTATGGCATCATTGCCTCTGGAAATCAGTTAATGAAGGATGCTTTACTTAGGGATAAGCTTGCGGCAGAAGAGGATATACTATGCTTTGAAATGGAAGCGGCAGGGCTGATGAATCACTTTCCTTGCCTGGTCATCCGCGGTATATGCGACTATTCGGATTCCCACAAGAGCAAAGAATGGCAGGGCTATGCCGCAATGACAGCAGCTGCATATGCAAAAGACCTTCTCCGTCGAATAGCTCCCAACAGGATTGAAGCTGAGAAGAAGATTAGCGAAGTTCTTTCTGGTGCGTCTCAGGCAACCGAATTGCCCAATAAATAGATATTAATCATGTGTAATCTTTAGGCGTCCAGCAAAGCATTGACGAAGTCATCCAAGTGCAGCATGACCAAGCTAATAAAGATTTTCTTGATTGGCTTACGCCAATCGAATATGGCCCTCAACATAGCGACTTCTTCAACAGACGAGAGCCGGGAACTGGTCAATGGTTTTTAGGCTGCGATGAGTACCAGACGTGGTTGGACTCTCACAAGAACACACTATTTTGCCCGGGCATTCCAGGATCAGGCAAAACTATTCTCACAGCGATCGTGATCAACGATCTCATTACAAGATTCGGGAATGACCCAACAATTGGCATTGCGTACATCTACTTCAATTTCAGGCAAAAAGACGAGCAAAAGATTGAATACTTGATGGCGAGTCTGCTGAAACAGCTAGCTCGAAGCCAGTCTTTCCCAGAAAGTGTAAAAGATCTCTTTAGCCAACACAAAGAAAGACGGACGAGACTATCCACGGACGAAATCTCAAAGGCTCTCCAGGTGGTCGCAACTATGTACTCGAAAGTGTTCATCATCGTCGATGCGCTTGATGAATGTCAACCTTTTAATGACTGCGGACTGAGACTCCTCTCATATATTTTCGATCTCCAAGCCAACAGTGTAACGAATCTCTTTGCAACTTCACGACCCATTCCAGATATTGAGGGACAATTCAAGACGCACCTCAGACGTGAGATTTCAGCCACTAATGAAGACGTGCGTACATATCTTGATGGCCACATGTCAGATCTCCCAAGATGTATCTTGAACAGGCCGGATATACAAGAAAAAATCAAGACTGAAATTGCAAGTGCCGTGGAGGGAATGTCAGAAATCTTCTTGCGCCAAAGTTACCAGACAGCTGCTAACATTCGTTCAGGTTTCTACTTGCGCAACTTTATCTGGATTCGCTCAAAGACAAGACATCTGTAAAGCAAATAAAGTCCTCACTGGAGCGATTTAATAAGCAAAACCAACTAGGATTAGGAGAAGATAAAAAACGCAGAGTCCTAGAAAAGGCATATGAACAAGCAATGGACAGAATAAACAGTCAAATGCCGGGCTTTCAAGTACTTGGAAAGAAGGTCTTGGCATGGATCACCAGCGCAAAACGGCGACTAACCACTTTGGAACTCCAACATGCCCTTGGAGTAGAGGTCGGAAGCACTGAGCTTGATCCGGATAATCTACCAGAGATTGAGGACCTGATCTCAGCATGTGCTGGATTGGTTACGTTTGATAAAGAGAGCAATGTCATCCGTTTAGTTCACTACACAACGCAAGAGTACTTCGATCGAACACGACAAGATTGGTTTCCGGATGCAGAGGCCGATATCACTGAAGTATGCATTACTTATCTCTCTTTCAGTATCTTCGAGAGTGGATGCTACCAATTTTTGTCTAGAGAACACGGGCGGCTACGATCAAATCCACTCTACAGCTACGCTGCGCATAACTGGGGACATCATGCTCGCGCCGCTCCAGACAAACGGCTAATTCTTGATTTTCTGGAGGATGAAGCTAAGGCGTCTGCCTCATACCAGGCATTAATCTTTATTGAATACGGATACCATACGAACGTAGTGGATGAGGAAATAGTGAGCATTCATCTTGCAGCGTATTTTGGCCTAATGTGCATGACTTCTTTGCTTAAGAATGGGCATAATGTAGATTTTAGGGATTACCATGGACGTACGCCACTCTCGTGTGCTGCCGCTAAGGGGCACGAGGCCACCGTGAGGCTGCTGCTTGAACACGGCGCTGACATGGAGGCGGAAGATAATTCTTGCTGGACGCCAATTTCGCAAGCTGCTTTGTATGGGCATGAGGACATTGTAAAGCTCCTGCATGAGAAAGGCGCCAATTTTGAGGCGAAAGATAATCAGGGTTGGACACCACTTCTTTTGGCTATAGAAGATGGACATGAGGCCATCGTAAGACTCCTGCTTGAGATGGGCGCCGACATCAAGGTGACAATATCCAGTGGGTGCACGCCGATTTACTATGCTGCTTCACATGGGCATGAGTCTATTGTTAGGCTACTAGTTGAGAGGCACGCCGACGTTGGGGCGGCAGATGTCAGTGGGTCGACGCCGCTTCATGAGGCTGCTAGATCTGGCTACGAGTCTACTGTTAGGGTCCTGCTTGAGAAGGGCGCCGATATCATGGCGATAGCTGAATACGAAGGGACGCCCCTTCATTTGGCGGCTAAATTTGGCCATGAGTCTACTGTTAGGCTCCTGCTTGAGAAGGGCGCCGATATTGATAGCATAGATTGGAATTATGGTGACACAGCGCTTCACCTAGCTGCTACTTGGGGGAACGAGTCTACTGTCAGGCTCCTTCTTGAGAAAGGCGCCGACACCAGTATAACAGAAACGTATTTTGGTCATACACCGCTTCAGCGGGCTGCTGAACACGGGCATGAGTCTATTGTCGTGTTGCTGGAACAACACTCTCGATAACTACGAGGCCATGCCCTTTAGATGATGGTGCCTGCATGGTGGCAATAAGTAGTGAGAGCTTTCAATGCAAAACTTTGGCCTCCCAAAGCTTGTTTTCCTATCGCTAAAGCGGTCTGCTCTCTCTCATTGTATCATAAGACTATCTAAGCCCGGATATGTTTACTGTAGCGGCATACTAATCTAATACCTTTAGTAGATGTTATAAGCTGCCGCATTTTCATCCATGTATGCTGTGGCGGATTTGCTCTAGTTCTAAACTTATTCTAAATTTAATATGCAAAATCGTGCGTTTGTATTTCGCAATGACTAACTGCGTGTAAGAGAAGGAAAGCAAAACGCATATATTTGCTTGGTAGTTGTAGCACCATAGACTCAGTACTTAATCTAGTAAGATCACGCAATAGTAAAAAGGTACATAGCATCAGTCGTGTCCACTTACGCAGTAATGATTGATAAAACAGTTTGCTGTGCTTATGGTAGTCCACGTTTTTAGTAAGCTTAGAATAGATCGTAATGTTATAATGATGCGTTGCATGGTACAGGATTTGCTCCGACAAGGGGGCCGGTGAATTGTGCTCGGAGATGCTCGGCGATGGTTGAGATTGTGGATTGTGGGGGAGATTACGTGGCAAACGACGAAAGACTTGGTAAGTAGTTGTCTTTTCAACTGCTGGTTGATGGAAGACTGACATGTAGTGGATGAGGCATGGAATATGAGATGACGACGTCAACCTCAAAAAGTTCCAAGTATACGGAATGCCGGCAGCGATATGGCGATGACGGGAATTTCCCCTTTCGGCGCAGCCCTCCACGCGGGTAAGGCAAGCCCCCCATCGGGCCATCGGCTTAGCATCCGAAGCGAAGAGTGGGAGGGGCTGCGTTAGAGTGGATTTGGTGGGTGGCCGATTCGCTGTGCCGCGCGGTTGGGGCAGGATCTGATAAGGATTTTATTCTCTTGGCCTGCAAGGCATATTGTGCTTACACCGGTAAGTCCGAGCTTGGGGGGGAATTCAAGGATTCAGTTACCCTTTTCCTTTTAAAGGAGCCCGGCTGTGTTTTACAGCTGTGGATATTTGTTCTTTTTCCTTTTCATTTAAAGTTTGTTCATTCTGTTTAGCAAGCACGCGATTGTTTCTATTACCAAAAATTGCCCCCTTAACTGGACACTGGGCTTCGGGTTATCCACTTGGACTATTTTCTACTCTACTCGGAAGCGCTCTTCTTTTCCTCTTTTCTACCATGCCACCTCCCTCCGCCACCAACGGCAACGCAGCAACACCGCGCATGCCCGTCAAGCAGAAAATGGCCGTCTCGCTGAAATCGCTCATGAACTCGGTGCTGGGCGCCGTGCCGGCCTCCGTCGCGGGGCAGCTGGCGGCACCGTCGTCGAGTGGGGGCTCGGCGCCGATGGAGGCGCTCTTCGGAAAGACTTCTGCGGAGGTCGACGGCGAGGAGTGTCTGCACGACTGCGAGAGCTGCTCGGTCAAGTACCCGCGTGGCTTCAAGGTTGATGAGGAGGATCTACTGTATGGACAGGTGAAGGGGTGGAGCACGCATGTGCTGGTGGGGACGGGGAAGAGTGACTGGGTGAGGGACGTGGCGGATGAGAAGGGGAGTGTGATGGAGGCGATTCAGAAGGTGGGAGGAGTGACGAATGGCGTAAGTCTAAAATTTTTCATTTTTGATTTAAAAGAGTGTTGGGAGATGAGATGAGATGCGCTCAAGTGAACTCACTCAAGCTGAATGAAAGTGAGCATGAGAAGAGTCAAGACACATATGACTGACAATTTGATATAGAGACTCATGCTGTCTGCATCCAATATACCCACGCCTCACGACACCCATGAGTACTCAGAACCCACGACCGTCATCCTCCTCCCAGCCTTTGCCACCGTGCAAAACGTCCATCCAAAGAACGTCTCTCAGCTCATCACCAGCGTCATCAACAACGCACCCACGAGCTCGTCTCCTCTCGTCCCCTGGCGCTCCGTCATCCCCGCCTCATTGCCCAGCCCAGACGCCTCATTACCCGATCTCACCATCAACTCTTGTCCGCACAGCGCCGTGATCCTCTTGTGTAGTCAGAAGACGCGAGACGCCCGCTGCGGCCAGAGCGCGCCGCTTTTGCGCAAAGAGCTGGAGAGACATCTGCGTCCACTTGGCTTGTATCGCGACTTACACGATGAGAGACCAGGCGGTGTGGGCATTTACTTTATTAGCCATGTTGGAGGCCACAAGTACTCCGCCAACGTGATGGTGTATCGACGGCCGAACCCATTTGGCAAGGATGACGAGCCGCTGCCCGAAGGAGTGGTGGAAGCGGCGGCGGCGAAGGAGGATAATGGGGAAGAGGGAAAAGATGAGAGTCAAACAGAGAACGAAGAGGGAGATAAAGAGAAAGGAGATGTGGGCGCTGCGCAGTGCATTTGGTTGGCAAGAATAAGGCCGGAGGACTGCGAGAACCTGGTGAGATATACCGTGGTGAAGGGCAAGGTTGTGAAGCCCGAGAGGCAGCTGAGAGGAGGGTTTGACAGAGGGAGGGGATTGATGAGTTGGTGAAGATGAGAGATGAATCTGGATGATCTTTTTTTTGGCTATACATTGTTTCCTTTTTTTTTATTTTCCAATAATGCTTTTCCTTTTTTTCCCTCTCCTTTTGTCAGCCTGAGGTTCTATTTTAAGCCTCGGCATATGAGGACATACACGCATGAGTTTACTTTAGACCGCCTATTGGCATTGCAATGATAGAAAAAAAGGCGGTATCATTACCTTGGCGTACAATGAAAAGAAATATTATTATTTCTCTTGTTTTGCGGTGCTATCGGCTGTTTGTCCTTGTTGGTTGCCATCGACTGCCTAGCCACCCATGCAAGTGCTTCATTCAGCTCCTCTGACTTGGCCCAAAAGGTGCTGTCGCGTCGTAACCTGCAGCAAAACGGCGACTATTATAAGTAAGCAAAACATCGCACATCATGACCAAGCCAGATATTCCATCCAGGCCAACGCACTCTGGTGCAAAAAGAGCTGGAAAGTTAGGAAAAAAAAAGGAATGACACAAAAGTTGCCAACAGAACATGCGGCTCCTCAACACGGAAACCTACCAAATCACTGAATTCTTCGACTGCAACATCCCCGAATATGCCATCCTGTCTCACACCTGGGGCCTCGAGGAGCTGACATATCAAGACGTCACCCAGTCCATAGAGCTCGCCCGCCAAAGAAAACCACAAGGATTCGCCAAAGTCGAGGGCGCATGTGCGCTCGCTCAATCAGAAGGCTATGCTTACATTTGGATTGATGCTTGTTGTATTGATAAGACTAGTAGCACAGAACTGTCCGAGGCCATCAACTCCATGTACTCGTGGTATCGCGGGTCGGCCATCTGCTATGCGTACCTGATTGACGCCGAGCACTGCTTCAGCGCAGAGTTTAGGAACAGTCGGTGGTTTACGAGGGGGTGGACGCTGCAGGAGCTCATTGCCCCGAGGGATGTTGTCTTTTACTCCAAGGACTGGAAGCTGTTGGGGCGCAAGTCGTTGCTGAAGGGCCTGTTGTCGGACATTACGGGCATCGACATCAGCGTGCTTGCCGGGGCTGATCCGTCCATCATTACGGTGGCGCGCAAAATGTCCTGGGCGGCGAGTAGGACGACGACGAGGATCGAGGACACGGCGTATTGCCTCATGGGCCTCTTCTCGGTGTCGATACCGCTGATTTATGGCGAGGGCAAGAATGCCTTCTTCCGGCTGCAGGAGGAGATCATCAAGACGGTCGACGACCAGTCCATCTTCGCGTGGGTGGTGCCGGAGCTGGAATTTCCGAACCAGCAGCTCTTTGGGCTCTTGGCCGAGTCGCCCAGCGCCTTCAAACACACCGGCAAGCTGGTGTTTCCTTTCGCAACCAGTCGTTCTTCGAGGCGGGCGGCGCAGATTGTGAATAGGAGCTTGCAGGTTGAGCTGTTGGTGCAGCCGCAGGACATGTTCCTGATGAAGAATGACAATCCTGCGTATCGTCGGCTGCCGCGCGGCCTGCAGGCGAATTACTATCTTGCTGCTCTTGGGTGTAGATTTGGCCCGTCTGGAGACTTTTCTCCGTGCATTGATATTTGTGCGCTGGACGAGGAGAATTCGCAGTTTGCGAGGGTGAATCCTTGGATACTTCGGGAGACGCACTTGGATTCTACTACCATGTCGTTGCGGTCTAGACCGCATTCTGATTCTTGGATTTGTAAGTAAAGTCTCTTCATTGTTTTATTAAGCTGCTTTAGCAAGCTGGCTGGTGCTAACAATGAGTCAAGACCAAATCACCACATACGTTGAACAACTCTTTCGAGACCCAACAGTCTGGGAGTCACGACTCGTCTCAGTCTCTCAGATCCCCCGTGAATCCACATCCCTCGGTTTCCGCATCCAGCTTCTCAGTAGCGGCATCAGCACCCGAGAAGGCTTCCCAGCCGATCGCTGGTACCGTGACAACCGCGTGCTCCAGGGCTCATACGAGGTACACGACAAGTATCCATGCAGCGTGCTCCGCTACGAGCGGCGCCACGACGAAACCAAAAATGAGGGCATCACCCGCTCCATCGAGGGCGTTGTGCGTGTTGGCCTCTCAGATGTGAGCCAAGAGCGCAAGGCCCTCATCGGCACAAAAGATTTTGTGAGGCAGCAGATGGTGGCGATGAAGCATCCTGGGCAATTTGTGGCGCTCGTACTGGGCTTGGATGTGGTTTACAACTTTGACAGAGCGGGCTGGCGACAGGAGCCCTGGTGTGCGTTGGTGAGGCTTGAGCCGGACGAACATCTTGCTGATTTTAGGTATCAGATTGATTGGGGGGAGAAGAGGAATAGTACGTTTGACTGCTCGTCTATTGGGGCTTTGTTGAAGGCGGAGATTGTAATGTTGCCGGAAGATAATTTGTATACGGTTCAGCTTGAGTGTAGGCATGTGAGTGACTCGTCGGCGTCTTGGTGGACGTGGGTATTTGGAGATGTGCCGGAGTATGATGGTAGTGATGATAGAGTCTGGAGGGTTCGATAGAATGAACAAGGATGTAAATTTGATGTCTAATACGAGTGTGTGAGGAGCTGTATATACGTCCGTGCTAGACATCAGCAACGAGTCACTACCTCCTTATCCAAGGGTTTTTGCAATGAAACGGAAGAAACACATGATTGTAGTAGAAAGAATTGTATTTAGCCTGCTAACAATCTTGAAAACTCATAATATCAGCAATAGCAATAGCAATAGCAATAGCAATAGCAATAGCAATAGCAATAGCAATAGCAATAGCAATAGCAATAGCAATAGAAATAGAAATAGAAATAGTATTGGCTCTTATAACCAGCTCCCCCACCCCAAGCCTCGGTTTGTCTAGATGTAATGCCGTCCTCATTCTGAGCTGAACCAAACTCTCTAAACTCCCAGCAATAGCAAAATACGTTTGTCATAAAACCCCAACTAGAGCCCAACCTCTCCATCACATCACTGACTAAAGTGTCCACAGCAGTCAGGACCGCAACGTGCCTCAAAGTGGCTGCTACTACCCGTGCTGCTGCTATCGGCGTTCTTCATGCTGCCAGCCTCATCTTGATTAACATCAGGAGAAGCAGCAGACTGTGGCCAATTTGAAAACAAGCTTGGCGCAGCAGATGCCGTACTCTTCGAGGGTCCAGCCGTGTTAATACCCATCACGCCTGATGGAACTGCCACGGTCTGAACTGCAGGAAAATGATGAGGAAGCGCCATGCCATATTGGCCACCAAAAGGAAAAGGGCTGCTTTGATGCAAAGATAACTCCTGTTGCTTCAAACTGCCCACAATCATCATCTCATCCGTCCGCTTCATCTGCCCCATAGTCTTCTCCATCCTCTTCTTCACAGCACATTCCTCATCCTGCAAGTCCCTCAAGTCGTCCAGCTTCTTCATCCACGCCTCACTCTCGGGAAACGCTTGAGCCTGCGGAATGATGCTTCTTCCCCCCGTAATGGCGTTGATCGTAGGGGCGCCGGTGAGTATATCCATTTCGTGGCACATAAAGTCCAGGGGGCTCTGGAAGAAGAGATCCCATGCCGTCTGCTCTAAGAGTTTCTCCGTGCGGGCGAGTTGTGTTTGTGCCTCCTGGTAGCGCTGCTGAAGGGTTTGTTGAACGTGACGGAGAACATGAAGGCTTGCAGTTATGCGCTGTTCTTGATTAAGGCGGGTGGAAAAGGACGAGTGTTGGCTGTTGAGTTTCGGGAGCTTTGATGATGAAATTGGCGAAGAGAAACTGGAGCCGAAAGGATTGGTTTGAGGACTATAGCGCGTTTCGAAATGTTGTTTGTATTTGTCCTGAAGGCGAGCAAAAGCGAGTAAGGGGTTAGAAGCCCGTTGCTGGAACGGCATGTTGAAGCCCTGCCCGGCGAGAAATGTTGGAGGCGGCCAGCGCATGTGAGGCTCCTGATTAACTTTGTCGCTTGAAGGAGAAGAAGCGCTCAGAGCCTCTGGAGATGTAGATATGCTGGGAAAGTGTCCCGACATGGCTTCACGGGGCTTTGACGACGAACTGCTCGCATCCATCTTCCCAATCTTGAACGGTGTAAGTGATGATATGAGGCTGTTTAGTTAGAGGAAATAGATGGAGCAGATGTTGACGAGTTGTCGAAGTCGAGGAAGCTGAAGGAACAAAAAGCAGAAGAGAGCGTGGTGTTGCGAGAAAGCATACTTATGGTGAATTACAGGGCAGTGATTCAGAGTGTTTGCAAGAGTCCATCTGATCAAAAGAGCGGTCTTGCGGACAATCAGAGAGAGTGCGGTGTGAAAAAGTGCACAGGAAGAGCAGCTACTCTGCTCATTTGAGAACAATCGCAATGGCTGAGCATTTGGGCGCAGAGATGGAGCTCATACACGGAGTTTTACAGTTGAGTCTCTTCACTTCACTGTTCTTGAGAGTTCAGGCTCGTGAGACACACCGACTGTGAACCGCCATTGCAGCAAAAGTGGTGATCATTGAGTACTTTCAACTGTTTGTTGTATTCACACTCTTCAATAAGTCTCAGTACAAAAAAAATCCTTTGCATCATCCGCGCTGCGATATACACATGTATTCATCTCTCTCATTATAGTCATACCAATATCCATCAGGTCTCATATAAGCAGTATATCCAAAACCCAGGGCCACACAGTAACGTAGGCCCCAATCGCGCACGCGAATGTTTCCAAAAAACCAAAAACCAAAAAGAAACTCTTGTAGCCAGTTCAAATCCAAAACATGTTTAAAAACAGCTCATGTTATCCAGGACTGGAAAACCAAAAACACAACCCAGCGCCTCATATCCAAGCAAGAAATATATAGTATATATATAAAGGCCACCATCAATGACAGCCCTTTGTAAAAAGCAGCATCAGACAATCTCAGCACAAGAAACCTCTCCTCCCAGACTCATTATCTTAAACACCGTGCAAAGAAACGCACGACGTTGAAACAAAATGTCTCGCAAAAGAAAGAAATTTCTTGCTCAATCAGTGTTAGTCCGCCAAGCTCTGACTGTGGCTGCTACTCGACACAGACGTCACGCTGAGCTCTCGTCGCGCTCCATGCACCAGCTTGTAGATGCCAAAGGAAATGGCCGCCAGCACGATGAAGAGAACGATGATGATGATGGCGATGACGTAGTTGCGTTGCGTCATGGCGACGGATGTGAGAGATCCCCGGCTTGGGGATCGAAAAGTGTTTTATACGGACGTTGTTTGTTTATGTTGGATATTTTTGGTGGTGTTGATGTGAGGCGTGGGCGGTGTAGCTGAGGCGCTTTGTTCTCGTGTTTGTTGATCGCTTCACGGAAGAATACACCGTAAGAGTAAATAGGCAGAATGCGTTGGTAGACTGCGTGAGACCCGATTAGCAAACTGCTCATTCATCCTGCATCAACCCGAAAAAAGAGACAAGCGACATACCAAACAATCAGTCTCGTCACCGCAAAAACAACAGCGGGTCCAGCACCAAAACAAGAGAAAGAGGACCGTTTTCGAGTATAAACGCGGCTTGGTTATCTAAAAGATTTCTTTCCAAAAAAAAGAACAGTAATGATCAATCCCAAGAAAGGCAAACCAATCAATCAAAGCGCTCCGTTATTCATAAACAATGAATACAGATCACAAAACAAGAGGCCCCTTCACGCGTACACGATAAAATGCGCCCATCCTTCACCCCCCCCAGCTATATGTAGGTACACGCTGGTTGCCCCGCCACTCCATTTTCGCAAAAAAAAAAAATCGCAAGGCTGGGAATGCCACCAAGCTTCTTTTTGGCTGTCGTGCCTGGGACTAGCTGAGGTGGCTTACGTCTTCTGTATCCCTGTAACCCCACTGATGCTGCTGATTTTCTCACTAGCAGTTCGTGCAGCACAGTAACTTGTGTTACGGGCAGGAGGAGTTGAGGCTTTGCTGTTTCAGTGGAGCCCGATCGTGTTTCCCAGCCTCATGATTATGGGAAACAGAACGGGCTCTGTAGGAGATGCGCTGGTGGCATGTCATTGGCCAGAGATGGGAAACGGTCGTGTGTGCTGGTGACTTGTTGAAACGTGCTAGAGATACGGAAGAAGGAAGAAATATTCCAAACCCTTGTCGCTATACTGTGAGCTGTTCTGTCGCGTGTAAATCGTACAAGCCCATTTGAAAGAGGCGGACGTTGTCAGCCAATAAATAGCTTCATTCAGTCATCCATGAATAAAGTAACGTCGTCATGTAAAGATACAAAGTCAAACTGCACTCTGCAAATACCTCCAGCAGTTGATACATGTACACCGCCCTGCAGTCCATACCACTTCTACTATCAATAGAGGCCAGTTAGGTAGTGGTTACTACCAGGTAATGGCAAGAGGCCATGTAATTGCGAAATCATAGCTTGTAAGAAAACAGGGGCGAAGATTAAGTAAATGTCAGAACCAAAACAATCCACATACGCCAGCCTTCATACGATAAGTGTAGGAAGTAGTCGAAGAATAAAACTCAATCCTGGAACTCCACTTTGATGAGATAGAAAAGGGGCGAATGAAAACACTTTCGCTCTTGATTCCCTTCCGACGTCTCCTCACTTGAGCGTCGTAACTCTTCATTCAGTCAGCTGCCTATTCTCTTCTCTGATGATTCGTACATGGCGTTCATAGAATGCCAACATCTATTCCCCCAATGATTAGCCTCTCATGTCTAGATTCGTATGAAACTCAACGGCTGAGGGCACGCTTACCTTTTGCGGGCACTTCTTGTAAATGACCTTTGTGTCGTGCTTCGTCTTACGTCCGTTTTTCCACACAAGGTAAACAATGAGCCGACCGCTGCCTTCGTCTTCGCAAGCGTCAATCGTATCGATTTCGTCCTCCCAAGATCCTGCCGGAGGATTCCATTTATCCGATGTCGCTGGGGGCGTCGATTCGCTAGGATGTGTCCCGTTTCTCTTGGAGCGCTTTGTACTGGCAGATGCAGCCGTGCTGGAGGTACGGCTGCGCTTCTTGCCTTTGGCAGCTTCCTGTGTCTCCTCAAATATCTTTTCTCGCCCGCCGATGGATTCGAGGTAGCCGGCCAGAATGTCGCCAGCTGATTCCCTGGGCGTAACAAAGTCAGCCCACTAACTTGCTTAACGTATCGAAGCACGACACATACTGTAAATTCTCCTCGGGCTCCCAGGTCATGTCCGACTTTTTCTCATAGCCCTCCCATTTGACATGGAATTTCAGCGTTCCCTAAGCGGCGTCAGTCGTGCCTAGGGGATATATCGGACTTTGGGTATCATATTTGGCATACATCTTCGTCGATCATGTGCTTCTTAATGGCTTCAACGATGAACCTATGATAGCTGTCAGAGTCACGGCCTTCTTATGTCGAGTTAGGCCAACGTACACGTCCTCGTCGAGCTCTTCCTCATCGTCCTCCTCATCATCCTCCGCGTCCACTTCCGCGTACACGCCCACTTCTGCATCAGTCGGCTCTTTCTCCTCCTTCCTGCTGGGTCGTCCGTTTCGCCGCGGTAATGCAAGCGAGTCGCTCGCGTCGTCGGACATGGAATTTGACTTGCGCGGAGACTTGATGGGCGGCGCAGTCTCGTAGTCCGAGGTCTCCTCGTCGCTGAGTGCTGCTCGTTTATTAGCAGGGGGTCTTCCTCTCCGCGCCATGGTGCAACAATGAGAAAACGATTGGTGATGTTGTAGTCAAAATTTCAGGTGTAGAAATAGTTAAGCTGGCAGTGACTGGCCGTGGTAGCAGGCGCCTGCCAGCTGGAAGTGGCGAAGTACTCCAAGGAACGATAACCTAACAGCAAACAGAGAGCACGTACCTGGCGGCATTTCCGCAAGTGTTCAGTTCAATTTATAATTGGCAAAAAGTCGAACCCGCAATTCAAAGCGGCGCAACCGGCGCAAACCTGACGATGTTCAGTAAGCAAACGCGACTAGGCGGCGCAACTCTCCAAGCTTTGGTGTTGCCCCAGCCACCAGCGACGCCCAATCACGTGAGCAAGTTGAACCGTTCTTGCGATCGAGCTAAAGAGCTTCAAAGAGCTTCCCTCCATGAGCTCGTCTGCTACAGTGTCGAAACCGCCCAGTTTGCACAATGCACTCACCCACTTCTTGTTAGTACTGATAGCCTCGGAGAAAAACCCCTCCTTTGTTTCCATGCCGCGAGATCGTCTGTGCTGGCGCACATGCTCACAGCAGTTTGCTTGCTAGCAGACAAACAAGATCGCCATGACGGGTTGGATGCAACCAAGTCTTGAATATGGAAACCTGAAGCTGTGCGCATTCAATTAACGTGGGAACATGTCCAGATAACTTTCAATTTTGCCAGAGTTTTTGTGGTAGTTCCGAGGCAAACATACTAGTAGATTATGTTCTCACTGTCGGCATTCTGTGTGAACTTTCATGAGCGAGTAAAGTATACCGCAGTGATTGAGTTGCCATGTTCAATTTGATCTTTACATGTGCTCTGCCACATGAAGCGTCGTTCAATGACGTTTCGTTATTTTACTGCCCATGAATCAGTCTGAACTCAACTTGCCGTGTACGTATGTGTAGGTCAAGCTTAAAGCCCTCGGCTCGCCTCGTATGGCGATATCCGAGATCCTGGCTATCGCTGGCCCCCATGCTGAAATCTTAACGGACAGGTAAGCAGATCCCCTTCTGTGCAGTGCGAGGTGAGCTCCATTCTTCATCTGGTGAAGTAAGCCGAGGCTGCCGAGTATTGAATAGAGTACCGACCATTTCACCCCGAGCATCAACGTACCCATGAATACGGGATACTAGTAGTATGCTGAGCAGTAGCCAATAATTGCGATTATGCGTTGACGAATGATATCCTGAAACAAACCAGACATCAGGCCATGCCTTCATCTTCACAATTACGCCGGTTCTGGATGATCCGACCCGCCGTCGGGAAAACAGCAAAACGTGAGTCGGCGACATCCTACCACACCAGGGGCTATATTCAGCCTGGCCTGCATAAAGGGCCGGAAGGACGGCGGTGTTGCGAGGCTTATTGCAGTACACCAGCTCTCACTATGGAACGTTGTTGGTAGGACGTCGCATTAATTTAAACATGCATATGCTAATATGTCTCGCAGGCGCGCCATTTACCCTTTTTCTGTCCGGCCAATGTATTGGGGCTTCTCTTGGCACAATCTAACAAAAGGTCTGGTTGCAAGTAATGTCCTTTTGGTGGTTTGCCCACTTGTGATCGTCCAAGTAGCTACTCATCGCAAGTAAGCATGTACAAGTAAGCTCGGGTACCAACCAACACTCTACGGGTTGGTCAGCTTTTCGGCAGAATCACATGCTGCTAGTACTAAGGGACACGAGCTTTTATTGTGGGCGCCTAGTTAAGCACTTGCTCGCTCGTCGCGGGCTTCAGACGCCATCGCTTGGTTTTAGGAAAAGAGTGCTACGGCTACTTGTAAGTATACCGCGGTCCGCAGGCCAACCGTTGAAATTTGAGCACTACTGTTGTACTCATGACAGCAGCAGGTACGGCGTAACTCATGTCGAGATCGCCAAAAGTGCCACGGCCCGGGGATCCGAGCCCACCAAGTTAAAACAAACGGTAAGAGACCAGCGCGGCAAGGCGCGAAGCGTTGCCGGTTCGAGAAGGCCGGCCGATTACCACACCGAATGCCCGCTAAACTTCACGCAGCCACACTCACAACCGGCAGCAAGGGACCTAGCCAGGGGTAAGATCGCTTCACTTTTCAATGGATCTTTGCGGAATGTCTTAGTGGGAGATATTGCTCCTGTTCCTACTCTGCTGCTCCGTGTTAGTGCTATTGCAACGCTGACCGTGGAGGGTATTTGATACGACGCCTGTGATTTGCCCGCGTAGCTCTGGCGTCTCGTATGCAGCCGGCATGTCGCAATACGTAGCATCTTGCGGATACACGGAATAGATCGGCCCAGCTATGGGTGTATCGAGATGCGATCTTGAGGCGAGATAGGGTGCTGAAGGAACGATTCTCAGTAGCACCACACCAAAACGAAGGCACACCCTGGGCCGGGCTAGCAGGATTAGCTCTCCAGCTAGTCATAGGCGCGACCAGGTAGTTGAGTAGCAGCTATAGCCGCGGCTCAGTACATCTCAGTTGCTACTACAGTATAATCCTCCCGAGACAGCAATTAAAAAGTCCGTGGACGGAGTATTGAAGCTCCATCCCAGGCTTGTTGGACCTGTGCAAAAGCATTAGCATTAGCATCTGATATCTCATATCCGCTAGGCATCCAGCCTGTCCCGTATACTTCAACAACCAGAGGTATGCAGTGCGAGGTGGGGCGACCTGACTGCTTGAGAGTGCGCTGTACGTTAATACTACAGCTAATAGGTAGTACTTAGAATTTTAAGCCCTTAGAGCAATTGTGAGATACAAGTTGCGTTGCCTGCGATTACGTTCCTTGTATTTCATGCGATATCGCAAACTCACCAATGGGCGCTTTGTTCCCCGGTTGTAAAGCTCTCAACTGCAGCAGTTCAGGGATAAAAGAAACAGCTAAATGTGGCCCGCCTCCCATGAAATGACTTGAGACAATGTTTTGGAGGTTTCGAAACTGACGTCGGTACACAGGAAGCTTTCCGGCCGGCTTTTATATCCGGATGCTGTATGTCTGTCTAAGCAGTACTCGCCTCGTGCTCTAGATCACATATGATCAAGAAGAGCTGTGGATGAAATATACTCGTCATTGAGCGACCAGTTCTTCTTAGGGAGCCCATGTAAGCCTCACTTTCTTCGGCTAGGTCAAGGCGTCATCTAGGGACTGCTGCACCCTGGATGTGTGAACCCATGTTGGCTAAAATTTGGCCGGCCTTACTGTACGCTAATCGCACCAATGCCCGCTTGGCTGACCATCAGCACATTTCCTCTTCTGCTAGATGACGCTGTCTGTATTTGAGGGGGCTGTATCTCGCGGCTTATCCTATAAGAAACAATGAGCAAAAGCTACTGAGCACTCTACCATACCTAGCATATGTGAACGTCGCGGCGGCTTGACCCCCCTCTGTAACAAACGACGCCGCAAAAATTAATTTGAACGAGATATCACCGAAAATGGTTGGGTCTTTGACGAAAGGACCCGCCATCCTACATGGCCATGCACGACGGATACCAGCAGCAGTATCTCGCAAAGGCTAGACACGCAATTTGGTCATTGACCAACCGCCAAATAACGACCGAGAAGTGATATGACAGCTCCGGAATGGACAAGGGTTAGCCTCCGTGTCATGACGAACAATCCTTGGCCAACAGTTTGACACAACTCTGGCTCTTTTAGGGACTCGCCTCATCTCCCATCATACCTCGTAGTGTGTCCATACGTGTACAGAGTAAGCGCCTCGCTTCTGGCTCAACTTGGAAGGAAGACAGCTTCGTCTTGGGGTCAAACTTTGACCAAAAACTCGACCCCTGGACGGTCTGGGTGATCTCCCGAATTAACGACCCCTGACCCCTCGGATCTTTTTAATCTGACCTGTAGTATTTGGAGGGCGAAATACTAGTGCCCGAAAAGCACTCGGTTCTCGCGGGCAAAGTACCAGAGTAGCAGGTGTAGGTACTCTGTATAGAATGCGAGATTGTCGGTTGTAAGGTCGACAATCCTCTATCCCAAGGCTGGAACGATGGCACGGACAAACAAACTGCGTACCAGCTCTGATTCTGGCCCTTCTGTCAGCTCGCGTGGACATTAAGCAATTGTCGGCCCCTGGTGGCTACGCTATTCATTCGTCGACGGCGTTCGGCCGGCCTGGATCTTTTGCAATTCGACTGGTGCGAAGCAGGGTGGCTGGTACGGGTGCAGGAGAGGTGGGATCGCGTGCAGTTCGCATGCAAGAATCAAGCGATTGGATTCAAGGACGCCACGAGAAAGCAGCCAGCTGTGCCCTTGGCACCCGACTAGCTCGATACGCTCCTTTGAATGGCAGGTAGGATGCGTCCACGTTACTCCTGAGATGGTTCCGATCGCTGACACCCTTGCCGGTGAGCGTTGATCAAGCCTGCGAGCCGGTTTCGCGCTGTCCAGACGCTTTTGGCCCGTAGACAGCATCCTGGCAATGACTCGTCTTGTCTTGTCCTGTCTCGACCTGTCCTGTGACTAGTAGAGTTCAGCTGCCACACTCCGTATACCGCATGCTGGCCTGCTGCCCATAAGACAGCGCCAGGCAAGCATCCTGACAGGTACTCTGGCCCGGCATCTGCGAAAGTCGACGGATAGGGTGCGTGCCCGTCCGAGGCCTGTGCTGGAGCCAGGCCAGACGCAGCATTGGGAGAGGAGCCGGGTCATGATATAAGTTACTCCGTACAAAGTACACACACGACTAGCCGCAGGGCACTGCCTCGATGCGAGCTGGCCGGCGCGGTGGCAGTCTGCTGCAAGGCTCCTTCGGCGGGTGCCCCGTACGCTCAATGTCCAGACGCAATACTCCGTTGCTCCTGCGTTAAACCGACGACGCTACCGTACGCCAGGCGGGTTCCAGGCACCTTTGGCCATGCCAGCCCACTTAATGCCACCGTAGGTTAAAGCAACCTGAAAGGTGGGCTCCATGGCCAGACGCCTCTGCTCTTGTCTGGTAGCTTGGATGATCAATTTGCATTCCTGTTGATGTTGGCAGGAGCAGTAGCTGTAGCTGGTCGTCCATGTGTCCTGCCATGCAGCAGTAAGACTCCCGAGCCGTATATGCCAACGCCCGCACATGCCCTGTTCCCATCCTTCTGCAACTCGTACATAGGTGCCCGACTCGCCTCAGCTTTCTCTCAGCCCGGCTTCAGCGGCAGGTGGCCTGACCGAACTATTGAACAACTCACTGCAGCCCATGCTCCCGCCAGCAAACCGTGGTCACGATCGGCACGAATCGACCCCCGTCAACCCGCGCCGTGAGTGGACAGACAGACCTCTGCGACGTCGCTGACAGCTGCTGCTAACCTGGGGGGGCCGGCCTCTGGCGCAGCGCCGGTGGCCAGGGGTCCGGCCACACCCATCTGGCGCCTAGCGGTGGGCGATTCTAGCGGGTGCCAGCGCCTGGGCTGCCCGCTAGGAGCCGCCTATGGCGCCTGGAAGCTGTGCGCTGCGGATCCTGAGCCAGGTCCTGGTGGGGAGGCTTCTAGTCTTCTTTTTCGGCCGTGGCAGGCGTCCCGCTGGAGGTTCCACCCCTGAGCCGGTTCACCACCTAAAAAAAAACAATTAAAGGTTTCTCGACTTCTCCTGACTCTGAGCTTGTCACGAGGGGGAATGGATGAGCTGTTTCTGTGCCGTCGTTGTGAGGAATTCTTCTGCTTGCTTCCCGCATTGACATTTTCCCTGTGCTATTTGGCTTGTGGTTTGAAGAAGCTTCTCCCCCCTGAGGGCGATTGCCTACCCACGCTCGTTATCAACCGCCCCTGGTTTGCTTCACACGCTCCTTATGATCTTCGAAAGTCCAGCTCCACGAAAGGAGCCGCTGGCTTTGGCTGTCTTCTCCTAGACCACCTTCTGTTGTTTTGTTTCGTAGCACACGAGAACCGTCCTCCAACCGATCGATCGCTTCTACTTCAACAATCGACTCTGTCCAGCTGTTCGACGTCTCTCTCCTCACGAGCATTGCATATCAATACAACGCACTGTCTCTTCTAGAATGTCTGAAACGCCGCAACCAATTGCCGAGGGCAACCAGCCCAAGGCTGTAAAAGACAAAAACTGCGAATACTGTGGCCAGGCCTTCACCTCGTCATCCCTCGGTCGACATCTTGACCTCTATATCAAAGAAAAGAATCCAAAGCCCCCGGATGGCATCCATGATGTGGACGCTATCCGAAAACTCCGTGGCAACATCACTCGGCGCCAGCCTCGAGGTTCTTTGGGTGCCCGAAGAGACAATTCCACCCCTGGCAGCACGCCAAAGCCAACAGCCGGGAAGACGGCGCTTGGACAAGACTCAGATAGCTTCAAAGCTGATTCAGCTGCCAACAAATATCCTTTTGCTGCTTCTTGGGAAGCTACTGGCGTAATAAAGGACACGCCAGGCAAAAACGCATGGGATGCCAGTGCCCCTCAAGACGCTAACAAGCGCTCTGGCCTGTCCAGGAATGTTAGCAAACAGATGGCACAGAAGGCTCAGTTCGATATCAAGCAGAAGTTGACAGACGCAATGGATACTGCCAAAGCTGCCGAGTTGGCACTGAGAGAACTGGTGAGCTCGTGGCGGGCTGCAAAGTAAGTAACGTTTTCCAATGACTGTGTCCACTTGTATATCGAGTGGATGATATGTAGCCACAAATGGCTGACACCCATCTAGACAACAGACTGATCGCAACTCAACGCCATTTGATTTCGATCCCCTTGCCCTTGACTTCCCATCTCTTGCCATTCATTGTCTGCTGCCGCCTCCGACTTTGTTCTCTTCAACCCAACACCCCACATCAACATCCTGGTCTCTTTCGACGCCAGGTAAGCGTGAATATGTTGCACTTCAGGCCTTTTTCCAAGAGGAATTCAAGGCTTGGAAGGCTACCCATGTTTCTGCTACGACAGCCGTAATAGGGGAGATGGTGTACCCTGTGAGTGTACCATTTAGAGATCCAGGGGGGCTTATAAGGCTCATATCGGACAAAACAGAGTTGCTTGAAACTCATGTCAATGAACATCTGCAGTCTGCGTTTGCAGTCTGGGAATCTTTGCCTGTTCAGCGGAAAAGTGAGCTCTGGCATCTGGAGCTGGCACGGGGAGTGGGCCGAATGCATAAGCAAATTGATAAGATGAAAGACGAGCAGCATAACCTGAAACAAGAGAACGCAAACCTGAAATCGCACATCGACCAGCTGAATCGGCTGCAACAGCCGAGAGAGTACAAGATTCTCACGCCATCTACCATTCCCGTGGATCGAGATGTCATCGCGTATCATGAGCAGAGTGTTATAGGGAGTAGGCTTGTTGGCTATGAGCCAGAGGATCGGCATCTAGACTTGAGCACCGTTGTAGCCAAGTCAATAGAAAGATGGAAGAGTGTCATCGCATCGACCCGCGAGGCAGCCAGCGGCATGCCTGCCCAGCGGCCTCTAGAGCAGGCGGCGGCCCAGACCCCTGCTGCGAACAGCCAAAGTAGTCCATCGGAGCCTCAGAGCGCCGTTCAAACACCACAATTGACCCAGCCGCAACCAGTGCAGCTTGACAAGAGGCTGTCAAACGCAAGCTCAAACGAACCGGCGAGCGAACAGAGTGCATCCTCAGCAACCAATACAGGCCCGCCATCAGTCGAAGAAACGAGCGACCAAGATGCCGATGCTGAAATGGAGGATGACGATAGCTTTGCTATGGTTCAATCTCCTGTCAAGACTGCGCACTCGCCCCTACAGCAGCAAGCACAGCTTGACGCTTCTCGAGCCCAAGCTCCCATGGCCCAGCAGCAACAACAGCAGCAACAACAGCCACAGCCACAGCCACAGCCACAGCAGCAGATCCAACAAGCCCAGCAGCAAGTCCAACAACATGCTCAACAACAAGCCCAACAGCAGGTTCAACAGCAGGTTCAGCAGCAAGTTCAACAGCAAGTCCAGCAGCAACAGCAGCAACAGCAGCAGGCTCAGCAGCAGCAAGCCCAGCAACGCAATGCGACAGCGGATATGCGTTTCATGATGCAAAATGTGGCCGGTAGCCCTGCAAGCAGAGCTGCTATGGCAAACATGAACCGTGCTATACCAAATATGAATATGGCAGCAATGCAAGCTAATGCAATGCACGGCGCAGATATGAGCATAGCGATGCAAGGCGTCCGCGGCGATATGTATTTGGAATAACAATGTCGACGAAAAAGAGACATCGGAAGAAGGCGTATTTTGGACGGTTAATAGAAAGGGTTTTTTTTTTATTTATTTCTTTCTTTCTTTCTTTTTTTTTTTTTTTTATTTTTTATTTTAAAACGGCTATAGACTAGTCGTCATCGCAATAGCATTCATTCTCAACGGAGTTTATTCATCGAAAAAACCTTTACTTTTAGTCAATGCGGCATAAAAAATCTCACGATTCTTCAACAACATAGGAGCATTAGGCATTTGCGCACTGATGCTGTGCTAATATACGAATCGCAACATCAGGCAGGATAGAAGCATATATAGAATCGGGAGGGGAAAGGAAGGACAAGAGGGCTGGGAGGATTTTTCTAGATTTCACTCTCTCTCTCTCTTTATCTTTTTTCTACTACAGCATTTTTTTGGTTTATTAGTACAATGGGATTGGGTAAGCAAAAGAATGAGATGTAACTTTTGTGATACTATTGCCTTGTACTGCTCACTAGAAATTAAGTGTTAGGAATAGGAGTTAATAGGTGAATTTATACAGTGAATTTTCTTGGAGAATACTCTCCTCCCGCTCTGCTATATATATATATATATATATCATATAATATCTAGGTGATTTGAGTTGAGTTGCTCTTACATGAAATTGTTTTTTCTCAGCCGTTGTCCAGGTGATTTCCTTCCATTAAGCTTAATACATCATCTATTAATACAAGGTAAAAGAGATCTCAGTTCATGGCTTAATATGCTTCAGTCTCTTTTCAATCAACCGCACAGTTGACTTCGGAATATGCAGTCGATGTGATAAAACTAAAGCACCTGTGAGAACTGCAAGGGCGCCAGCCTGGTGGGTGGCGGCGAGGTGAGTAGGGACCATGTAGATGAGAGTGGAAATTCCAAGAGCCGCCTGCATGGTGACCAGATGAACAAGCCCAGTGGTGCCCTTCTTTGCGCTCTTGGGGAGAACGGCAGAGATCTTTCCGGTGCGAGAATAAGCCCAAAGGGTCAAGATGGTACAGAAGGTTGTAATGGCCAAGATTCGGTGATCGAGCTGGACGAGACTGGGGTTTTCGAGCATGTTGCGCCACCAGAGATCGGAGCGATCCTCCTTGCGAGAGTAGAACTTGTCGAACAGCTCGGACTTGGGAGGAGCGTAGCCAAGACCCATCTTGGGGAACTCGTTGTAAATGAGACCAGCATCGAGACCGGCGACCAAGGCGCCGGACATGGCAGTGAGGAAGACGAGACCGGTGATGCCAAAGACAGAGCGTCTGAGGGTGCTGAGGGCGGGGTTCTGAATGGCCTTGATGGCAGTAGCGGCGGCGGCGGGGTCGGCGAGCATGCGGCGAGTGCGGAGGATGGTGATACCAGACACGAGCATCCAGGAGTAGCAAAGGAAGGCAGTGGCCAAATGAGCAGTCAATCGGTACTGGGAAACACGAGGGTGCGAGCCGGGAGCAAAGAGATCATCCTTGAGACCCGATTTGACCATCCACCAGCCGATGAAGCCCTGGACGCCGATCAGACTGGAAATGCCGAGCAGGTTGAGTGCCATCTTGGGAGAGACTTTGCGGCGAGCGACGAAGTACAGCGAAGGGAGAACGAAGGAGAGGCCGATGAAGCGACCCCACAGTCGGTGCGTCCATTCCATGTAGTAGATCTTTTTGAATTCTTCCAGGGTCATATGAGGGTTGAGGATCTTGAATTCCGGAGAGGCACGGTACTTTTCAAACTCGGATTCCCAATCGGCAGTTGACATGGGGGGCAAAGAGCCCGTCACAGGTTTCCATTCCGTTATGCTTAGTCTGCGGCGCACAATTGTTAGTAGTTGAGCTGTGACATCTCGCGCCAATTGTGAATCTCATACCCAGACTCAGTTAGTCTTGTAAGTCCGCCGAAGACGACAATGCCAAATACGCTTGCAGCACTGCCCAGTAACCATACCGCAACTCCCTTGCTAGTAGTCTTTTTTGGGAACTCCTTTGAGGCTTGGGCTCGTGCCTGCGTTGCCGCTGCCGCAGCGCTTTTGGCCGCCAAGTTCTCCAATGGCTTTGCATCGGCATATCCTCGCGATCGTACGATGTTCAGGATAGGTGAAGGAGAGCGTCTGGGCGCCTGTCGAAGGCATTGATTGCAGACGAAGAACTTGGAGGGCACCTGAAGGGCTGCCCTCCGCATGCCGGCCGCAAACAGCACCATTGTTTGCAATTTCGCGCAATGGCGCTTGATGTGAGGACGAAAATAGTCAAAATGGCACGATATTTGCGGCCTGCGGTTTAAGACTGCATGTGGTTCGGCGCATAGAGAGCGCCGAGGCGGGCACCAATTATTGCGCTAAAGATTTGCAAGGATGCTGATAGGTGGGATGGCTCCAAGCTAGCTTCACCGCCAAATTTTCTACATGGCAGAAAAAAGTTAAAGAAGCAAATTGGCTAGCAGCACAAAAAAACCAGCAATTCGAAAGCTGTGATTGCGCGACTGCTGGCAATTTACCGTCTTCAGATTCGAATCCAGATTTATTGAAGATGCCAGGTCGACAGGCGCATGGACGGTCCTTGTTGGCCCAGCCAAAGGCAAAGGCTGGCCCCAAGAAGTCCAAGTCGAGAGCGCAGACGAATGCACTGAATGCATTCAACATTGCGCAAGAGAGGTTTCCTACAAAAGATAAGAGGACACCACGTGCGCGAGAACTGGACGCTGAAATCGAGAAAAAGCATGGACGAGAGGAAGATGACGAGGATGAGGAAGAGGAAGAAGAGGGTCCCAAGCGAAAGAAGACCAAGGCCCCGCGGGGTGCAGCAGACGGCGATGTAGAGTTTGGCAGCGACAGCGAGGGCAACGAGTGGCAATTGGGTGGCATGGCGGACAACGACGACGACTCTGAAATTGAGAGTGACGATGCGTTTGGTGATAGCGACAATGAGATGTTCCAGGGCTATGCCTTTCGCGGATCAAAAACTGGCCAGCGCAAGGTGAGAAGCTACTACTTTTGAGAACGATGGGATGAGGGCACTGACCTGGGGTATAGGACGACGACTCGGAGGATTCTGACGACGGAAATGACGACCAAGGCGAAACTCTTGGCGAGGATGCCATAGATCTGGCCACAGCTTTGGACCAATTCGAAGAGGAATCTGAAGAGGAGCCAGAAGGAGAAGAGGAAGAAGAGGACTCTGAATCAGGAGAAGAGGAGGATTCCGACGATTCCGACGAGTTTGAGGGCCTCGATGACAGCGACGAAGAAGCCGACCCCGCCAAACTTGAGCAGCTCAAGGGCCTGATATCTGGTTTCGGAGGCGAAGATGATGACGGCGAGAAAGAAGTCTTGGTGTCTGGGAAGCAGAAAATTGATCTCGGCGATCTGGGGCTGTCTGGATTGAACGATCCTTTCATGAAGCAATCTGTAAAGCTTATGAAGAAAGAGTCAAAGGAGAAGCGGCCCGGTTCAACGAAGAAGCTAGAGGTGCCGTTATCGAGGAGAGAGCAAGGGCGTATCGACCGATCGGCGGCTTATGAGAAGACGAACGAGACCCTGGATCGATGGACAGAGACTGTTAAGCAAAACCGCAGAGCCGAACATTTGGTATTCCCTCTCCCTCAAAACTCAGAATCAGCTGGACTTGACCGGACGGAACTTCAGCCTCTGTCACTGAAGGGTGCGTCGAACGAATTGGAAGCTACAATCATGGGCATCATGGAGCAGAGCGGACTGTCGCTGGAAAAGGAGAAGAAGCCTAAGAAGCAAGAGTTTGACGAAGAAGGCAACCTGCTTACGCGGAAGCAAGCCTTGGAAAAGAAGCGCATAGAGCGCGAGTTGGCTTCCAGGGAAGCAAAACGCGCCGCCCGCATCAAGAAGATCAAGAGTAAGGCCTACCACCGGGTGCACCGAAAACAAAAGGAGCGCGACGAAATGGCTACCAGAGAAGCCATGGCCGAGGCTGGCGAGATTGACTCGGAGGAAGAGAGGGAGGCTCAGGATCGTCGACGTGCGCTGGAGCGAGTGGGCCAGCGCCACAAGGATAGCAAATGGGCCAAGATGGGATCCAAGGCGAAGCGTGCGGTTTGGGATGACGATTTCCGGGCGGGGTTGACAGAAATGGCTCGCAAGGATGAGGACCTCCGCAGAAGGAAAGAAGGCAAGAGCTCAAGAGGCGACGGAGACGATTCAGATGAGACTAGTAGTTCTGGATCTGACGACGACGACGATGGCGATAACGCAGACCTGCTGCGACAGTTGGATGAGCTCGAGAAGGAAGACAGTGGGCCTCAGTCGAGATTAATGAAGATGAAGTTCATGCAAAAGGCAGAGGCAGCAAAGAAGAAGGCAAACGACGATCTCATCCAGGAAATCCGCAAAGAGCTCGACGGAGAGGACGCACAAGACTCCGATGACGATGAAGAAGAAAAGGGAGGAGAGGTCGGACGACGGCAATACGGTAGCGGAGCGGCAAACCCGTTCTCCATGCCGCAAAACTCTGCCCGGGCAAGCAGGAAGAAGCTCGCACGGGATGAGGAAGAAGAAAACAACACAAGCTTCGCCAACGGTGACGGAGCCCCTCACATCTCAAACGGCGCCATCAGTCACGCCTGGTCGACCACACCCGCAGAGACAACGACCTCGATAGCAGGAGCCTGGTCCAAGGGCGAGTCACGTAAAAAGAAGTCTGCCCGAGCCGACGATCTCGACCTCAACGCCAACATCCTCACCGCATCCCAACCCTCCTCCAAGCCGAAACCCTCCTCCAAGAAGACAAAACAGCCTCAAGACGATGACTCCTCCTCCGAATCCGACGCAGACTCAGACTCAGACATCCGCCTGCCCATGGCCATCCGCGACAAGGACCTCGTGGCCCGCGCCTTTGCCGGCGAAGACGTCGTCGCCGAGTTCCAGCGCGAAAAGGACGAAATCGCCGAGGAAGACGACGATAAAGTCATTGACAACACGTTACCCGGCTGGGGTTCCTGGGTAGGCGATGGAGTCAGCAGCCGCGAGAAGAAGAGGCACCAAGGGCGCTTCCTGACAAAGGTGGAGGGCATCAACAAGAAGGATCGCAAGGACGCCAAGCTGGACAAGGTCATTATCAACGAGAAGCGCATCAAAAAGGTTAGTATAACATCAACTTTGTTCTCTGTCTTCTTGAAAAATCAAGATTGAATCTGTCGTTACTAACTCTTCTCCCTCTCATAGAACGATCGCTACCTCGCCGCCCAGCTCCCCTTCCCCTTCGAATCGCAACAACAATACGAGCGCTCTTTACGACTGCCCGTCGGACCGGAATGGATGACCAAGGAGACGTTCCAGGCTAGCACGAAGCCGCGCGTTATTATGAAGCAGGGCATCATCACGCCCATGTCGAAGCCAAATGCATAGATGCTTTTCTTGTCTTCTTTTCTTCTTTTCATATTGTAGAGCTATAATAGATGTGTCCGAACTGAATGCTGATTCTGGATCTTGATGAATATATACACTTTTATATAACCCATTTTTCGTCTGATTTTCAGGATCGTTCATCCCCAATTAGCTTAAACGTCACTCAAAGAAGAGAATGCAAGGGTTTTGCTTTAATTGGTTGGTATCATTAGAACTCTCAATGCAAAAGCACTTCGTAAAACCGTTATAATAACACAAGTATCCACAACGTACCAGTTGTTTCCTCGTAGATCCCAACAAAAACCAATTTCAATAAGGAAAAAGATAAGAAAGCTCGCACCAGCCCTCTTGGGGCAAATATTTTATCACTCACATCCAGCCAATATGCTTCGCCACGGTTTTTTCCGCGGCATCTCTTCCAAACGACAATCCTCCAGATTCAGCGCAGTAAATGAAAATAGTAGTACACGATAATCAAACAGATAAAGGAAACAAAGAAAAAAGGACCCTGTCCGTAGGGAATTGGGTAGTTTCAAGTTTCTTTTATTCGGATTAGGCTGCTTTCAGCAATTCAGCAATCCTTAACATAAGAAATAGGGGCTATCAGGCTATGGCAAGCCGATAAGTCGCCTTATAGATTTAGTTGATGAATATCTTCCTTCGTCGGAAAATAGATTCGAATCGATAGTAGATCGAGGGGCATAGCTTGGCTGAATTTAGTTGCTGCCGCTGACAAGATTTGTCGCCTTGTCCAAGAAATCGCCTGGTGTCGCAAAGAAAGCCACAGCAATAATGATGTAAAGGCCAAGGAGCATGGCGCCCTCGAGGTAGTTCGATTTGCCATCCTGAACAGTATATGTTACGACCAAAACGGACACGGCGAAAGCAACAGTTTCGACTGTATCATGGTTAGCACACCTTTACTAAACACAAGATCCATAAGATTTCAAGTATAGTGCAAACTTACAAGTCTCAAAGTGGAGCGTCATGTCGCGTCCGATAATCCAGCCAACAATAACCAGGAATGGAGTAACCCCAAGGGCAATCTGGATACTGGAGCCAATGGCTACACCCATGGCCAAATCCATCTTGTTGCGAAGAGCGACCACCACAGCAGTGACGTGTTCCGCAGCGTTTCCAACAATGGGGATCAAGATTAAACCGATGAATGCCTTGCTGATATTCGCGCTTTCGACGATGTCATCGATGGATCCGACCAAGTAATCGGCACAGATGGCAACCAAAATCGTTACGACGACAAGAACTGCGGCGGCAGCAATCGGGCCAAGAGTAGGATCCTCAGGATCCTCGCCTTCGGCAAGCTGGCTTTCGGTGTCAAAGAGGTTGCTGTGAGTGCGGAGCTGGAATACCAGGTAGAGAGCGTATAAAACTAGCAGAATGATGGCGGTACCCCGAGAGAGCACAAGAATGCTTCGATCCTTGTCCTCGAGATTAGTGTGGCCCTGGTCGAGAACGCCATACAGCTATAGGTTACATGTTAGAAAGAGATCGTCACAGACGCTTGCGCGGGAGATGTAAAATCAAACATACCGCAGCAGGGATCACCAGAGAAGCAGATGAGAGCGTCATGAGAGAGCATGTGGTCTGAGCAACGGCTGCTGAAAAGGTTTGTTCGGTACCGCCGCCTGAAGTACCACGGTGTCGGAGACCTCCGAAAAAGAAGCACATTCCCATAACCAGCAGCAGGTTGGAAAGGATGGAGCCGAGCATGGAAGACTGCACAACCTCGATCTGGTTGTCTCGGAGAGCCACAATGCTGACCTATAAAGGGTCAGTATCCCACCGGTATAGCATATAGTAATGTGTTAGATATTGAGCCACATACAATCAGTTCAACAGCATTTCCAAAGGTCGCGTTCAGCAGTCCACCAAGGGTCTCGCCAAGCTTGAGAGATATTTCCTCAGTCGCAAAAGACAGAACGGCAGCAAGCGGGATAATGGCGAAGAAGTTGATCGTGAAAACGGCGGTTGAATTCCATCCAAGGCGGCCGGCAATAATACCAATGGGAACCATGATGAGCAAAAAGTTGATGTAGTCTAATTTGATAACAGGTGATGTCAGTTATTTCCATACTCCTGAGAGCCAATTGTTTCTGCGCGTTCATCCGCTCCAAACTTACTGCTCAGCAAGGTGACCTTGGCGACATGCCAAGAATAGGCAAGTGTTCGCACAGCAATGTTTTCGCTATGAGTGCCCGGCGTGTGCTTGGAGTCGAAGAAGAACCGGAAGGCTGCGGAGCGCTCATTGCTGCTGCTCTGGATATGGTTCGGGGTGCCATTGGACGAGGCGCCCTCGCCGTTGAGCAGCGGCGTGCGCTCGTTGGAGCTTTGTTTGTTGCTCATGGTTCGTCGAATGGTTTTCGAGCGGCTGAGATTGGCTGAAATAAAAGAAAACGTTGGATTGCAATTAGCGAGCGAGTTGGAAGAACGAAAGGCGGAATCGTTTGCGTCAGTGCGGGAAAAGGGAGTAAATAGATAAAGGGTTAATGATCAAACGAATGCGCGCGTGTAGGAAGGGAGAGTTGAAAAGTTGAAAAGTTGAAAGTTGAAAAGTTGTCCGCGGCTGAAAGTAAAGTTTGTAGGAAGCAGGAACAGCGATCGCAGCCACAATATTAACTCTCAAAAGCCCATAGGCACACAGGAGGGGATCGCGGCTAGCCAAGGGTCTAGTATGGAGAGTACGGTAGGATGGGGACACAAAATTTGGCCAAGACGAGGCAGGGATGAAGTAATAAAGCGAGAGTGCCACACAAGGCTGGCTGAGTTTTTTTTCTGTTACTCTCTCTTTGGGGGGCGTGGGTGTAGATAATTCTCGAGAGGAGGGGGGAAAAGATCGCTCGTTATAAAAGCAACGCGCGCGTGGCGTTTAGTTCTGGGGGGTTTATGTCACCGATTGCAGCTTTGGGGTGGAAAAGAGGAGACGAGCAGAGAAGGGCTTTAGATTTGCAATGTAATGGCACGCATATCGGTCTGGGCGATAGTGTAGTAGGCAGGCCCATTGACGAACAGTAATAAACCATGTCGACTTACATATGCCCTTGACCATGGCTGGAAGCTCCGGGATACACAGGACCGGCGATATTTTACCCGGAGATGGCGGGAAACGATTGATGGCGCAGCGTGCACGAGAACAAACGATAATTGGAGTGTCCTCTCTTCTCCAACTGCCCTTTTTCCTATTGGCACAAGTAGGAGCACGCGCAGCAAAAATCAAAGTGGTGGCAGCAATGGAGAGAGAAGAGAGAGAGAATTCACAAAGCACGCACGTCGGTTTGAATCAGCGAGTCGCTTTACCGAGCCAGGCTAGGGCGGGTCCACAAGGGGTCCCAGCGCTCGGGTAGCTGCGTGGGTGTCGCTCATAGCGGTGGATGTACCGGTACCTGCGCGTTTCCAGCTGGCAATGGCATCTCATCAGGCACTGGACTGGCGCTGACTACAGACAGGTACAGGAATTCTACCGTGCTATGATATGACACGGTCGCTCTCTGCCTCGGCCACAGCCCAGCGAAAGGATTTACGCCTTGGTGCCTTGCGCAAAATCAAATACTACCTACAAATTTCAATTGCATTCTGTCGTATCGAGCCGCAGTATAAAAGGCGTGGTGGACGCCGGGCGCGTAGGCGCATGGCACGGATAAAAGGCGTCTTGGCACTCGATCTGGATTCACACACAGGCGCTGGGAGGCCTCCAGACGACACCCCCTTCTGCTGCAGACAGAGCGCGCGTTCAGTTGCGCAAATCTGCATGTTTGTATGACGAGCACGGCTACCTATAACCTCCGGTCCGATTCTGGAGCTTCTCGTGTATCAGGTAAGCATGTGCGAGCAAGTGCTGCAAATAAACGTACATCCTCTCAATGCCTCACAGCCTCTTTTATTTTTCCCTCATTTGCTTGTTCGGACGAGTAGGTCACAAAAGTCTGCTGTTTCTACAAGTAGGTACTGCCGGCCTAGCAAAGGCGTATCCATACTAGCACCTGAATCAAAACCCTTTGGCGTGCCCCCCTTGAAGTCTCCAACCAGCCTAAAAAAGCTTGTTAACAATAACCAGGGAAGCGTGTACGTGTACCAGTACTAAAATGCGCATCCGAACAAGACGGTGGAGAAGTACTTCAGGGAGGAGAGTGTGGAATCGACGACGTCATACGCACGATTCAGCACAAAGAATTGCTCTTCTTTTGCCCAAACACCAATAAGACGTCTGATAGCATTTGCTGTGCCTGGGCAACCGGACGGGGAATTCCGCTGCTTTCGTTTACCTCGGGCCAAAGAAGAGGTACACACGTAAACGTTAGTGTCCTGAGGAATACACGTACACGGAAAAGGGCAAGATTATATCATCAACCACACCGCGATATCCAAACGACAACACCCTTCGAAAATCAAAGCAATTGGCAGTCCAATATTCAAATCAACACCTATAAAGTGAGCACGTGCTCCCCCAGAGCTCCCCTGATGTACTGCTACTCTGCTAAACCACTTTCTGCCTATACTAATCGACGCCAACAGGCTACCAGCAAGATACGTCTTGATCTCAACTCGCTCCTCTTTTGCTTCGCCTCAATCAGCCCCAATTCCAACCACTCGCAACGGCAATATTGTAATTAAGCTTATTTCTTCCCCCAGCAGCCCGTGACATGGTTAGACAAAACACTTTTTCGATGCCTAAGCAGTCTGGCTAGTGAGGGAAAAGTCATGAATTCCATTATGCGTTTTCGTGCCAATTTGACTTCATCCCGCCGACTTTCTAGAACCGGCCTCTTCCAACTACTGACTCGCCCCCGATGCTCCCCCATATTGGGAGGGTTGCATTCTTCCCACGCCATACAAAGCTTGTCTCGTCTCTGTATCAAGCCGGGCTCTTGGCGCATTTGGCCAAGCCCAGAAGCCCCTGTAAATTCAATCTTATCGATAGCCTCGGGAATGCTAAGAAGCGGCAACGTGCAGATCTCCTGTTGACTGCTGTTCCACAGCATCAGGTCGCCGTGAGAGGGCCGAATTGATATAAGACGCATGCCCAGGGGCTTTTTCAAGAAATTCACATGTATTGCTACTTTTGTTACAGGTAGCTGAAGTACAAACAATAATCAGATGACGGCACGTTGAGTGCGGCCCAGCCAGCTGGTCCCGGCGTGGGCGACTCCGAACTTCCCGCCAGCGGTGCCCGGCGACGTCAATTGACTTTTCAAGATTCCCACCCCGGCCTTAGTCAGCCACGCATCAACACGCACCAAAACGCCGCCTCCAAGGGCCAACACGGAACAGACAGACAAATGCCACCACGTTACCGAGTCCAACTTCCGCTCTTGTCATCCATGTACATGCTCAGCCTCGCACCACTGTCCACGTTACCAAAAACCACAGCTGCCAAGCGGAGCTAAACGGACACTTTCAACGTCTAGCTCGCCACAGTCTCTCTCCAGCCTCTTCCCCAATACCAGGTCGCCATGTAGCTGGATCGATCAAAGAGGCACTTTCGTGTCTCATCATATTTCTCCAAGAGCTAGCACTGCCCGTTAGCATCACATCAGGCCCGACCAGCTTGGACAAGCTACGCTGCCCAGCGTGCCCAGAACTTACCAGCAGAATAAGCCATGAACCACGTCAGCGAAGCTCCGCCATCCAGCCACTGAGGGCTAAACGACCGCGAGCTAAAGAATTCCCATGCCTTCTTGGGCTCGACTGAGGCATAGCTGGCCCAAATGATGCCCTTCCAGGCATTGCCAATGTCATCAATCCTGCCGTTGCTGAAAAATGCGTCCCATTCCTCCTGTACAAAACCCTTGGTCCTCACGAATGGCGTCGAGGGTAGGATAGGGATCATGTGAATCCCTTGGATGGCCTCAATGTTAGGATCGAAATACGTCGTATGGTCTATCTTGTTCTCAAATAGGATACCCGCGACTTTGTTGCCAATAAACTGCTTGGGCTGTACCTTGTTGTCATTTTTGTACAGGTAATAATTCTGCAGGCTGCGAGCAATGATGGAGAGCTGCAAGTTGCCCCTATTTTCGATATTAGCCGCCAAGACATATCCTTGAGCGTTCACAGCCTCTCTGTTCATTACCTCGCCTCGAGATCAGCATTCTTGCTGACCTTGCCCCACATTTTGATGGCATACGCATGCATCATGTCTTCTGAGCTTGATTCTTGGTCCTGCTGGTCATTAGCAGATCAGGAAGCACAGCCATCTTGAGAGAGTTTCAATTACCTTGCCGTCCATAGCGGCATAGAGACCGTGAGCCCAGCTGTGGCCGTGGTACCAGTCAAAATTGCGCCACAGGGGAAAAAGCTTGTCTTTTGCGCTAGGATTGGCTACATCTCGAACCAGAACGTTGACATAATCTCTGTTTTGCTTGAGCCAATCTGGATCTAGGTGACCAATGATTGCGGCAGCAAGAATGTGATAGCCGTAATGGAAATGGTGATCATTGTAGTACGTGTTTCCAAAGTCGGCCCCAGAATTACCCGTAACATAGCTTGCAGATGATACAATGCCACCCCAAGCAGCTGCAATAGCATGACTTGTTAGCATCACGGCGTATGTTTACAGATTAGCAGCAGAATTCAAGAGACATCGACTCACTTTCGTGAACAAGAGGAAATTTTTGTTCATTGGCTGCAAACGTGGCAAATGCCACCTTGAGTTGTCCCAGTCCAGTGTTTGTCAGAGCTCTATCGCCTAACATGTGCTTGATCACGTATAGAATTGTTGCAAATTTGGCTAGGGCCTAGGAAGGTTATTAGTAGCATTCCAGGGAAAGGAGAGATTGAAGGAGAGAGATTAATAGCCACCTTTCCACTAAAGTACATGGAATCTAGATTGCTTTGCGCAATCATGTTTTGTGCCACTTCTTTTGCAGCCGCCGCATGGATGGTTCTCTTTGCATGGTCCGACAGCTTCTCGACGCTTCCTTTCTCCGGATCCCAGGGAGCAAAAGACATATCAACCGGCATCTCTGGTTCAATCATGGTCCACCGATTTCCCCTTACTAGCGTGGCAATGCCCTTCGTAGTAGACTGTAGCTGTGCCTGTTTTTGTATGCGCTTCTCTGTCTCTTTGTCAAAGGATTCGACATGGTGAGGAAGAGCATACATGTATAGATGGCCAGTCTGATGCCCAGCAACGTCGAAATTGAATGAATAGCTGCCTTCATAACCGCGAGCTGTACCAGACAACTCTAACGTGACTGGATAGATGCCCGCACCATCGTCCAAAAGATTCTCAGACTCTTGGTTTTTCGGGCACTTGCAGACTTGAATAACGCCATAGAAGGGCTTCTTTGATTCGGCGAAGCCGTTGTTGACCACTTTGAGCTCCAGCGGCTCCCCCCTTGTTTTCCAAGCGTACACCAGCCAAGTTGTTCCATCTTCCAGATCGAATGTGAACTTGGATAGGTCCGACTTGAGATTCCGTGTAACCCGAGTCATAGTCTTGAAGAATACACCAGTCTGAATAACGGGGGTCGCGCCGTTGTATTGTGCCGTGATATATGCCATTCCTTGTATCAAGGGGAACGAGATGGCCGGTTCCGATTCGCTATCCTTGCTGAGATGGACACGGGCAGAGAAAGCCGTCATGCTATCTATGCTGAGAGCAGTTTCCTTTCCCAACTCTTTGGCTGAAATAACCAAAGAGTGTATGCCTACGGGGTTGAGGTAGTAAGACGAAGCACCATTAAACTTCTCCTTGCCGAAAACCCGCTGGCTAGCTTCGGTGTGGGAACAAGCCATTCCCCAGCTAGCCGTCACTCCTTTTCCTCCAGCCCAGGCTACTGAATATGGAAATGTAAAGGTCGGGCACCGCTGATCTTCCAGAAAGAAATTGGAATAAAACTTGTTTGTCTGAAGCGGTCCATTTTCTGATATTCCCTTGCGCGGCACAGGGTGGTCCTTTCGAGTTGAGATTTGTGAAGGCGGCAATCTGACATCAATAGGCTCCGCGAAAATATTTTTTGATACCATTTTGTCTTTTGGTGTAGCTGCTGGAGTCTCCGAAGAAGCTATTCGTGTGCTGAATGGCACTACTGTCTCTATGGCTGGCAACTGAGACGGCTTGGATGTGGCCTTGGGTGTCTTTGGCCTGCTTTCACTTTCAAAATTGGTGCTCGATTGAGATGAGCTTGCAGTTATAGCTGAAGAGGGACTGGCAGTCACAGTGGTTGTCGTCGTGAAGGTGCTCGTAGTGCAGCTGTAAGTATTGGCCTCGAAGTCAGTAGATTTGGAAGCAGTCGTGTTATGAAACCGGCCCCCAGATACCAATGCTTCGCTCAACAGGAACCTTCCAAAGGGAAAACGTGACTGAGTCTTGACTGAGCGATCTGATTTGACGGTTTCTGTTGAAAAGCCAAAGCGATCTTGATTGATATCTGCACCGGGCAAGGCGAGAGTTCCCTGAGCAAATGTTAGCCAGCCAATCCATGTTAGCGTGTGATATGGAGTCATGATAATGATGAAGGCTTAGATATCTCCAATTCAACATGGCTCCCAAGCATGAAGTTTCGAGCGATTTGCTGTGGCCCAAAATATTTTTGAAAACCAGAGCAAGACAGGTAACAGACATAAAAAGGTCTTCCGTGGTATTAAAGGGTTCCATCGCTGTAGAGGAATGGGCATCAAGGAGCACTTCTTTTGTGGGGGAAATGATTCACAACCACGCATGGCTCCGAATTCTCAAATGCTTGGAATGGGGGTCGACCACAAAGGGGGAAGAGACAATCACTGGCGGAGTTTGTTGTTTTGAACATACCCTTTGTCAGACGTTTCCTGGCTATACCACGAGAGCTTCAGATATGGTCAGTGGTGCGGATGAAGCAATAGTGGTGGTGATTGTGGTACACAACTGCAATGCCTGTGGAGGGCTGATATTGGAGAAAAGAATATGTAAACAAATAAGTATAAGACACAAGGATAACCAAAAAAGAGGATATGTGCTGGGGTAATGAATAGGTGCGGCCTGTAGGATGAAAGGATCCGATGCAAAAACTTGAAGCTAAAGCAGCTGACTAGGTATAAAAGAAGAAGTCTGTCGACACCCAAGGCTAAGAAGAATGTGAGTAGATGCTTCACGTGCTGATAAACATCTGCAACACGAGTGGAGCTATTATTGGCAGGAGGCGCCTGGGTGAGTCAACAAAAGCAGTCTGCTCTGACCGGCCTTCAATTTGCCAAGTTTTCTGTTTTGTCAGCTGCCACTTCCCACAATTGAGTGGTAATTGTCCAAGAAAGAGCTTCTCCCAATGACAAGCGCCGTGTCACCCCGATTTGGCCGGCGTACGTTGAAAGCAATGTCCGTGAGTGGGTCACGGGGCGTGCCGTTTGCCTTTTCTTTTCTCAATTGGGATAATTTGATGTGGCAGCTCTTTTGCGAAAAGGTGAGCGAATGGTGGGTAATCGAGTGCCGCTATGTAGTGTTGCCCGGGAAGACTGCGAGCTCTGGTATGAGCTGGCTTGAGACTTGGGAGTAAACAAACCAGGAATGTTTGAGGGGAAACTGTTGGTGACCGCTGTGGAGCTGCTAACTTGGTGCTTGGCACATGGGTCTTGGGATATCAGCTGCGTGTGACGGTGTTGCGCTGAATTGTTTGGTTTGGGTAATTCTTCTGCTGTGCTTGTTCTATGTTTGAATTTGCGGCTTAGAGTGTGCAGACATGTGCATGAGTAAGAGGATCGGCAACGCACTGCTGGATTTTAGACGTCACTCGTACGGTAGAATATTTACGTTAAATCTCTATCAACAGAAAGGGTGATTGCTACGCTTATTCCAAATATCTTTGCATGACTTGTTATCGCCAAAAACACTCATGTGCTATAATCCAAGAGCACTGTATTTCCCTGTTAATGCATGCTCCTTGATAATCATCCGCATTCTCTTGGCTGCGCCGTCGTCATCAGAGCCTTTTCTTTTCATGCCTCTCACGGGTAGCTTCGCATCGGCTGCTTTTTTTCTGGGCTGCTTTTTCTCCTCCTCCTCCTTTACCCTCTTCTGTTCCTTCTTTGCCTCGGAGCGTTCTGCTTCTCGGCAACAATGACGTATATCTTTATCTCGAAGCAGCCAGGGTATATCCAGGATGTCGCGATGAAACTTGGTCCGCTTCTCCCAGAGCACTACTTCTTGAGCTGTGTTCTTCACGATGACCATCTTTTCAATGTTGATCTGTCGTTCGTCACGGTACGTTGATAATCCTCCTTTCACGTCAACTACCGTGCCTACGTCAATATCTGCGTAGGGGTCTGCCTGTTGTAAATCAGCCGCTCGTGCTTCTGTCATCGCCCGGGGTTCGCAAGCTGCCACTTCATTCTTTGGTTCTGCAGAGATTGAAGCTGTAGTCACGGCAAAAATATTGCTGCCGCTGCTGTCATCAATGGAATATAGTCGTCGGTTGACGAACTGTTCGACGGCGACGACGACACCAACGATTCGCACCCATTTTATTGGCAGGTTGTTGTAGAAATAGAAATGTTCCGCTTCAACAAGAGTAAGTTTTTAGAAAAGGACCAGAATCAACTTGAGAACTCCTCTCTCTATCGCGTACGCACCGTCAAAGCCGGCATGTTGATCCAGAGCATGGATTTCGGCAGCGTGCAACAGGCACCACGTATTCACGGTTGGCGATAGGTGGAAACAGTATCGCGGGTAGAGTGTCGGCTTGCTTGTCTCGCTCATGGAATGTCTATCCTGGCGCCTTGATTCACTGGCGAATCAAGGTGCACAAGTCCATGGTCGCGCAGCTAATTTCGCTTTCATCATCTGAAGAGAGAGAGAGAAAGAAAGCAGAAATATGAAGATGCGTTCTGGGAAAGGTCAATTCGGCTGTGGCGCGCGTCACTGCTTAGGCCCCGCTATCGTCCCAGGGAGCTTGGATAAGCTGCGGAACACTGTGACAGGCCGATCCAGACAAATAGGTAGCTAATAGACATATGATAGAACCAATCGCAAATATGCCGTCAATTGTTCAATTCATGTACATTTGTCTCATTGTCTGATGCTGTAAATTACCAAGATATTCCTAATAACCTGTGCTACACGACGCCTTAACCTCAATCCCGAACCCTTTCCCTAGTAGCTCAATGGAGCAAATAATAATCCAGCCTGTAATCCCATACTCCAACAAACAAATTGATAAGTCTACCGGCGAGATCTCGTCGATCGTCGGCTTGAGCCTGAAGCAGAGTTCTCCTCTTTACCAGAAGCCCTTGCCTTCTTAAGCCTGGCCGCAGCAGCTTGAAATGCTTCCTCTGACGGCTCCTCTTCCTCTTCCTCTTCCTCAATAACGCGCTTCTTGCCCTGCTTCCCAGCAGAGCTCTTTGCCTTTGCACCGTATTTCTCAGCCAGATGGTCGAGGAAGCCCTCAGACCGATCTTTCTGGCGCTTTTGAATCAGAGCTGCTAGATCGTCTTCTGAGTTTCCCTTGCCCTTCTTGCCCTTTGCCTTACCACCAAAGATCTTGTCGTGCACACCAAGCTCCTTGGCCATCTCTTCGGCTTCTTGCTCTTCTGCCTTGGCCGCCTTGGCACGAGCAGCACGTTTCCGCTTGTTCTCCTTCTTGTAGGCTGCGAAACTTGGGACGTCGCCGGTCTCAATTGCTTCGTCAATAATGTTGCGAAATCTCTCGTCATCCTCAACGACATCACTGAGCATTACTCGCTCATACACCTGGTCCATATCGCCTTCGCACTCTTCGTAGGCAATGAGCAGATCATCCTTCTCCTCGTCAGACTTCTTGTATTTCTCGGCAAATGTCCTGATGGCATCTTCGGAGATTGCATCCTTGAACTGCTCCCGGTAGTAGTCGCTCCAGTTGAAGCCCTCGGAGTCAACAATGGACTCGGAGGTTGATCCAGTGGTGTCATATCGTTTCCGTCGCGCAGCATCCGAGAGGACGGCGTAAGCGAATGCGATGCTTTGAAAGGCCTCGTGCGCCTTCTCTTTCTGAGACTCTGGGACTTTGTCTGCATGGTTCAAGGTCAGCGATCGTAAGTCATGGCCTCTCTGAATTCATCTGTGCAACCCACCTGGATGGTTCTTGAGCGCTGCCTTGCGATATGCGCTCTTGACCTGGTCAGCGGTTGCGGTGCGCTCTAGCTCTAGGACCTCATAAGGGTCTATTGTCGGCGGCTCGCTGTCCGCAAAATCTTCGTGATCAGACATTTTCAAATAGCAATGGAACGCTGCAGATTTAAGTGTGGCGTGCAGAAACTTGAAGGAGGGTAGGCTGATGCTCTGTATCTGTGTCACGCGTCGCAACGCGCCCAGGAACCCGTTAAGCTTAATGGAGTTGGGGCTTGGGATCCACTAACTTCCGGCCTTTGGGTGCCTGAGCTCGCTGGAGAGAGCTGTCCAGCTACCGGCGGTCAAATTGAAAGCTGACATAGCGCAGCATTGGATACAACATATTTCTTACATGCGCATCCTCAATCATCTTTGCTGAACATATAAAATAATGGACTCATCCACAAGCCAAGATCACAAGACGTCAATGCAGCACGCATTAGAATTAGCAAAGAAGTCCCCGCCAAAGCCGACCAACTTCCGCGTGGGAGCCATCCTGATGAGGCTTGAAGATGGTCACATTTCCGCCGAGGGCTACACTTTGGAGCTTCCAGGCAACACACATGCCGAGGAATGCTGTCTCTTAAAGCTTGCAGAAGAGCACTCGACCACCGAGGAAGACTTGTCTACTGCGATCCAGAGCCCGCACGTGCTTTACACCACGGTCGAGCCCTGCTTCAAGCGTCTAAGCGGCAAGCTGCCGTGCGTTGAGCGCATCCTTCGTCAGAAGTCCTGGATCAAGAAGGTTTACGTGGGAGTCCTGGAACCAGAGACTTTTGTTGGGAAGAATCCCGGCCGCCAGCTTCTGGAAGATGCCGGTGTCGAGGTTCACTACGTGCCTGGATTTGAGGAGGAAATCCTTGCGGTAGCAGCTGCTGGTCACACATCGTCATGAAGCTGTCAGGCGAAGGGTTCTGCTGCTGCAACAATGCGGATATCTCCTGATCAAGCATACCAGTCACAAGCTGACAATTCACCTTTAAATTGTTGAAATCATCTGGCTTGGAAAGACCAAAATAATGCGTTTTCCTCTAAAAGAACAGAGAGAATAAAAGCACAAGCCATCATGGAAACCAAAAGGGTGTATAGTGTATACAACAGAAATAGCGAATCTGCTTAGATGGGGATGTGGGTGGGGACAATAACGCGGGGTTGCGCCGCTGAAGAGAGCTCTCCATAGCATTGAACCAACTACCTGAGGGACATACACTTACAGATACATACCTGACTTGGCGATGAAAACTAATTGAGAAAGTAGTCGATAGGAATCAGCATTGTTTATCACGGCATAGCACAAGAATCGCTCTTTGTTCTCTTCATCTCCAAGGTTTCGTGTCTCAACTCTCTACAAAGATCAGGAGAATCTAAAGCTTACTGCTCCACCGTCTTCTTCAATCGTCTTGGACAACGCCAAGAAAACAAGCACCCGTAGGCGAATCGCCATCTGATTCGCGGATCAGCAGCTCAAGCGCTAGACACCCTCCTGAGATCCCTGCTCAATATAATATCCGGCCTCGCATCGGATTTCCAGCCGATCCCGTGGCGTCCGGCAAAAGAGGAGAAAGTATTCGTATTACCCAACGCCTTGATCCATGTCCGCGTGACGTCGTCAAGACAGACTGTTCATGAGCTGATACTGCCTATGCTAAGTTAAACATTTGTTTCATATATCGCTTCGCGTTTGTCTGATACAAATAGCTCTCACCCCCCCTTGTGTTGTTCGGGGCCCAAAGTTTACCTCACCGCCCACTAATTGCTTCATATCTGTTGTCATTTGGGAATTGCTAGCCAACATGCTTGAACAAAAGATTGTATCCTTTGAGCCGGGAGACGGGTTCAGCATTGTCGGTGCTAATATATTTGCCGACGAAGAAGACTTCCCAGGCGTGGTTATTGCGGCATCCAATCTATCTCAAGACTTTACCAAGGTCATCGGATGTCAATCCAATCCCATTGTCAAAACTGGCCCTTCGCCTTCCGCAGGCAAATCGTGTATTGTTATCGGCTCTCTGGACAAATCTCCGACACTTCGGCTCCTGAAAGACCAAGGGAAAATTGATCCCAGTCGGATTGAGGGAAAATGGGAGTCATGGCTGACGACAATTGTGCACAATCCTTTTGATGGCTACGATAATGCATTGGTCATTGCTGGAAGTGATAAAAGAGGAGCTATTTTTGGCACCTATTCGCTCTCAGAACAAATTGGCGTATCACCGTGAGTATCTTTCTACGAAACTTGTCATGAGAGAATCTCCTAGCTGATTAGGCATCAATCGATAGATGGCATTGGTGGGCTGATGTACCTCCAAAAAAACAACAGCAGATTGTTGCTTTGCCCGTAACCACTTTCAATGGAGAGCCCAGCGTCAAGTATCGGGGCATCTTTATCAACGATGAGTGTCCAGGGATGGACAGCTGGGTCCACGAAAAGTTTGGCCCCAAGTTCGATTCAAATCTATATCATTACATCTTTGAACTGCTCCTACGACTCAAAGCAAACTTCATGTGGCCCGCAATGTGGAGAGGATATCCTTACCCTGGCCGGTCTTTCTTTGTCGATGATCCCAAGAATCAGGAGCTCGCAGACACATATGGTATCGTGATGGGCACCTCGCACCACGAGCCAATGCAGCGGGCCATGAACGAGTGGTCGACTACACAGCCTGAAGGCACCTGGAACTGGGACACAAACAAGGCAAAGGTTACTCAGTACTTTGAAGAAGGTGCAGAGAGGGCGGTGCCTTATGAATCCTACTTCACCATGGGAATGAGGGGCGAAGGCGATGTACCAATGACAGGCGGTGACCCTGTCAAGATCCTTACCGATGTATTGGCTGTCCAGAGAGACATTATCAAGAAGAACTATGGAAAGGAGGATGGAGTTTTGCAACTCATGGCACTCTATAAAGAAGTCCAGGGATACTACGAAAAGGGGCTTGTAATCCCTGACGACGTGACGCTCTTATTCGGAGACGACAACTTTGGCACCATTCGCCGCCTTCCAACAGAGGAGGAGAATAAGAGGTCTGGGGGCTCGGGCTACTACTACCATTTCCAGTACACAGGCTATCCGCGCTGCTACAGATGGATCAACAGCAATACTCTGGGCAAAGCTCTTCATCAGCTTCAGTTGGCTCACTACCGTGGTGCCAATCGTATATGGATCTTCAATGTTGGAGATTTAAAGCCTGTCGAGATTCCCATGAGCTTCGCATTCGACCTAGCCTGGGATGTCAATTCCATCACGGCCACTACTCTGCCGCAGTACTTTGAACACCTTGCTACACGTGAGTTTGGCGAGAAATACGCAAGTCAGATTGGAAAGTCCTGGTACGATTTTAATAAACTGGTGGCGATACGTAAGCAAGACCACATTGACGCATCTACGTTTGTCATTCAGAAGTACCACGAATCTGACAACATCCTTGCGCGGTGGGGTAAACTCATGGAGGAAGTTGAAGCCATCTACTCGCATATGGAGGAGGATCAAAAGTCGGCCTTTTTCCAGCTCGTGCTTCATCCCGTAAAGGCCACCTACATATTCACTCAAGTTCGTGTGGCTCAGTACACAAATCAGCTTTTCGCCAAGCAGCGCAGGAATACGACCAATGTCTTGTTGAAAAAGTGCATCAGCCTCATGGATGACGACCATGATTTGTTCGAGGAGTTCAATTCCATCTCGGATGGCAAATGGGATCTCATACTTCGTCAGCCGCACTACGGCTATGGCGATACCGGCGCGGAACCCTCACGCAACATGATTGATGGACTTTGTTACGTGCAAACTAAAGAGGACTCGAATCCGAGTGTTGGTCATATGGGAATAGCCGTTGAAGGCATTGAGGGCATCAACGCTGGTCATATCAATGAGGATTCGGATAGAACTCATCCATCCCGCGGAGGCCTCGAAGCTGGAGTGACCCTTCCGTTTATCACTCCTTACGGAGAACAGACCCGTTACTTTGAGGTATTCCATCGTGGTACAAAGGAGTTCAGCTGGAAGGCCAAGCCACAATATGACTGGATCAAACTGTCCACGTACGAAGGCCATCTCAACCCTCGAGATGATGATATCAGAGTCATCATCACCATTGACTGGGTGAAAGTGCCTGCTAATTTCGATGCCAAGGTCATGATTGAAATCACTGGTACTCGCGATGGCTACGAGCAGGTTCATTTGACTGTCAGGAACAGTCGTGTTCCGGCTGACTTTGAAGGTTTTGTCGAAGAGAGCGGGCACCTAGCTATTGATGCCGGGACCTATGTCACAGAGCCCTATATTCAGCTGCCTGCTCTCGGTCGGCCTATTTCTGGAGCCGTCACGCTCCCCTTCGATACCGATTTCAGCAAGCCGGATGATATTCCATTTCTCAAGTATCCGATTTACGTCTTTTCCCAGCACGATAATACTAATCTCGAGCTTCAATTCAACATGACGCTTGAAACAGAGAAAACAAAGCGGATGCAATATGATGTGCGCTTTGACGGTGGATCTATCAAAACATATCGCCTTACCGAGGATGAATCGAATGCCGAGGACACCCCTAAAAACTGGGCCGCCGCCGTCATGGACTGCGTCTGGAAGAAAGGGCACAACTTGGGCACGGTGAAGAAGGGTAGCCACACGATTGAGGTGCGGCTTAGAAGCCAGAATGTTTGTCTAGAAAAGCTGCTTCTTGATCTTGGAGATTTGCGATATACGTATCTGGGGCCGCCGCAGAGTGACTTTGTTAAGGAGGGGAAGAGTAATGGTATAGACGCTATTGGACATATGGATAGTTTGGAGATTGATTTGGGCTTTTGATAGGGATTTTTTGGATATGCAGACTAAATCAGGATCTAATAAGTATTTCTTTCTTATCAAGAGGCTACAACTTCATTTTAACAATTAAGTAATAGAACCTGACAAACAGTATATTAAACGTCAAAGCCTATCAACAGCAGTATATACGGCGCATGCCACGATATATCGATACTTTATTCGCCAATCCTATACGCTCACTGTCAGTTTACCGTGTATTCTAAATAATCACTTTCAGGATCTACGAACCTTGCAACGAGCTTCTTCGCGCTCACTTTTCGGTCAAATAGCGCCTGCACTCCCGCAACAATACCATTCAAACCATCCGGAAGCACTTCAACAGGGTGAGGCTGAATCTTCCCTTCTGCCAACAAATGGCTCAAGTATCTGTAAAACCAAAATGCAAACTCCTGGTCCACTTTTGCCTGCTCTTCGCTAACTATACCCCACGTATCGCCATGGGAAGAACCAACCATCGTGGCAGAGCGTTCAACGCCGTCTGGGAATTTCCAGTTTTTGTCTTCGACAGGGTCGACCATGTTGATAGTGCCACCTGCAGAAGCAGCAAGTACTTCTGAGATGGGCTCGTAACTACGAGGATCAGATATGGAATCGAAAGCAAGCTTTATCTTGTTCGATCCTGCAGCAGTGATGATCTTTTGCGCAACGTCTCCTGTCCGGTAGTCGATGATGTGATCCGCCGCATTGAGTGACTTGACAAAGTCGATTCCATCTCCGGCAACTGTGATGATGGGTCCGAGGTTACTCAGTTTAGCGAGCTGCAGCGCAAAGGCTCCCACGGCTGTCGCGCCGCCCCAGATCAAGATTGGGATCTTTTCGGCATTTGCTTCGGGAATGGCTGTTGGCAATGGCACTTTCAGGGCCTGGTACAATGCAATGGCGGCTGTCATAAAGGCCAGGGGAAGCGAAGCACCTGATTCGAAGGAGATGTTTGGTGGCAAATGAAACGTTGTGGTAGCTCTGACAATGGTGTATTCGGCGTAGGTGCCGTGGGGAGTGAGCATGCGGTGAAAGCCGGCGACGCGATCGCCTGGTTTGAACTCGAATACCTCTGAGCCCACTGCTTCGACGATACCAGCTACATCGTCTCCTGCGTTGAATGCTTCTGACTCAGTACGTTGTCGTGTGGACTAAAGATTGAGAAGTTGTAAATAAAACTGAGGCCCGTGTGGTAGTATAAGTCATACTGATTCACCATACCTTCCAGTCTTTCGGATTCAGCCCGGCATAAATGACTTTGATGAGCACTTCTTTTGGTCCTGGTTTTCTTCCAGCAAGTTAATAACAAGTTTGAGACTCGTAATCATTTTAAAGAAGCAGCGTACGGAATTGGTGTCTCTTTAATGACGCCGCCATATTTAGGCTTGGCATAGATGAACAGTTCTTTCATTTTTGAGTTGTTCTACTAACGGTAGCTGGCACAATGTTGAAGTCGAAGTAGAGAATGGGAAAGCGAAAGTATTTAGCAATGGATCTATGGACTATTCTCATTGCAGTTATAGCCGTTTAATTACCAGCTTCCCCTCAAACCGTGGCATGGAGGTATTAAGACGCCATCTACAGCATGTCTTGTCAGTTCTGGGAACTACGACTCCACATCGGAAATACGTGAATGTAATCTACCGCGCGGGTAAAATGGATGTGTCCATCAATTGCTCCCTCTGCTACATCCCATGACGCGACTCCTTTCTCTTTCCAACGAAATAACACAGGTGGTTCAATGAGATCGACAAAAAAAATTTCGCGTATTTAATATATGATCGTATGAACAGATATTTATGCGACATGTTGACTTAAATTTGTCAGCGTTGTAGCTAATTCCGAGTTCTTTACCCACACAGCCCACGAGATAGTTGTAGCATTGCATACTATGTACCTATATTGCATTTAGGCTAGGGTAATATTGCTGGTGTGTCTCTATTCCACTTCATCGAAAAGCACTTCATATATTTAAATGCTTCTTTTCACACAATAGTATGCTGCCTTTCAACACTTATAATTAAAGCTGTGTTAAATTGACGGAGCGCCTTCCACTAACGCTGCATATTAAGACAGCTATTTGAGTGAAGTTTGAATTCAGAAAGACATAGTAGTGTCCCGTATTGTAGATATTGAGATTAAAAAAAAGTCCAGTATTGATAGGCAAGCTCTTATGTTTCTTAAAATTACCTGTGCTATAGCCTCAAGTTAGGCCTTCATTTTTTAGACCTCAATAAACTGTCAAAAACTTAGACGAAGTATGTAGTACTAAATATATCAATTCTCTGAGCTATGACTAGGTATTCAAAAGCTGTACATCCAAAGTACTTTTGTTACCGACAGAAGTATTCTGAGAGCACAATCCTTCTAAGTATGAGCATTGCAAACTTTCCATACCTAAAGCTACCTAAGAAGAACTGTATCCAATAGAAAAGAGTGCTGCTTATCCAACTGCCGTTTTGAGGTTTACCGGCGACATTGCCTTTTACATCTATCACAGAGTTCCGGTGACATGAGCCTGATACTTTCCCAGGCAAGATTTGGACACTGCGGCGTGACAAAACTGTTCATGACAAGATGCGGAGGCCCATTTAAGAACCACCAATCGCAGTAGTCCCATGCTATTCGGGAACCATAATCGACAGCCATGACGTGGCCGTTTCCGCAGCAGATGTTGCCATTGTCGATGCAAGTAGGCTTAGTGCAGGGACAGATGTCATAAATGCGAGTTCTTTTACACATTGTGATGGGATTCTCTCTTCCTTGGGACAAATTATGGTGGTTTCTTTTCTTTTCTTTTTCCTTTGTGCTGAGGGTAGTACGTCTGTCAATACAGCTTCAAAAAGCATAAATGGATATCGACTTGGTTAAATATTTTATAAAATGCTCCAAATCACCACCATTGGCGTAGAGGATGGCTGACTCACTCATAGCCCAAGTTGAACAGCTACTGAGTGATTGACTGCTATTGAAGTGCGTATTATACAAGATAGTGCGGTGAATATGAGCTCAGCCTTGGGTTGCAGTGATAGAGCTGTGTATAGATACAAGATTAGCGAGTTAATATTGTGTATGAAAACCTCTGCGCCAGCACTGCTAATAGTGAACAGCGACTGAACAATCACCCGTCATACAGTTCTCATATAAAACCACAGTTCAGGACAGCCAAATACCATGGCTTATATAGCCTTCAGTACAATCAAGCTTATGAGATGGCAGGCCAGCTAGGATAATCATATAAGAGTAATATTCTGATCAATGGCATACCGGTTTACCTTCGATATATGGTATCTGTTACAGCCATGGCTGCAGGTAGCCAACGCACCTCGTGGCTTTCTCACAGCTTTGGCGATTCTATCATTTACCGTCCAGAGCATTGTAGTTGCCATGTGATCAATATCTGTACCTATACTTTCTAGGTTTATACTAATGAAGGCAATGATCAATGATATCGCAAGGCAGGCAATGCTGATATTGTTTGTCCTTTGGGGGTCTTGTACAGTCGACAAGACGCTCTAGCTGCTGTATTAGCCATGCCGCATCATCTTACGGGGCGGGCTAAAAAGTCAGATTAAATAACATATTACTCATATGCGGCTTAAATAATCGAGTAACCGGCCAATAGTGTGTTGGAGTTTTATTTATGGAAGATGCTCGTTATCTCTTTATACATCTGTGTTTCCATTCTTTTGTCTCATCCGCGGGAAGTAGTAGCCTTTTGATGACAAGCGGCCTAGCCTATCTGGCCAACTCGGTAGGTGGACTAAGATTTTCCATGACTCGACTTATAAGCTACGAATGCGGTTTTATGCGGAGAAATTATAGTACCTATGTCCGCTGATGGAAGCATTACAAAGCTCATAATTCCACAGTCGCCCGTGCTTGCTCTAGGATTAGCTCAGGGCGGCGACGTAGTTTAATTGGTCGGTAACTAAGCTACCTGTAGTACTAATTTTACCAGTTCTTCAGGCGGACTTTGTAGCAAGACCATTACACGGATCTTCGGTATTAGGCGAAGCTTGAATATGGAATCATTTTCTTATTATCGTAAGAGGAAATTACAATGTTTAATAGATAACTATAACTTTATCAAAACATTTGCAGTCTGTGTTTGCATAGACAGTATCCGACTTTGGGTAATAGGGGGGAACAGAAAGCCAAATCGATAGAAAGCGATGAGCCACTACAAGGATTTTGGAGCTATGATGTTACTTGCATGAGATGTACCAGATATCAACAAGGTTCCGTGATCGAAATGCTAATCTAGTAACTTTGTGCAGGCCGTATTTAGTGTCCGCAGTGTCTGAATGCGTTACATTCTGCTCCATTCATACCTCATTGTCTTACATGCTTTAACGACTATACCCCGAGAGAGGGTTGGTCTAGTAGGTCTATGCTGGCCTTGCTAGGGCTACAAGCTTGCGGCGCTGTTTTCTATCCTGATGGGGCGAATAAAGCCGTGGCATTCTTTTAATGAGTTTGATAAACAAAGAACGCTAACTGAGACTAGTAAATGGATTCCACAGCTGATTTTAACTCGTATAGTCATGAACATGAGCTTCGAATCTTAACTGCCTAGCCTATATTACGTAGCAGAGCAAATTCCCGTCAACCGGCTTCTAGAATAGATCATATCGCGACCTTTCCTGAGCGGTGATGGTTGCTAACTTTATTACTTATTCAGGAAACGTCTCTATTGAATACATAGCGAAGCGGCATGTATCCCAACGGCAGTGATATCTACCTAATTATCAGCTGAAGATTTAATAGCTTCATTCTCCTATTCAAAATTGTATATCTGATCCACGAGTTCATACTAATATACAAGTCTATAATACATTTAGCATTGCTGAGAACATTTACCTCACTATACTCAGGGAATAGCCTCCTTCCATATCTTACTGTTCAGTACAAATGGACGAGTCTCGTCTATTTAAACCTTTGAAGATTGGCAATATCGAAGTCAAACAACGGGTTGGCATGGCAGCAGTCAGCCGCTGTCGAGCTGATGGCGATCATGTGCCAACAGAGCTCATGAAACAGTATTATTGTCAACGAGCTTCAGTACCAGGCACCTTACTAATTGCTGAGGCTAACCTGGTATCAAAAGAACAAGACGAGCTGCTCAACGTGCCAGGTTTATATAGTGTACAACAGACGACGGCTTGGAAATCAATAGTCGACGAAGTCCACACCAAAGCAAGCTTCATATTTGCTCAGCTATACACGATAGGCCGTGCAGGTTACAGAGAAGTGAACGACGAAAAGGACTTCGAATTCAGAGGCTCGAGCGCTATTCCATGGAGAGCTGATGCCCGCACGCCAAATGCGATGACGCCGGCAGACATCAAGGAAACCATACGACATTTTGTACGGGCTGCAAAGAATGCGATGGAAGCTGGCTTTGACGGCGTCGAAATCCATGGTGCAAATGGCTATCTCATCGATACTTTCATTCAAGATGTCAGCAACCAGCGTGATGACGAATATGGCCGCAGTATTGAGAATCGATCTCGTTTCACATTCGAAGTTATAAAAGCTGTTGCTCATGCAATTGGCGTTAATCGAGTTGGACTTCGCCTAAGTCCGTGGAGCACATATCAAGGCATGAGAATGAAGGATGATGATACGATCTCGCAGTACACAGACCTGATTAAGAAGGCGGACAAGTTAGGCATTGCTTATATACATCTAATTGAGTCGCGCATCGCTGGCTGGGATGACGTTCCGGAGAACGGGCGATTTGATTTTGCATACAGCATTTTCAGGAGGGCAATCCTTGTTTCTGGGGGCTATACGGCCGAGTTGGCACGGAAGCTTGTCGACGAACAGCACCCAGACAAGGACATTGCAGTCATGTTTGGGAGATATTTTACATCAAATCCAGACCTCGTGTTCAAAGTACAACAGAATCTGGAGTTTACCCCGTTCAACGAGGAGGACTTTATTTATTCCAAGTCGTCTAAAGGATACACTGATTATCCTTTCAGTGATGAGTACTTAGGAAGTCTTAATGTTTTGACGCAGCTACTCTGCTGAGGAAAGGACTTGTTCTTTTTTTATAGCGAATTTTAGCGTTCAGCGTTTTTCTTCTGATATATGCTATATAATTGTTGATTATCTATAGATTCTATAAGCTTCATATGTACAGAGCACGCTCCATCGAAGCACAGAAGACGTGAAGTAAAAGCGCGTGGGCAGTTCGTCCTCTGGCGAGAGGCCAATTCTCTGCTTGCCTTTAAGAGTGTCTACATGCCAACACAGCCTACCGAAGTTGCTTCGTAATATCAAAGCGGGAGGCATGCAGTCATCTGTTTCTTTCAACAAAAGCCTTTAAGTTGTCCGCATGTACCTATGAGAGAAGACGGCAGATATAGGCACATTTCCTAAATAGGCAATTTTGTAGCAACCTGAGATTCCACGAAAGGAAAAGTCTAAATACCGGTACTCAACAATGGCGTGGGGCACCGCCTGATCCGCGATGCGCGTATTCAGGCTTTGAATAAGCCAATTCTCTAGTCACATTGCCAGGGCGAAAATAAAATTCATTGAGTTGAGAGCTATTAAGGATTTGTCTGCTTAGGTATTATTCATCATGGCAAGCACCTTCTTGCCATCCCCCAGAACCCCCCGTATACCGACCAAAGACCAGCTCTCCAACCAAGATTCCCGCAAGAACAGCCAAAAAAATTCCAATGTTAAAGGTCATGACTGCTAGCATTCTTTGCGCCAATATATTAGTTACAACGTTGAACCTAGGCAAAATTGCTGTTGACTTACAGGAGATATCCAATCAAAGCTCTTGAAAACTCCATAAACGCCCTAATACCGTCCTTTTCAAGACTCCAGGGCCCACTTGGCTGCCAATGCCCATATATCTTGCGGATTGACATGTTCTTATCGGACTGTTCCTGAGAAATGAGCCAGTCATCACCGTCCTCTTCATTCGTCAACGGGTCCCGTTCAGGATTATTTTGCCTCAGCATGTAAGTGGGTATCGGGGTTGCTTTGGCCTTGAAGAGCGCGCGACGGTTACGGCCGGTGGGCGGAGCAGATAGTGTATTCCTACTCTGGACTTGCTCGGACCAGGCTCGCTCTATTTGGGCTCTTAGTGCTGCCAGGAAACGGTTGAAAAGAGTCAGGAGGAAGAGAAACGCCACAGTTGCAGCATATGCTGCTACCGTGGTTGTGGTCCATGCTGTAAAGAACAGCGTAACACGGATGTTGGTGGAGAAGACTGATGCCATGGCCATTCCTCCCCCTCCTTTAGTTTCGTTGGACGGTGCAGTTGGCGCATATGAAGTCACCGCAAGGCGTTGCATGGACTCCATGTCTCTCTCTCTCTCTCAAAAGTGGTTGATGTTGAAGGGTTGGACCATGTACCAAGACACTGTTGTGATTCAAGGAGGTGTGGGTGACTACTGTTGGCAAAAGAGTAGCTTTATTGGTAGCACAACCATGCCTATTATATTTGATTGAGCAGTTACATGGGACTTGATCAGAAAGGCAACCAACATCAGCCTAAAAGATAGTTGCAACTAAACCATTAATAACTAACTACACTTATATGTATGTGCATGTAAATGTCTTTACTTAAAGCCTAGTCAGTTATTAAACAGGTTATACTTACTAATTGTTAGGGCAATATTTAGAACAAAATTGCTATACAATAGTGTTTTACATTTATATATTTCAATTGTAAGCTATATTTACCATATATTAGCAGACTTCTTTTTCTAATAGCAATTATATGTTTACCATTCAACTTACTCTATTTATGAAAATATAAAATAATACAAACTAAAAACTAAAATTCAAGTTAATTAGATAGTATATATTGGATATTAAATATTCAACAACTAAGCCAAGTTTACTTCCCTTATAAGCATCATGCTATAACTATAGCTACTAGATCATCCCATTTGGTGAGCCAGTAAAAACTAGCTCAATTCAACTCATTCCCCAAGCTAGCTGTATCAGAGCTAAGAAACTTGCTCGCCGAATCCTTTCATCTTACGTGATTTACGATACGGAACAAATTAGTATGGTACACATATGCCTGCCACCGGATACATCAGAAGAGAAATGATTTCACGGTGAGTTTGGTAACTTATTCGTATTCCATGTCTAAGAGAGCATTCTATTAAGCCAGTTCTGTTTCGCTGTGACTGCAGCATGGATAAGTGGCACGCTAGGGTTATCAATCCCATCGAATAAGTGAAAGGCCCCTGGCCAAACATGTAATTCACAAGTTGATCCGCAACGCCACATATTCATGGCATATAGAACAGCTGGGTCTCGGAAAACCTCGCACTCGGCAGCATCGATGTATGTTGACGGGAGCTTTGACAGGTCTGTTGCTCTAGACGGCGACTGATATGGAGTCGTCTTGTCTGTGCCCCTGTCTTGTCCCATGACGTGCGCCCAAGCCATCCGATTGGAGACACCACACCAAGGACTACCGTACTCAAATTGCTGGTCAGAGATGGTGTCGCAGCGATCATCCAACATAGGAGACAGTAACATCTGTCCTTTGACAGGAATGGTGGGCAGTTGTCTGTCCCGGGCCATCAAACAGACAGCAGCAGCTAGAGCCCCTCCACCAGATGACCCCAAAATAACAATTTGGGCCGGGTCAATTCCAATAGCAGCGGCGTTCTCAGAAGTCCAGACAAGTCCGGCATAGCAATCTTCTGCAGGCCCCGGAGCGCGAGTCTCGGGCGCAAGACGGTACTCAACGGATATGAAAACACATTCGATACCCTTCATAATGTCCAACAGCTCTGTGACGCCGGTGAAGCGGTCACCAGCAACCATGCCGCCGCCGTGGATGTGGTATAAAGCCGGTAGTGCGGCTGAAGTTGGCTGCTTTGGCATAAAGACTGATAGAACCAAGCCATCATTGCCCTGAGGCCCCGGAACGAGAAACTCTTTGTGCTTGAGATGTGGCGCACCGTTAATGATAGACTCTGACTGATTGGCAACTGTTTCTCCTTCTTCGCCAGCTGAATAATTGCGCATCAAACTGAGGTCCAGCTCCTCCGGTAGAAGGCACGAGTCAATAATGGGCGCGAGCGCAGGATCAATGGCTGGTCGCGAGATTTTAATCCTGGGATCAAGCCGTGCCGCTTGAGAATAAGGGAACGGGTACGTCGACATGTTTTGAGCCATTTACGCGAAAAGCGCAAGGGATGACCTTGGTGAAAAGTTTCCTCTAGCAGTAGTTGGAAAGGTCAGGGAAGCAGACGAGTAGGTGACTTCATGTTACTGGTAGGTGGTAGTTAGCAGATGCCACTCTTTTATATTGTTGCACACGTATTGATACCTGTACTTTGTGTACTTTTAGTGGGCTGCAGTGGGCATGGCCACTATGAGGCTTATTGGATTACATGCACCTACCCATATGAGGCCACGGACAAAGTCCACAACATCTATGCTACAGTAACACACGTAATCTGCATCCAATTGAGAGAGTCTGTGTCTTACAACATTGAGATTTTGGCGAAAATTTTCTTGCTAGCCCTATTTCACTCCGTCTTGAAAACCGACGTCTCAGCGTGCTAACCACTTTTCTGCTACATTTCTCTCAGGCATTCTCCAACAAGCTTGTTGATCTCTTCAACCAGATCGTCGCTCACGACGCCCTCTTGCCAGCTGTATCCAATTGTCATTGAGCCATCTCCGCCGGTAGCAACGCTGACAGTGACTGCGGCACCAGTGACCAGAGAGCTTCGACTGAGAACCACTTTGCCAACCTGCCAGATGGAAGCTTCGCTTGTCTCTGAAGTAGCGCGGGTGGGAAAGATTCCGACATTTGTGACTTCGAATGCTGCGTCCCGAGGCTTCCCAATCATTGGCTTGAAGATGGCAGAGACATCAGGAATAGTCTCGAGAGCAGAAACGGCCGTGTAAGGCTCTCCAGAAGGCGAGACATTGCTCAGGTAATCGTTCACCATACCCGAGACTTTCCTAGCGGCGGTCCATACGTCGTTAACCGAATGGGGGGCCTTGGGAATCTGCTCTGGCCGTTTGAATAAAACTCCAGTGGCATCGATGTATGATCCAAATGCATCATCACTGACTTCTCGGGGCAATTGAAGCCATGGGCGAATGTTAATGGGGATGATACAGGTGAGAGCCTCAACATCAGGCGGAAGAATGTCGAATAGCACCGTGGCAAGAGTAGATGAGATTACAGATGTGACTGAAAGTCCATTCTGCTTGCATTTGAGGAAGAAGGATTTGGAGACAGTTGGTGAGAGTTGGAAACAAGTCCAACGAGATTTGCAGGGATGCTGAATACTGTTACCTGTCCATTGATTAAGAGGCTCAGCGGCATCGGCGGGGGGTGCTGGATTGATTGGAAGAGGATGCAGTTGCCCGAGAGCTGGAAGGATTATCGCATCTTCCTTTGGCGCCACCGTCTCTTCTCTTTTAAAGCAGGCCGCAGGTGTGGAAGTAAAAGCTTCCAGTGCATCATGGAAAGATTTGTGAAACACCAACCCGGACACGCCATCTCCAATGGCATGATGGTAGATGAATGCAGCCGTAAAGTCCATCTTTTGCTCAGCGCTTTGCAGGACAATCATGCGCCAAAACGGCACCGTGCCATACCCAGTCTTGAAATCGGTGTTGTGCTGATCTTCAAGAATGGCATCGAGCTCGCGGTCTTGCCCTTCCCCAAGATCATTCCAAGGCTGGGATCGCGTGAGGAACTTGATGCTTCGACTTAGATCTACTGAAGGAAGTGAGGCAAAATGCGCATCAGGAGTGTCTTCATTGACAGGTATGGCACTGAGTATGCGATACTTTTTGACAACTTTTCCCACAGCCAAGTGGATGAGATGACGAAGGTCGAAAGCGGTAGGTGGTACGAGTTGAGAGAGTCTGTAGTGAACTGACAGGCCGACATTGTTGAAGAAGCCCAGATGGTGGCAAGTTGCTGACACCTGCTCGAGCTTGCCTGCAGTATATTGTTAGAGAAATGTGGTAATCAATAAAACAATGTTTTACGTTTGCTTTATGTTACCTAGTGGCCGCAGCTTTTCAAGCTGTTGGATATTTGCCATTGTGCTCTTACTACCTAGGTGGGTATGAATGAGAAAGAATCCTCTGTTGGACGACTTAACGGCTTATTTATAGAAGAACAAACTTCAAGGTTGTATAAGACGTACCCATGTTAAGTTATAAAAGAGTAGCAGCTTTTAAATTACGTATATATATTATTTCTTGGCTGTCTAGGTAGCTTATTATTAATTTCTAAGTTACAACTAAACTACATATAGTATAAAAAGCAATACATACCTAGATATAACATTATTTAAGAGTTTAAAGAGAGTATTTATTTAAAAGCTTTAATATATTCAATAAAGAAAAATCTCTTGAGAGTTAAAAGTTTTAATAAAAATCTTTATATGAAACTTAATATTCATTTGTATATACTATAATTTTAAATAAAAATTGGTTTACTGGAATCATGAAACTATTTCTTAGCATATCCCAAAGCAGCATATTAATAATTATATTTACAAAGTAAAGAAATGAGAATATTCTCTATATACTTAACTTACTATAAAAGTTACGCCCAAGAGAAGTGCTCAGTATGTAAATAAACTCCTCCAGGCTTAGAGCTCTTCAGCACATTCAGATTTGCTTCAGCAACAGCATTTCTAACATCATTTTGCATACTGATAGGTCCACAAACATAAACAGCAAGCGACTCCCCTTCGTTTGTTACTTTTGCCACCTCTTCCTCCACAATGAGCGAAAGCTGAGGCCGGCCATCGAGTTCCTTGATCAAAGGCGCCGACGCCGGAGTGTGTGTTTCATCTTCTGGGGCGATGATGTTCTCTCGCGAGCAGGAGGGCTTAGTCGATATTACTGGAAAGCCAGAGGATTCATCGGTAAGATCCACCTCTTGTGCAGCCTGACCAGTCAGGTGTAGCTGGATGCGAATATTGGAAAGAGAATCTTTATGCGAGTATCGGGACAGTAGCTGCTGGACAGTTCGTATATACCATATACGACTGCTAGAATCTCGAGTCGCCACTATGACGCTCAGAGTAAATGGCCTGGAATTGATGCGCTCATTACTACCCGTTTCTTTCATAGTGCTGTCAAGATCTGCTGCCTGGCCACACTCTTCATCAACGGCCTTTGGTTGGCTTAAGATGAACTGCTCAATAAAGGGTAAAGTCCAGCCCGCACCTGATCCACCTGCAATGACAAGAAGACGGTCACTATGGGTGTATGATTGCAAGTTAATCCCTCCATACGGGCCATCAACAAGTACAGGAATGGAGGCACCTGGGAGCTCCAGGGCATGCTGGTACAAGCGTGCCGTAAAGCCGCGTTGATGGCGGATATAGAAGATGAGTTCAAACTTCCCATCTATACCTTTGGATGGCAACGAGCATATGGTAAACGGATGCGCCGAGAGAGCTTGGAGGAATCCAAAGCCAGTGAAGCGGAGGAAGCAATGCTGTCCCGGTATCCATGTGAAGTTTGCAGGGATTGAAATGCGCGTAAAGCCGCCATCTTCAACGGTGACCTGGGCCTTTGCGCGCGTGCCGTACTCAAAGCAGGTCCGCAGCCATGGATACACATAGCAGGGGACGTACACGGCGGCTGTAGCAATGAAGTAGTGCCTGTGGAAGTATGAGCGTCTGGGCCAAAGGGATGCTGGCAGCCACTGGTTGATCTTACCACGAAGTCAGTGTGTAATCGCAATGCCAGAAGAATATCAAGACGAACACGGCAGCAGCGAGCAAATGGGTCGCTTTAAAGAATTCATACCCCAAGTTTCTGCGTAATACGTTAGATATGCAGTCTTGATGGAATCATAATCTGCGCCATCACCTACCGAATGACACTGTGGGAAGCAAAGGTAAGCCAGGCCTGCAAAATAATGGCCACAATACCGGTCCAGTAGAATATAAGGCCCATCTCAAACTGCATAACCATGTCGCCAAATCGGATGTGATAGACGATGAATGGAAATGTATGCATCAGGGCAAGGACGAAAAAGGCATAGGATATCCATCGGTGAAACACCTGAAGCTTCTCATGCGATACGCCTGTGAGGAGTGTAATCCAGTTCGACTTGCTCGCCGTCGCGCTGCGGAAAGTCAGTACTTGGAGGAATGGCTGTCGGGTCGTCTGAGTGGCCTACAAGACAAAAGGCATACATGCCAGGGCCATCCATCCCGATCTTGTTCCCAACGGCGGGGAGCCGCCAAAGTCCAAACTTGGCCAGTAGTATGGCTGGGGAATCAGATCCATGCCTGCCAGCGTAGAGCATTCTGTCAGTCCCAATGCCCCGTCTCGTCCAACGAGGCAAGCCCGTGAACTTACAGAAGAAAAAGACAGTCCCAGCAGCTGCCAGGAGCAGCATCCCCAAGGGGGCCGAGTTCCAACGCAGCGTTTGGACATGGAAGCCGCGGTAAGACAAGTATCGTATCAGCGCCGTCACTTTCTGCCACGGAGAAGAGCCGCGCCATGTGCGATGTCCCAGCACTTGCGAGACAACATTGCCAATGACGAAGATGCCGAGGACACTCATGAAAAAGGCAATAGTCGACAGCGCAAAGACGTGATCAGCGATGAACCTTGTGAAACATGTCAGTCAGTGATGTCGGGAGGCGTAGGGCTATAACTTGAGAGTTGATGTTTCTCACCAGAAATGCCAGCGCTGCTGGTAGTATTCACACTGCTCTTCGGTAAAGCCAAAGCTGTCGCAGGTAAACTCGCGACTCCCCGTCAGGGTGACGGGCGGAGTGAGCCAGGCGGCGGACATGGCGAATGCGTCTCACGGCGAAGCGACAAGTCTCGGATGTGTATCTCACAATAGCAGAGACAACACAACACAGGCTTCATCTGCGGGCGATGCGGGCGCGAGGATGGAATGGGCCAGCTCGGCTCGGGCAGTTGCTAGCATCGCTGCGCAGCTCCAGAACCTCGTTCCACGGCAGAGGTCGTTTTGTATGCCATGGGATACTGAGCCTACCTACTAGACCATCTGCTGATAACTTCAATGGTGCGGCGTACTACACTTGCTGCTCCGTATATTTGCACTACTGAGACATTAGTCTTGACGGCTGTGGCGCCGGCACATACTCGTAGCAAGGTTCAATTTATCCCAAATGGGGCACGAATATCCAATGGCGGAGACCTCGACAAGAGGAGACGTGCAGCCCATTCGCCCAGAATCATCCTGAAGTCGATCCACGGGGTCTAGCCACACACACGTTTGCAGTAGCGCGATCTCTGGCACCGGTTTGAGCAAGTTTGCGCATGTAAGTCTGGACGACTGCGCGTCTATGCAACAACTACGCGACTCATGGTCAACTCTCAGGAGCTGGCGCGCTGGAGCAGTCTGAACCATCAGCTCGTCCAAAGACACGCAGATTTGGCCTTTTCCTGTGCAAAATGGCATCAACGTCGTCGACGTCGTCTATCATGTGACTTGTTCTCGGCGGCCTGGCCCGGCGGAGTGCCCAGGCTCCAATATCCAATATCCAATATCCAATCGCACTCTCGCTACGAGATGGACAGAATTGCTCGCTCTTCTATTCGTCCTCATATCAAAACGTTGCTGGCCTGGGCTCTTCATATGTAGTTGCTGCCTTTGTGCTCATCCTCCACTTGACGCGGAACTGGGCACGCGTACAGATACAACAATCGCCATCATGGACATGCCATCTTCGACAGCCGGCCCAATGTCCATGGGCTCATCCAACACGACGATGACCATGGAGTCCATGGCCATGGTGTTCTTCACCTCCACAAACACGCCTCTTTGGTCCTCGGCTTTCGCACCCAACACGAGCGGGCAGTACGCCGGCGCATGCATCTTCCTGATAGCTTTCGCTGTGGTGTTTCGCATCTTGCTGGCATTGCGGTTCAACCTGTACAAGGTCATGGCCGCGGCCAAGCAAAGGCGTGGTGGCAGTCTGCTGCCGCCGGACGTGGCCGAAACCAAATCGACACCCCGACCTTGGAGAGCCAACGAGGCTGTCATATCGGGCGCGCTTGACACGGTGATTGCGGGAGTAAGCTATCTGCTGTGAGTTGAGTTTGAAGTACCTCTGTAAGGTTGACTGTCAACCCAGTCTGCTGACCTTGTCTTAGTATGCTCGCAGTCATGACGATGAATGTTGGGTATTTCCTGTCGATACTTGGTGGTATTTTCGTGGGCAGCATGCTCTGTAGTCATTTGTCAGGCAGCATTGGGAGCCATTGAGCCACCGATCAAGTGCCTTGAAGAATTGAAGTTTGTTGAGACGGCTGTGTAATGAAATCTCTTGTCGAGCGAATCCGCAGCCAGTCTCATAAAGCCAGCAATGGAGCACATTCGCGGTTTGCGACATACAGCCCATCTAGGCTTTGTTATTCAATCACCTATTCTGAACGTGCACAAGATAGATTCAAAAATCCGGTCAAGCATGGTATCACCTTTGGAATTTATCCGTCGTGCCTGGCATATAGTGTAAACTGCTTGTCCGCCTTCAACCTCTCCATGTCTTCTTCCCCGAGACACGCCGCCAGAGCAATCTCGCCGTCTCTCTTTCGAGGCATAAAATACACAAAACTCTGCAGCGGTGTGAACCAAGGCCGGCGAACTGCCTCTGGCTTGCCGAGTCCTAAATCAAAATCGAGGGCATAGCTGTCTGTTTTGGCCCACGAGCTCACTATCACGTCGACTGAAAAATCCAACGATGAGGCAGGCGAAACATGTGACTTGTTGGCCTGGCTGTGCAAATAGGTGGCCAAGGCACGTGTGTGAAAGGGAAGGATTGTGGTACTGGGTTCCAGGGCGCTTCGCAGCCTTGATGCTATCTCGCCCAGCGGCAGTGCGACAACCTCCTGCAGCGTATACGTCGTGTACGTCATGTTCTGCACGATGCCTGTATAAGTCGCGGGCACATCGACGTAGGAGCGCACATCAACAGCTCGCGCAAAGGTCGTGTCTACGTCGGGCGGCAGGCGATGGGCGCGGGCGCGCATGATGCTCTGCCAGATGAAGGCGCTCAGCGCGTCATCAGTCGATACGTAGCAGGAGCCGCTCGGGAGATGCTTGACGGCGACTGACTTGAGCGCTGCCAACGATGAGGGACAAAACGTAAAACTTGCCCAGATATTGCGAGCAGGCTCAGTTTCCCGTCTATCAAGGCCGCTGCCAGATGGGCCGGTCCCAGTGGTGGCCAGATGACGAGCAAGCTCGGGCCCCGGCTCATAGTTATCAAGGAGAGAGATGGCGGTTTGCCGCTCAAGATTACCGGAAAACAGCTCGTCCTTTTTGAAAGATTCGCCATGGCAGGCTTTCGAGAGGAGGTGCATAACCTGTCCTTGCCCAACCATGTCCATGCTTTGATGCTGGCCAAGGAACGTGAGCACCAAGCCACCGACAATGAAATTGGCCTGTACAAGAAAGACGGGCGAACCCGAGTCGTGTCCGTCGATGCCATTGGCTGCGGGAAAGGTGTTGCGAGGCGCAATAACAGATTCGTTTAGCATTCTCATTGGGAAGTTGGCTTCCCTTAGTTCCATCATTGTCGGGACTGAGGTGTCTGATCTGAGGTCCTTGACTGCCAAGTACGGAACGTTCCCCAGCTCTCTAATCTTGAAGACTCCAGAGCTTCCAGCACTTGAGCCCTCAACGACGACCTGACCCGCTACCCAGGGAAAGCCGGCCGTCAGTCGCTGAAGACCAGTTGCCAGTGTCTTCACGATGGTGGATTGCGCAACATCGATGGGCGTTGAAAAGCAGAGACATATTTGCGTATGGATGTTGAGTCTCGGCTGCTGTCCAAAAATATCCAAGCCAAAATCCATGTCTTTGTGTGAGGAATTAGGAAATCTACACGTAGTCTTGGTAATTGTAGGCAGCGGTTCCAGAGAAGCGAGAACTCTAGCAAAACGCCACCAAGCGATATCTACGTACAGGATGACTGAGCAAGCCATTAGACGATTCTATCAGCTACCTAGTATTCAGGTACCTGTATGTCTCGATTCAATGCCATGAGAGAAGGTAAGTGCTAGAGCCGGCGGAATCTAATTGGTTGAGATATGGTAGTAAAGGTACTAGTGCTGCAGATGTTACACGAGCAATGAAGGAAGAGCCAGTGCCAAAGGAGCGGAGAAATCAACAAGTCGGCGAAATACAAGGAACCATCGTCGAAGACAGACCCGACCATCGCAAGAGCAGCTTGAACAAGCAATGTCGTCGGCGAAAACCCCCAGTAAATTACTAAAAAATGGGGATATAAAACTGTACCTACATAGCTACCTAGTCATTGATGGGATCGACACTTGCAGAGCATCGAGGTCCTTACCTGAGTAGGAAGAGCTCGCCCTCGCGACCTGTTTGTTATATGCGCGCAAACTTGCTTAGCCTATTATCACTGACCCTCCATAGACTGCCGTCGACGGAGTAGACGTGGCCCAGGAGTCTGGGGCACACACCGTGACATCAAGGAAATCTTGCGCACATTTGCATCAACGTCTGAATCGCAAATTGCAACAAACAGGGGGGGTTGTCAGAAAACCTGCGCAGCTGGGTACATGTAGTCACGAATGCTCAAAAGCTATGTTAGACTGCCTGCGATAAACGCAGTGTGGGTTGACGAGGATGATGATGATAAATATGGCAGTTGACAGATGTAGACTCGCCCAAAAGTGCTGTTTTGCCTCCGTTCAAGGGGCCTTTGTTACGGATTATATGTCAAACTACCTGTTGTATCTGGCGGCCTCTATAACTTACACTGGATCGACACCTGGCTCACACACACATATACACACCCGATCACTGTCTCTACACGGGATACGACATCGCTGTGATGCAACGAAAAGTGTCCATTGTCGGCGCTGGTCCGTCTGGTTTTGCCCTTGCGGCTGATCTCCAAAACCGTGGGATAGACGTGCTGGTCTATTCACACCCAGACCACTTTCGATATGCCAACGAGGTCATGGGCAAAGGCCAACTGACAGTTCGGGGGAAGATTGAAAGTTCTCTGCCTGTCCGTATCACCTCGGACATGGGTGAGATGATTGGATTCTCCACGATCATCATCCTTACAATTCCATCTACTGGACACGAGACGGTGTTGCAGCAACTAAGAAGATTCCCTCTACAACAACACACCATCATCGCCATCCCAGGCAACTTGTTCTCGCTTATCGCTGATATCGAGATCGGATGCGTCCTAGAGACCAACCTGTCTCCATATTCCTGCCGAATGGACAGAGATGTAGTCCTGGTTCTGGGCAAGAAGAGTCTCATCTTCATTGCAGCACTCCAGAATCCTCCTCGCCAGGCAGTACGCGACACGGTACAAGAGATCATGCCCGTGGAGCTCTGCTGGTGCAGCAGCGTCATTGAAGTCTGCCTGTTGAATGTGAACGGCGTGTTCCATCCAATCATGATGCTGATGAACGCGGCCCGTATAGAAAGCACCAGTGGGGATTTTCTTCTATATCGAGATGGCCTGACAAGCTCCGTTGCCAAGGCCATGGTTGCCATTGACCAAGTGCGGATGCAAATAGGCAAAGCATTCGGCTACAGCATGAGGAGTGCGTTGAGAGTGTCCAACGAGTGCTATGGTCACACCTTTTCGAGTCTTGTGGATTTGGCAACGAATTCAGGGCCTCACCGCAGACTGAAGGCTCCATCTGGCCTTGACAACCGAAACATCTCGGAAGATGTTCCTGACCTGCTTGTTTGCTGGCACAGCCTGGCCGAGAAGCTTGGAGTGGATGCATCGCCCATCAAAGCCATCATCATTCTTGCGCAGATGGCTACTGGCGTTGACTATTTCAGGTCCGGGAGAAGTCTTGATAAGTTTCATCTGGAAGACATCTCGCGGAGGGAGCTGATTGAAAGATTCATGGCTCAACCGGACGACGCGATTGTCAGTCGGTTGTAACTTGCAAGTCAAGGCAAATTCAGTTTGGGGATTCTAACGGGCATCAGAAGAAATGGCTCGCTGACCAGGTGCAACAACCACCCACTTGTGCTACGGATTGAGTTGGTTGACTCCTTCTTTTGGCAGCTGGAGGCGTATGAGATGGACCTTATACCTCCTAGTAAGTAGTACTTAGGTATTACACATTAGACATGGCAACCGAATTCACCGCGGGTTTGCCTTGACCATTGTGAAATAGTCCACAAGTTTGATTTGTTCATAAAAAAAAAAAGTTAAAAAAAAAAAGTTGTAATCTGCAAATCCCTGTTCTCCGAATCTATGAATCGTACACATCCAAGATCCAGATAAGATGGAATTCATATCTGTTGAATACATGTGATTCCTAGCGTAGTAGGTATTGATACTAGTATAACAACACTCACCACAGGGCTTATGGTTTAACAGCCACAGTTACCAAAAGATCTATATCCATATGAATTCCATCCTCCACAACAAGTTTGTTCCATTCCGTCTTCATTTCTTCCCTTGCGTGCGGTCGGAGCTCCAGCGGGATGCTGCCGTACGTCTTTCCAGATGAGCTTGCATCCAACCAGTCAATCATTGCATCGGCATCCTTGGCCGACTTTGTGATTTTATTGACGACTATATCTCTTTCTCGGAACCCAGCATCGTCCAGGAGGCTTTCGAGCTCGCGCTGCTTGAGAAACCTTGGTGGGCTCTCTTCTGGATAATTCCGGTATGGCTCTCTGGACAGCACATCGGCTTTGATCCGCTCCTGTGCGGTGAGAGTATCGCCTGATCCGCCCGAAATGCCAAGTAGCCCTCGTGGCTTGAGCAGGCGGGCGAATTCCTTCAATGCTGCTGGTTGATCCTGCACCCAATGTAGGGTCGAGTTCACGTAGATTACGTTGAAACTCTCTGCAGGAAATCGCGATAGGTCTTCGGCTTGGCCTTCCCAAAACGAAAGGTTTGGTTTCTGAATGCTCCGTGCAATAGCAATGCGTTCCGGGCTGGGATCAACGCCCACGACGCTGCCTTTCTCGCCAACGAGCTCTGCTATGTGAGCTGTGAGATTTCCAGGTCCGCACCCGACATCAAGAACTCTCATGCCGGGGACAATATTGAGCCTTTCGAGAAGAAACAACCCAGCGCCATATTGGGTGTTGCTAACCCGGGTGTATTCCGTCGCCAGCTCCTCGGTGTCCCCCATATTCGTAGTAGTTTTAGATAAAATACCGAGGTTGGACTGCTGGAAACAGGTTGATGTTTTGGAACACGCCCTTGGCGGCGTTATGAGCGGGTATATGCGCCATATTATAAGGACCACAAGGACAGCAAAGCTGGCTGTGACAGGCTCTACGCTAAGTCACATCACTCATTCGATGCTTGTGGTTAACAAACTCACTCAGCCCGCCGTCGCTTAGAATCCCGCATAGGTGAATGAAGAGTGTACTCCATAGGTATATCATACCTTAGGTGCCATACTACGTACTACTAGTAGCAGCATTCTCAGGCGGGGTGTTGCTGTATCCAAAAAAAGATACATGTAGTAGGTCATAGTCCCTCTAGAGTAACTACTATACCTCCCCGGACTAGACACTACCTACAAGTAGTCGCTACATAGAGACGATGAACATTGAAAGATGATGCAAACCTTCGAATATAAACCAATAACACTGCGTGAAGAAAATTTACATTATACCATCACTGTTTTTAGTAAAAAGGGCGACTAGTTTGGAGGGGTAGTCGGCGACTTACTAGTCTGACTCGAACCAGAGCCCACAGAGAGAGCTCTTTTGAGCTCTTTTTTCTTCTTTCTTAGTTACTCTGTGATGCGTCCGTAGTATGTATGCATCTTGCGTGACATCATGTAAATAGTTCAAATGACAATCTATTCTATCGCTCAGGGGAGATCTCCACTGCGGAGGCTGGCGCGTCCCCGCGCAGAATTGAGAAAGTAAACCGTCTCGTAACAGGACAATCCACACACCCACATCCTCTTGCCTCGTCGGCCGCTCGGAAGATTGACGTGAATGGGTGAGCAAAGGCTCGCTAGACACACTTGGTTGCTCCAAGGTGACCTTGTATACGTTATGGCTTTGGCTGTGAAATCTCATTGACTTGTACGCCTTGAAATCTGCAACCTCTTGACACGTTGTTTTCAAGCCAAGGTTTGCAACAGATTGAGAACAGATTTGGGAAACAAACATATTAGGACGGGTTTATTTTAAATCATGCTAACTCAAATGCTTTCCATGACCTCGGTTGCCTCTACAACTTCTGTGCTCGTGAGTAGCTTCAATCAAACACCGCAACCTCTGCTGATTCTCTTCAGCTCATCATTGGTCTTGTTATTCGGATTATTCAAAATCGGATTCTTCACCCTCTACGCTCAGCACCTGGTCCTTGGTTCAACAGCCTGTCAGAACTGCCTGCTGCAATAGCTCTTGTGAAGGGAGATCAGCACCTTTACTATAGGTCTCTGCATGAAAAATATGGGTTGGTCGTGCGAGTATCTCCCAACGAGCTGAGCTTCATTGGCACAGATGCTCGAGAAGAGATCTATGGATTTCGCGCAAGTGCTTCAAAAAAAAAAAAAAAAGATCAACATTGTCCCTTTGCTAACTTTCGGATCATGCAGAAAGGTGCCCTTCTCATGGAGAAGAGTCCCATATTTCTCGGAGCCGTGGGAAACGTTGACGGAGAAACTGGTGTAAGCCTTGCGCTTGATAAAGAGCATACCCGCCAACGCAAGGCATTGGGTTACCTTTTCACCAACAGCGCACTGGCCAAGCTGGAAGACATACTTCAGATTCATGCTCACAAACTTGTCGCCGTGCTGGAGAAAGGAGCATCTGAGAACCAAGCAATGAATGTCTCAGACTGGTGTATGCACCCGCACGTCATGTTATTTTGCGCCTGCCCTGCCCGCTGACAACATATGGACGCAGACACGTACCTTGCTTTTGATATGATGGGCGACCTGTGTTTCGCAGAGCCTTTTGGCTGCTTGGACCAGGCTTCAGCAACGGAGTGGTCAACCTCTGTCATCAACGTTTTCGTAGCGGCTACATGGACACAGGGCATCCGCCGAATATCTGGAGTTGGCACATGGCTTGAGCGTCTCATTACATGGCTTCTGGTTCCTCAAAAAGCTGCATCATGGAGGTCAATCCACTTGAACAACTCACGCGAGAAAACCGTCCGTCGCCTGCAAGACCCCAATCGAGAGCATACAGACTTCATGTACCAGATTCTAAACAACGAGTCCAGAAGCCTGTTGTCCAAAACTGAAATCCAGTTGAATATGGCTTTATTCATCAGTGCTGGGACCGACACAACGGCTACAGCTCTCGTCGGCTGGACATACTTCATCTGTACCCACCCCAATGTATACAAGAGACTTACAGCGGAGATTAGAAGCGCTTTCATGGCCAACGAAGATGTCAAATGGGAAAAGGTCAAAAAACTGGCGTATCTCGAGGCGACGTTGAACGAAGCTCTGCGCCTGTTCCCACCGTCACCTGCAAGTCAACAGCGTGTAGTCCCTCCAGGAGGTGCCACTATTGCCGGGTTATATGTTCCTGCAGGAACCACAGTGGCCGTACCTCCATGGGTATCAACACACTCGCACGTCAATTTCGTGGAGCCTGATGCCTTCATACCAGAACGATGGCTGGCAGAAGACCCCAAGTTTCAAGGTGACCGCCTGAATGCTTCGCTACCATTCGGAACAGGACCTCGGGTCTGCATTGGGAAGAACCTGGCAAATCTTGAAATGAGGCTCATTGCATCCAAAATGCTGTGCAACTTTGATCTCGAGCTTGACATCGGTGATTACAGGATGGCGAATCAGCAGTGGGGTCTCAACGGTCAAATGATGCCTATGAAGGTGTATCATTCGATGACGAAGCTACCACTCTGGATCAAGGTGAAGCGAGTAAATTCATAGCCCCGCGTTGTTGGCAAAAGCAGAAGCAATGTGCACTTGTTGGCTTGCGTGTCTGCTTCTGGAGATGAGCCAGAGCAAGCTAATTGGAATTTAGTGGTGTTGTATGAAGATACCTAGATGGTAAGAAAGTATTAATTGACGGTGAAAATCTTGGAAGCAAACTTTATCCGGTAGGAGGTTAAAGAAAAGCAACAATGATAGAAACACTTTACATTATGACTTGCTTTACAAAGTAACTAGTAAGCATCTATAGTTTATGCCATCAAATCAGTGACAATAAAAGAATTCTTTTAGCTATTAATACATGTATCATCTACCTCTACTTTTTGAATCCATCATAACGCTGTTTATTTTCTAGCAAAAGCCTCCTGCTCCAACTGCTGGCTTCTAATCACCCAATCCGCATGGTGGCTCTGGTACTTTTTAGCGCCCTCGGGGTCATCGCTCTTGATGCCCAGTACCTTGGGGATATGGAATCCCTTGGAAATTCCAGGCCTTGCGCTCAGTCTAGCCTCCCACTCCTTGAGATGTGGAAAGGCGTTCATGTCGACATCGGTATATTCGCCGAAAATCACCCAGGAAAGATTGGCGATATCCGCGATGGAAAGATGGTCTCCGACCAAATATCCCGACTTGGACTTGGACAGCTGAGTGTCAAGAACGCTGTAGAGTCTCCTTGTCTCGGTCACATAGCGCTTAACACCGTACTCGATTTTGACGGGGGCGTATTTGAGAAAGTGGGAGGCCTGGCCCTGCATCGGGCCAATACCTCCGTGCTGGAAGAATAGCCAGTTGTTGCATTCATAGTACTCCCTGCTGCCCTTGGGGAACGACAGCTTGTGCTCAGGATCATAACGCTCAGTCAGATACTGCAAGATGCTTCCTCCCTCGAATACCCTGATGGGTTCGCCATCGTCGAATGTGTCTACAATAGCGGGGATTCGCCCGTTGGGGTTGATTTCGAGATACCAGGGCTCCTTTTGGCGAAGAGTGCTAATGTCAACGTGCTCGACTTCGTACTCGAGTCCGAGTTCCTCTAGTGCTGTGGTGATCTTGATTCCATTGGGCGTGGAGTCAGTGTACAGCTTGATGTGAGGTTGAGGTGCCGCCATGATGGAAGATGTTTTGTTTTCAGGTGAAGTTTCCGTATGCAGAAATGAGCGCCTTGTAGCCGGGTCGTTGTATTGAGAGTGAGTGAAGATGTTGTGGGTGATGCTGGTGTTGTTGCCGGGTTGAGGAACAAGCCTATAAATACTACTTAGAGAGCCATGGCTAATGTTGGAGCCCAGCTTGCCCACAAACACCCGCTTAGAAATATGTGCAGCAGAGAAACTCATTGTTGGTTGCAATCTAGGTACTTGGACATTCTAGAAACAGTATTGAAGGTTATTTCCAATTGGGCGATAAATAATACGACAAGCCCGGCAAAGCTCCATCGTTATACATGCGATGATCTCATAATACAAACGGGCACAGCTAGTGCTCTTTCAGGCAATTTCTACCACAACCCTTCCTACCTAAGATAGACAAAGGCCACTACTAGCGCTGTTACAAATCCATCTGCTACCAAACAGGGCATTTATAAGGCCACAAACAGCCGAGAAGCTGAATAATAGCGCAACTATCTAGTGTATGGCAAGCCAACCTTATTTTGTTCTATCTTTATGGGAGCCGCTGCTTATTCAGCCCATAACTGCATAGTACCCGTAGAGGAGATATGTTGAAAGCCATAGAGACGAGACCCCACTACCTAGCTGTAAGGTAGTAAGTACCTAGTTGTCAATGGATTCTCGTGACCGCTTACAACTGTAGGCTTGACCTAATGGGTGGAAGAGCGCGTAACTCAACATATGTAGGTTGTGGTCAATTTCTATCACGCAAAGTATTTGTTTGCACAGACATGCATGCATCATGATTTCGGATGAGAAACCTCGCTCAGAAGCTAAATTTGCTGAGAAGTGAGTATTTTGCCACCCTTTCACAACGCATTTCGCCATACGGGTTATGATGACTTAAATAAGGCTGGCGAGCTCATGCATGCTCCCGTAACGAGTTAAATTCATGATAGTCATACTGGGTATGCTACGAAGTTGCAATACAAAATATGACCTTGGAGGTAAATGAAAGAACTCGGGTATGTCTACAACTGGGACGATAGGTTTCTGATGTTTGCTTAGAATCAATTCCCGAAACCATTGACTGGCCATTTACAAGAATATCTTGGACGCTGAAGTAGGAGCAGATTAATACCTTCTTTCTTTTCATCTCTTTATTATCGCTTCAATTTTACATCGCTTGCGGACTTGAAATTTTCGTTTAGGTGGCTTACATCGCGCTTCACAGCCCGAATGTTCTATATTTATGGCTCTTTCATGCTTACCCATGTACGTTTGCATACATCACAATTCGACGCACTTGCGGTTTAAGCCGGTGCATCAAGGAGAAAATAGTCTAACTAAATATTGAAATCAATATTAAAGTCCAATTTCATACTTTCAAACCCGTTGAATGAGTCCAGACTTTACATCGTAAAGATAACCTTTTGTGCGCTCCCTCAATTCGCGACGAATGACTTTTGTTTCTCGCAGTAGCTTGACATCATCGTGAACGCTTTGTTTCAAACTAATTCTATCAGTATGATATACTACTTTAAAGGTATAAAGGAGAGGGACGACTCACTCTGCAATGACTGGAAGCACTAAACTGTTTGCATCTTCAGCGGAAACTCCATCCTCCTTCAAGACATGGTTGTGGATTTTTTCCTCTGTCAAGTAAGTAGCCCCGCAGTCTATTTCACGGAAAAGCAAAGTTATGTTAGCCTATGTTTGGCGCAATATCTGCCCTATGGCCCACCTGTATGATGAATGATCATGAGATCTTTGAAGCCGCCTATGAAACAATCCATTGAAGTGATTTGAGCGACAAGTGGAGCCACCCTGCCTCCTCCGACTCGAAAAACAACGGCTTCTATTCGAATATGAGCAAAAAACCTTGAAAGAGAGCTGAACTTGCATCGTACCTCCAGGCATAAGGCATAAAAAGTCTTCGGGCTTGCATCTTGAGTCGAGACAGGTTACTATAGTTCAGATAAGTAAATATTGCCCTTGTTTATGTTCAAGAAAGATATTCTCAGTATTACGTACTTATGAGTACGGACGGCTTTTCTCGTCCGATACTCTCCGAAAAGAACTTGTGCGGTCTATGATACGCAGCAAAATCCCTATAGCAAGATTGCAGTCAGCAGATACTTGCGTACACGAAGACGAAAGGTGTTCATACTTATTGCGTTCAAGGATTTCGTCCACTAGAGAAGATGCCATTTTTATTTCTTAAAGATGTAACAGGATCTTATTGTTGTGCGTAAATCCTTGACCATGCTGTAGATTAAATTGTCCCATTGCTGGCTCATTCAAGCCCTTTATATAGATGATTCGCAAATGGTTGTTTCCTGCCGCGGTAAAGGGCGAATTCGATTATCTCATCAGTACGGAAATAATCTTGTTTATCACCGATCTTTATAACACTATTATTTCAATTGATTCTTCAAGTCTCAGTGCTGTGGTGGCGTCGACGTAGCGAAGATTTAGGGAATGCTGAAGCTTCAAGCGAGCTATCAGCCCTAGCCGCATGAGGAAACCGGTGCCCTGGCAGTACTATTATCAACACTTCATTATACGGCTGTCTTTTAGTATCGCGAATTTATGACAATACACTACTTTTTTATTCCAGATTTATGGCTCCCTGGCAGTCTACAAACTGAATACCCGGGTATCTGATCGAATAGCCTACCAGATGCGTGTGACGATTCACTAATACCTATCAATTTGCACATAAGCATTGATCTCTATATATGATGAACGAGCATCAGAGGTAGCAAAGTTTAGAAGCATATCTTATGAGAGATGCTCTCAAGTTCAATTCCACATGCCGTATCTTTGAAGGAGATAAGAGCAACTCTGCATATTTACGTGCACTTCTACCAGAGGCTTCAGAGTGAGCCTTTGGCTAGGACCTCGTCCGAGTAACGCATTTCCAGCCGACAAGGTTCCATGCGAGATTGACCTTCAGCCAACAAGGCCGTCCGGGGCGACCGGACTATCATTTGATCTGGGAGAACCACTTTGTTCCGATTTCGTGCGAAGATCGCCGAGCGTTGTTCAATGACGGCGGAGAATTTGTTTGTCTATGGCCAGTGAGAGATCGATCTTGGGGGTTTTATAATATAATTTGGGCGATAGAGATTGACCATTAGGGCTATCACTATCACCTTTGCTTTTACTCACTTCTGGCTTTCCAAAATCTAGAGAATGCAGGGAAAAGAGCACGCATTCTGCTAGTGGCTTGTAATTCATTACTGTGGAGGAAGTGTTCAACGAAAGGAACTGCACGGATGCACAACTACCTTCTGAGTACAAATAAGGTTCAGCCAGTCTATATAATTCCGTCAACAATGAATCCATTCCACGCCGATGATTCAACTTGAAAGACGGCGCTGTGGCGTAACTTGGCGTGTATGCGAGGGTTGGTGGAGCAGGCTAGATGGGCTTTGTTCACTGAGAGGCATCGTTACCACGGAACATTGTGTGCTGTACAAGACATGCAATCCCTCAATTCTAGCTCAAAGTGCCATCGCCTTCGATATCCCAGCTGATAATGAATGCAAACCGGTAGATACGCGTGGAAGACGAAGGTGATGCGCCATGATACCTGCTATTGTCTGTCTGGCCCTATGACATCAAGACTTTCGTAAACTAGTTGCCATATAAGGAAAATTTAATCAGTCGCTAAGCATCAAATAAGATATCCGACGTGGTGTAGTGGCTAGCATACCGCGCTTTCATCAGTGAAAGTCCCGCGGCGATCCGGGTTCGACTCCCGGCGCCGGAAAACAATTTATTTTTTATCCATATTCTTAATTCATGTCGTCATTCTATTTTGCTACTTGTTTTCTAGATGGAAAATATGATGAAATAACCTAGGCCGGTCAGTAGGAATAAGGAGGTCGATGAATTATAGTAGAGGTAGTGGCCAGATGATGATTTCATTGCCGAGAACACTGGGCTGAGAGTTGCAAACTTGAGACGCAGACGGGCCTGCGGTTCACCAAGACATATATATACCTAGCATTGCGATAAGCCGCGTAGCACAAAGAATATCTCTTGATTCGGCATGAAGGCGGGAATATTGAAAGACATAAACTGTTCCTGAATATTAACATTTTTTGGGGGTAATTCACACGGGCTACGGTTAGACTAGACGTATTTAAATACGAGATTGAAGGCATTTGTCCGTTATACAGCAATCACTATGGAGATACTCATTTAACAGCTGCGAGGATCCTCTACATATAGCCGTTCTCAGATTTGGCCTAATAGCCCAGTTCTTAGATGGGTAGGTTGCCCGAATTGCGGCTTATCCTCATCCAACTAATTTGCCGCTTTGCAGGGTCAATTGGTGGGGTGTGTTCACGCCCTGCCTGCCAAAACTTCGTTTGTCGGTTCTAGAAGTAAAGAGTTTTTCAAATGGAATGTTTGCCATAATTAGCTGTAAAAAAAGAGTTAAAAGAAAAAGAGCACGTGTAGTTGATTTACCAGCCTTGTGCCTTGAAGTTACTCTTAGTTTTGCATAATTAGAGATACGCTTCGTTTGTAAGTGAACAAACAAGTTCAGATGACATGTCGTTCGTAGCGGAGCAGTCTCTCCAGGGTGTGGTTCAGTGTTTACGAAGTACCAAGTACCACTGCTGTGTGAATCTATCAATTGAATTCGATTCATGTTCTGCAGAGTCCGCCAGGCTCAACCAAGTGAAAGGTCAGTGCAGTGCCTGGCTCAGACGCTGATATTGGACGGAGGCACCACATGGTCCTTGCCAATTGCCTTGATCAAGCTCTGGGCATTCGGTGGCCATCTCACAGGATGACGGTAGGAATACAAACAAGCAGCAGCGCATCACGATGCCCGGAGAGCCTGATGTATGCACCATGAGCTGGCGCCAAGTGGAGATGCACTCGAGGCTGATCCGCGCCATGAACTGGGAGCCACACTTTACTTCCACCATCTACATTTACTTACAATGCAGTAGAGCGCGAGGTCAAGCAAGGCCTTTGAGCGGCCGTGAGTGGCTCCATGCAGACGTGAGTGGTAGCACAGAGTCTACAGCAAGGCAGAAAAACTTTCTCAATTTTTGAAACAAAGAAAGCAGGGAAAACGGCGAATCTGCCTGGCCTAAACGGGGGCGTGGACAATGACTCTTCTGGCGAGGCGGGAGGCCGACGGTCTGGTGGGAGGAAGCATGTTTTGTTGGCCGATGGCGCTCAGCCAATGACGAAAGCGGGCGTGTATCACACAGTGAATCGAGTGTGCAGGTACATGTGAATACTATGCCCAACGCAGCTCCATGACATCTCCATATATGCAGGGCTTGGGCCATATAACGCGAGCACTGACGGACGAGCGTTCATCCCAGGTCCTCTGCAATTCATCTCTTCTTTTCGATTGATATATATGCCTGTCCAGCTGCATTCCAGCAATCAACTCCTACACTACCCATACCAGTATTACAGCACAGGTATACAGGCGAGCTTCTTGCTTCCAGCAAGGGCATCAATTCCGTGTTAAGCGCCGGCCACCCCACCAAAGATTTGCATACATACAAACTGCAAATTACCGCACGGGCATCATCCAGCGTCTGTACAAAGAGCTGTAAGTCCTACTTCTGCCCGCCCATATGACACGTCCACGCGATCTTTTGCGAAAGAAGAAGCAACAAAGAGGCGAACAAAAAGTTGGAACTTGGACCAACCCGTGCCCACTAAAAGTGCCATCCTCGAGTGCTAACATTGAGCTTTCCCCGCTCCCGCAGACCCGTCGAAGCGCTACCACGGCCGGTCCCTACCTAGAGATTGATAAACGGCAGCGTCGGTGGAGAGCTCTAAAGCTGGCCTCAATCTTCGTCGCCACCGACAACCTCGAGCTGCCATCAATTGGAAGCAGCTCCAGCTCTGGCAGCCGGGCAACCAACCATTGCTACATGTGCCTCTATTCCCATCTCCAGTACTAGTTACGACTTCCTGCTTTGACGTTTTGCTGCTCTTTGCTGCTGAGCACAGCCCTTGGATATCCTTTTTATCTCTTTGTCTCTTCGCAGTACGGTCCGTTTTATCTTCAGTTTTCTCTTCGCCATTGTCGTCTCTCGCTCTATCGAAGCATTTATTTCTTGGGCCCTTCGCTGGAATCGCTCTTATCTCGCTTTTAGTTATTACATCTAAACATCATATTTTGGGCAGTCGTACTTTAGCCCACCATCTTTTTTGGTTTCTTGGAATCTGTCGTCTAGCATTCGTCGTCATATCTCCATCTATACACTGTTCCAGTCTTCGTCATGGCGGATAGAGGCCGGGGTAACCGTGGTGGCTTCCGGGGTGGCGACCGTGGAGGTGGTGGCCGTGGAAGAGGCGGCGGCGATCGAGGCGATTACGGCGGCGGTCGTGGACGAGGAGGTGGTGATCGAGGCGATTACGGCGGTGGTCGTGGCCGAGGAGGCAGTGACCGTGGACGAGGAGACTACGGCGGTCGTGGACGAGGCGGTGATCGCGGAGACTATGGCGGCGGCCGTGGACGAGGCGGTGGTGACCGCGGTGGTGACCGCGGAGGCTATAGGGGCAGCTTCAGCAGCTTTAGAGGAGACGGACGAGGCCGCGGACGTGGAGGCGGTGGTTTTGCTCGTCGTGATGAATCTCCCGGCAAGACAATGGCTTTCGAGTAAGTCTTCATCTCATTTGTGGCCCAGAGCGGCGTAAATTCGTGTGGACTCGCAACTGACGTGCATCACAGCTACAACGGCAAGGTGCCTGAACCCGATGCTGAAATTACAAAGCTGGAGAATCAGATTGTTGCAGCCCAATCCTCGTCACTTACAGCTCTCACTTCCCAGATGGGCAAGCTGAATGTTAAGGGGAAAGGAGGCAAAGGAGGCAAAGGAGGCAATGCCGCTCCACCATCTGACATGCTCACCCAGTTTCCTCCCAGGCCGGCCTATGGCTCAAATGGCAGGCCTGTCACTCTCTGGGCAAACTATTTCAAGGTCAACCTCAAACTTGATACCTTTTACAAGTATACGATGAATACCAAAAAGGTTGCAAGCGCTTCAAAGCCAGAGTCCAAAAAAGGCGCCAAGGCGGGTACAGGCGAGAAAGAGGTCAAGGGAAGAGAACTCCTTTTCGTCGTCAAGGCTGTTCTGGCCAAGCTCTTGGAGGAAGACAAAAAGTTTGTCGGCGCCACCGAGTTCAAGGACGCGCTCATCACGCTGAAGCCCATTACTCTCTCTGCGAATCCCATGACTGTTCAGGTTCCCAGATCTGAGGGGAGCGATGAAATGGTATCGTACACTGTCGAATTCCATGGCCCTAACGAGATTCGAGTGGATGATATGAAAAATTATCTCACATCCATGGCGGATGGGCCGGCTGGTGCTGACGCCATCTCGTTCCCACGCTTTCCCGAAGTTGTTGACGCCATCAATATCATTCTAGGCCACAAGCCGAGGAGTGATCATATCAAGACCGCAGCCGTTGGCTCGTCTCGATTCTTTCCTTTCGGAGACGATAAGATAATTAAAGAACTCAATCAGAACTGGCGTGCTCTGGCTGCTGCTCGCGGCTACTTCCAATCTTCCCGCTTGGCAACTGGTCGAGTGCTGCTAAACGCCAATGTAACTCATGGTGTTTTCAGGCTCTCGGGTCCAATGACTCAGATTTTTGACGGCCTTGAGATCAGGGCCGCTTCAAAGGGCGATAACATGGCCATGAGAAAGCTCAGAGCCTTTGCCAAATTCCTACCCAAGACTCGTGTCTGGTACAACTTCAAGACTGCTGAAGGCAAAACTGTTCGCCGAGGCAAGGCTATCCGAGGCCTTGCCAATTGGTCAGAAGTAGCGAAGAAAGGCAAGACCATGGCACATCCGCCTAAGTTTGACGCCAACTGGGAATATGGCGGTCCAAAGAACGTCCAGTTCTGGATAGACGGTGACAAAGGAGGCCGCTACGTCACAGTCTATGACTATTACAAGCAGAGTAAGTTTCTGTCTCGAGTATTTCTTCTTTATTTTCTCACCTTTTGCTCTTTTTAAATGCCATCCATTTGGCCAAAGCACCAAGCTAACAGCATTCTAGAATACAACTTGAACCTCAAGGACTACCCATTGCTCGACCTGGGCACTGAGCAGAAGCCTTTTACATATGTACCGGCTGAGATGATTGAGATCCAGCCAGGCCAGGTAATCAAAGCTTCTCTCACGATGGATGAGACCACCGCTATGCTGGATTTTGCCTGTCGGTCGCCGTACTCGAATGCTCTTTCCATTAGCACCGCCAGCCGTCAAGTGCTCGAACTTGACGATCCATCGCTGGAAAATTTTGGTGTCTCCGTCGATAAACACTTGTTGACTGTGCAAGGAAGGGTCCTCAACGCGCCGACGGTGGTCTATCTAAATAACCAAAGAAAGACCACCGACGTGAGACCGTTGGGTGGCGCCTGGAATATGAGATCGGTGAGAGTTTACAAGCCAGGAAAAAAGATTGAGCGCTGGACCTGGGTCAATCTCTCGTTAAGACCAAATGCGCCGACAATCGGAAGAGATGTGGTCTTAGCCTATGGAAAATTCTTGGTCGGTATGGGCATCGCCATAAACGAAACTCCTCTTGCTCCCCCCCAGGAGGTTATTGCTTACAATGCAGACCTGGACAAGATTTTTGCATGGTTACAAAATAACGGAATTCAGCTTTTTGTTATCATCTTGTCTGAAAAGGATACGTCAGGCGTGTATGCCAAGATCAAGCAATTGGGGGATTGCACATATGGAGTTCATACGAGCTGTGTGGTGGGACGCTCATTTGGAAAAGGGAGCCCGGGATATTTCGCCAATGTCGGGCTCAAGGTTAATCTCAAAGCTGGTGGCGTCAACCACAGGCTGAAAGACGAGTTTAGTATTCTCAAGGATGGTAAAGCGATGATTGTTGGCTACGACGTCACCCACCCGACCAATTTGCCCTTGAAGAAGGGCGCTTCTGAGCCCCCTAGCCTTGTCGGATTCGTGTCGAGCATCGATGGCGATCTCGGTCAATGGCCTGCACTGTCTTGGGAGCAAACCTCTAGACAGGAAATGCTCAGCAGTAAGCTCACCGAGGCATTCATGCTTCGACTGGACACCTGGAGCAAGCACAATGGGGGCCGGTACCCAGACAACATCATCATCTACCGAGACGGCGTCTCCGAGGGCCAATTCTCTCTCGTCCTTAACCAGGAGCTGCCATCCATCCGCGAGGCGTGCCGCAAGAAGTATTCGCCCCAGTTTCAACCAAAGATTACGCTGGTGGTGTCGGTGAAGCGACACCAAACCCGGTTCTACCCTTCATCAACAGATGAAATGTCCAAGTCCGGCAATATTGTCAACGGAACGATAGTGGACCGAGGCGTAACTCAGACGCGATACTGGGACTTTTTCCTAACAGCCCATGACGCTCTCCAAGGCACCGCTCGACCGGCGCACTACACTGTTCTTCTGGACGAGATCTTCCGCCCGAAATTCGGCACCAAGGCGAGCGACGAGCTGGAGCGCCTGACACACGAACTGTGCTATCTCTACGGCCGCGCCACCAAGGCCGTCAGCATTTGCCCTCCAGCGTACTATGCTGATATTGTCTGTGAGCGCGCTCGTGCACATCGACCCGAGTGGTTTGAACAAAAAGACGTAGATAGCCAGACCGAAACAACTGGAGGCGCTCCGAGCACCGTGGGCCGACAGGTGCATGTCAATCTCAGGGACAGCATGTACTATATCTAAGCGATGCTATCCTCTGCTTCGTCTTTTTCTCTCTTCATCTTTTCACCAACAAAATAGCCCCATGAATCTGGGCCAGCGGTTATGGAACATACAGCGATGGTATAATTTTATGGCTCGAACATATATGTATGCTAGGTGGATGCAAAACTCAGATTGGTACCTTGTTAGGATAGTAGTACACTTGATGGGTTATGATGTACACTCTTTAAGCTCAAAGCGAACCAAAATATTGTTTTTTACAGTCAAGCCAAATTAGATGGATGGCTTGGTGTGCCATTTATTTGCTTTCATGATGGCTGGTCTAGAGTGGTTATTATGTGTTGCCATGACTTCTAATGCTAAATCAGAGCTGCTTGCCGTGCTGCTTGTCTATGCCAGTGTATATCGTAGAAGAGAAAGAAAATAAAACAAACAAGATATCCCAAACTCTATATCAGAGCAAAACGGCGAATGAGAGATGCCATTTCTACAAATTCGGTTTTGCCTTACTGTTCTTACTGCTGGCTGCTTCAATGCGCCTCCTCAGCTCGTCATCTATCGTCGACTTCTCCTCCAGCGACTTGTTCGTCCACTCTTCATACGCCTTTTCCTCCTCCCACCATCTCTCAATCTCCGTCTTTGTCCATTCAGCGGCAGCCTTTGCGCAGAACAGCGGCTTCTCCATGGGCACGAGATGGCCGCTCTCCGGGTGAATGACGTGCTTGACGCGACCTGCTCTCACACCACCGCTGCCGCCGACGCCGACGCCCGTTGTGTCGAGTTTCTCTTTGACGATGCGGGGAGGGGAGACGGTGCTCGTGCCGCCGAAGATGTAGAGGATGGGGGGGCGGAGATGGGGGAGGCGGAGGAAGGTGGCGTTTTGTTCGGGGCGGTAGACGGGGGTTTGGATGAGGGTTTGGAGATCGAAGTCGTGGTCGGGGATGAGGGAGGGGTTGGTGATTGTGTTGGTTGTGGGGTCGACGGCGGGCCAGAGGGGGCGGACGAAGGTGAAGACTTCTTGGTGTTTGGTAGTGGTGAGACGGACGGGTGATGGATCTTTTGATGATGGCGAAGCAACATCATCGCGGAGGCCATACTGGACAAAGAGGTCCAAGACTCGGGGGTCCCAGTCCCGATAGAATGGCCTGGAGAGGAATGCCTTGCGAGCAGCAGCGCGAGAGGGCCAAGTCTCTCGACGCGTGATGCTGAGCGAAGCTGGACTGGGAAACGTCTCGGGAGCAGCAGAGACAGAGGCGGAGGGAGTGGAAGAAGGCGGCGGCGCACCGGCGAAGCGGGCGATGACAGGGTCGAGCATGATGAAGCCGGTGAAGAGGCGCGGGTGCATGAGGGCGACGTTTGTGAGGGCGTTTGCGCCAAAGGAGTGGCCCATGGCGATGAGGGGGCGAGGGGGGCGGATGGTGTTGATGAGGTGGGCGATGTCGCGGGCGTAGTCGAGCCAGGAGGCTGTTTGTCTGTGTTAGTCGAGGCTTATGAAGATGGAACATGCAAACATACGGTCATTGCCTAGGTTGGCGGCGTTGAGGATGCCGCTCTGGCCTTGGTGCGCTGCGTCGGCGATCCAGATGGCGCGGAGGCGGAGGCCTTGCTTTTCTAGCTCTCTGAGGAGTTCTTCATAGAGAGGTTCATATAATTCCTAGTAACAAATCAGCTAAATTGCTCTCTCATAGCTGATTCATTCACTCAATAGGAAGAGGTCTGCTTACCTTTGGAAAGCCATTCGCATGAGCGCCAATGATGGTGATGTCGCCTTTGCGCGCAGGGCCACCGTGCTTGGGGGTGTATTGCTTGACGTGCAACAAGAGGGCTTCATCTTGGGAGGTTGCTGTTGCACGAGGGTATTCGCGGATGTGCGATGCTTGGATGGTGTGTTCGTGGATGTCGAAGACGGAGGATGATGGTGGTGGATTGGAGGCCATTGTGTCTGTGTAATATAGGGATGTAGTTTCTGTATAAAGTCGTGTTTTTACTTTATACGGAGTTGAATTCCGCTATATAGTAAGTAATATGAGGAGAGAGAAAATATCGTGCCTCGGCTTGTGATTATATGAGGTTGTGTGCTATGTCGACACGCCCGGGTGACAGCCGGAAGATGAATGGGCGTTTGGTTTGCTACAGCAGAGGCTAAGAAACCCAGGATCGTGGTTGGCTGCCTCGCAAGAAACGCCAGATCTTATCTTAGCGAGAAGGCATTAATCCGGGGTAGGATGATCAAAATTAAAAAGTGTACACGGATACAACGGAGAGCTGCGATTCAATGTGTTCTCTTTTGCTGGGGGTGGTGAGTGGAGATGAGCCTCGGTAAGAGGGTTGAAGGCAGAAATAGCCGAATACACACAGCTAGCAGCTGCTTTGAGGCTCGGCAGTGGTGTAAGGCAGTTGGCTTCAGTTGGTTATAGGCGCTGGCTGACCATAGCTTGGAGAGCATATTTCAATCGTTTACGGTTGTCACTTCGTTTGCATATGGTCAAGACCGTTTCAAAGATGGCCTTAGAAAGAAGAATTTATTATTGTGCAGCGAACAAGATTTCCAAAGGGAGACAACTGCACAGCGAGATAGACTGCATTCACGCAGGCACCTACAGTGCTTGACACTGTATGATGTTGGCCATCTACATGCAATCCGATCAATGCTATCAAGCCAGATCAGCGTCAATAAGTGTATGATTGCAATCGAGCCAAAAGTATCCATACATCTATTAATTAACAGCTATTTACATCATCCAGCTGATCAGAGCGTCAAATATGAAAGTGATGTACAGAATACGTAGGTCGAAAGTTACATACAGTGAGCGTACTATAATCATACTGTCCCTTTCTTGGCTTTACTCTCCACGTCGCTAACACTTCATAGAGTACAGTGAGGTATCAAAATCCCTTCACCAGCATCAGCAATTCCAGCTGCACATGGATTCACCTTGGTTATGAACTCATAGGCATTTGAAACTAGGTATGGCAGTAATCGCATATAGCAGCGATTGACGTTGACAAATAGCTTGCGCGTCGTGTCACGGCAAAGGTTACTTGTGCAACTGCGGCTGAGAACAGGACTCAACTTCATGCTCGTTATGTACATGGGCATACACTCTCATCGTCAACACCAACTCGGTGTCCATAAACAAAGATGCCAGCACCGGCGTCAACACCAGTTCCACGCGTCATTCTCTTCGCCGGGGCTCCATCGCCAATCTCAGTGAATACCGAGTCCTGCACTCTAGAAGGCTTCGATGAGACGTTCCAACGATTCTTTGGGCGTCTTGACAGCAAACACCAGAAACAGCAACACACGGACCAAGCTTTAAGTATTCAAACTGCGTCTCAGCCACCCACACACGCCGTTTGGAGGTCTGTGCCATTGAACCGCCGGCCCCTCCACACCGGACTGAGCCAGAATCACAGCATCTTGAGCGGCTCTTTTCAAGGCCATCGCGACTTCTTCACCACGGCTGATGCTCTCTCCGTGGACGAGACTCAATCTTTCGATGGCGGTGAAGATGGAGGAACAGTACTTGCACAGTTCTGCGAAGAGTCGCTCGCGGCTCACACTCTCATGCCGTCTAGTCAGATTGCCAACTTCAGCATGGATAATATGGAGGATGCTACAACCTCGTTCATGACAAATGATACAGATGAAGTATCCTTGCAGGATCGTACGAATCCCTTGACACCGCCTATACCATTACATCTATCAGACTTGGAAGACGTTCCCTCCGCCCGTCGGATTCTCGCTCTGAGCCCCCAGACAGTGACGCTCAACTTGATCGTTGCCGTCATATCCATAGCGCAGCCTCGGACCGTCACGACGCGCTGGGGCACCACTCTGTCGCTAGTCGAGGTTCTTGTGGGCGATGACACCAAGTCAGGCTTTGGTGTAACTTTTTGGTTGTCCAGCGATCAAGCTACAACCGGTCAAATCAGCAAATTGAGGCGGCAAGACGTCGTTCTGATGGAGAATGTGGCGCTACACGTCTTCCGGGGCAAGGTCTATGGCCAAAGCCTGCGCAAGAATCTTACTCGGGTCAACCTTCTCTGGCGAAGCGAAGGGGGTGGGTATTACCAGAGCAGAGATCTTGCCCAACGAGCCGCGGCGAAGCATCCCCAGCAGGAAAAGACGAGGCTCGTCAAGGACTGGGTGCTTCATTTTGTCGGGCGAGATTCGGGAGCAGTCACGAGAAAGAGGGCCAGTCGACTATCATGGGACCAACCTCCTGACGATACGCAGTAATACACCGTTTAGGAAAAAGGTCTTTCATATTCTTCTATTTAGATTATGCCAAGGGATCTATCCAAAGCCTATATACGCTACAATTCAAAGATGCATTGCACCAACGCCATAAATGTCCAAGACGATGTGGGTATGATTTAAAATACAAGGCTCGAAAACGAAAATTCAAGCAAGAGCGGAGTGGTGACTTGGTTTCTCAGTTTATGCCATACCAATGGACATTTCAGGCTTCTTGCCGTTGGCGCCCTTCTTCACCGACCTCCACTCAAAGAAGAGACTGCACACAAATGCAAGGGCGGCACATGCCACGGAAATGTAGTAAGTGTGGCGCAAACCGAGATTGTACGCCTCAAGAACAGTCTCCAGGGCATCCAAGCGGCCGATGCCTGCAAGCACAGACTTGATCTCAGAAGCACCGCTGTTAATGAAGAGCTGAGGATCGATGCCAGTGTTGTCCTTGGCGAGCTGGTCGATGAGTCCGTTTTGGAAGAGCGTCTGGGCAACGGCGACAAATACTGCGCCTCCCAGGATCTGGAAAAACTGCACGCAAGCAGTACCGACGGGAACCCATTCCTGGGGTAGAACCGTTTGCACAACCAAGACGCTGGTCTGGAATCCAGCTCCGATGCCCAGGCCGGCAAGGACTTGGTATCCGAACCATTCCTTCAGCGGGGTGTGGACGGCGAAAGTCGTAATCATACCGCAGCCGATGGTGTACAGAATCGTGGATGGGAGGATGAGATAGTTGTAGTAGCCGATGACGGGGATGAGGCCACCCGTAACGATGGACATGAAGACGCTGGAAAGGAGGAGAGGCAGGATCTTAATACCAGCTGTGACAGCACTGACACCCTGGATGGCTTGGAAGTAGATGGCTGTTTGCACAGTTAGCAGAAAGGCTCAGTCTGGGACGTTCGAAATAAATGTCTACTCACAAAGATAAAAGATGAGGGGGAAGAAACCAGCGCCGAAGAAGAGACTGAACATCATGGCAGCAAGAACGTTGCGGTCCTTGAACATTCGAGGCGGCAATGTTCCCTTGTCTCCCTTCCAGAATTGGATGCCAACAAAGACGAGGATCATGAGGCCAAAGCCAACGAACAGGCCAATAATCTTGGAATCGCTCCAAGCATACTCTGCGCCACCCCACTGCAGGGCCAGGATGAGGCACACAATAGCGGGAATGAAGATAGCCGTGCCGAGAAGATCGATTTCGAGAATGCGCTCCAGGATGGTCATGCCCAGAGTGTCGTCCGAGTTGCGGTTGACGTGCAGCAGGAGGACGACGATGAACATGGCGAGGCCGCCGATGGGGAGGTTGATGTAGAAGCACCATCTCCAGGAGACTTTCTCGGTAAAGGCACCGCCGAGGAGAGGACCGGCAACGGAGGCGATTCCCCACATGCCACCGATGAGGCCAAAGGCAATGGGACGCCTCTCGAGGGGCACTATCGCAGCAATTAGCAAACTGCCGGTTTTATTTCAACTTTCAGAGCAACATACTTGATAGAGAGATGATGACAATAGATCCAGAGAATAAGCCAGCGGTTCCAACCTAGCCCCTCTCAGTCAGCATTCAGATCACAAAAAGCAAATAGGGGGTTCAAGGAAGACTTACTCCCGCAACAGCTCGCCCAACAATCAGCGCCTTTGACGACGGCGCCACGGCCGAGAGCAGACTTCCAACCTCAAAGATGAAGATTGCGGCGAGATAGCACCACTTGACGTTGAAGTACTTGTAGAGAGCACCGTACATTGGCTGCAGGGCTGTGGCGGTAAGCAGATAGGCGGAACCATACCAGCCCTGTCGATCGATGGTTAGTTAGATCGGATGTCTCACTTTTTTCATTCAAATCAAAACGTCATAGCGATTTCTCAAAACTCACAATGTCCTTCACACTCTGGAATCGAGCCGTGATCGTGCCCAGCGCAGGGGCGATGATTGTCTGATCCAGCGCAACCAGGAAAATTGCCATACACAGCGCGACAATAATGGAAACCAGCTTCACGCCCTTGGGATAGTTTGCAGTGGCACTCGTCGCCACCGTATCGGTCTTGGTGACCTCTTCCAGCATTCCACCGTCCTTGTTCGTCTCGTCGGCGCCCGCCACGGCGAGTTCCTTTTCATTGTCATGGTCACGACTCAGGGGCGGCGGGATGGAGTCGCGCTCAGTCTTGTCTGATGACAGACGGGGCGTTGGCGTGGAAGACATTTTTGTTCCTCTCCCAGGTGTGGCGTTGAGGTGCTTCAACGAAGAAAGGAAGAAGGGAAAAGGAAAGAGAGGCGCCCTATTCTATTTGTTAGTTCATTATATATAATTAGAGTTGGCCGTCTCGATATCAGCCGGACCCAGCGATGGATCTAGTCAAAGAAAAAAAAAATTGACATCGGCCATAATGCACCAGGTTTTACGTACTAGCGTCGCGAGTTGGCTGCCTTTTCCGCAGCTTTTAGTTTCGTTTTTCGTTGTTTTCCCCCCCTTTTCTTTCGGACCTCGTTTCCGACTAAGACGATATCAGAAAGAAACTAAAGAAATAGGCTTAAAGACCGTGAAAGGAATAATGTTCGAAGGGGCAACAAATGTGGTACACCTTTTCAGCCTTATATCTTGCTCACCTACCTAAAGAATGCAGTATCTAACTGATGTCGATCTATCACACCACTCAACAGGCTCACATGCAAGGTTTCGGCCCTCAGCAACCTGTATTCCTAATCAACTACTGCATATTGCACCAAGGCGGTCAAATTAAAAGTCCTCATTATAAATACTGGTATCCAAAAACTCGATGCACGAAAGCCCGCTGCCGCCAACCATCGAGTTTGCAGCCTGGCATCAACTAAGCTTAGAGCGAAACTCCACACTGCGTGGCGAAACTCGCCCTTCGCGATTGCTTCCCTCCCCTGGCTCTCTAGCGGCGGCTAATGGACGATAGCACAGCCCAGGCAGCTTACAAAAATAACAAAGAATCTAGACCTCAATACAAGACTACCCAGGTACAGAATCATCATGCTTTACGCGGAGATTAGATTGAGAAGCCCGAGCTTAAAGCCCTCTGACTAACACCGGGATTGCTCCGCCCACGTATTGCATTTTAGCGCCAAAACAAGAAAACGAAATAAAATAAAATAAAAATCATAAGGGAGCCAATAGACGCCGGTAGTTGCTCCCCAGAGGCAGATCCTGCATGAGACGAGGAGTCGAGCTACAGAGCAAAAACGGTATGACTCAACAGGCGTTAATCACCTGATGCGGTTTAGTGGACGAGCAAGTTGCGGGTAAAATGGCGGGCTTGGAGGATGCCCGATGTCCGAGGGGAGCTTTTGGTAGGATTTTTGGTGGGAGCAGCTATACTGTACTAGTCAGTTGCTCATATGAGGCAGTTTGAAGAAGAAGAAGAGGAAGAGGTTAAGCTGTTAATGGCACTAATTACTGCCAATACGAGTAAGGACTATTGGGTTTGGGCTTTCTTTGTTAGGCATCAGATAAGACATCAAGACAGGTCACTTCAAAAGATGCAAAAATCCAAGGCCAACATCAGATAAGATCAAGCCTCATATGTGTCTATGTAAGCCAGATTGCATCCCCCTCTGCACACTCAAACAAATACACGTACTCGTACTTCGTATACAAAACATAAGCTTTCGTGGCGAACTCACGCAAGTCAGGGGGGGCCAAGTGGATTCAATTCCCACTTATTCCCAATCCCGAGAAGCTTAGCCCAACTTCATCCATAGTACGGGGATCGAATCCCTCGAAGCTACAAAAAGGGCTGAGGCACGTCCTTCTTTTTTTTAATCTGGTTGTTGCTCGGGGTTGCCTCCACAGCGAGGCCCGGCCAAAATCCGCAACTCTAACTCCATATGAATGAGACACGGCGCAACTAACTCCGCAACCAAACAACGCCCCTATATTCACGACTTTCGTGAAGAGCAGCTGAACTGGATGCAACAAGCGCACGTACGGACAATGCCATGCTACTGTAGTATATCGTCCCATTCTCCGCGTTATATCCAATCCTGCCACGTCTACGCTGCGTCACGGCTACCCCGTGGCCTATCAAGTCAAGCGCATTAGACGGTATCAGGAAATTAAAGGCAAAAGATGTAAAATGATATCCCTCTATCAAAATCTAGATGAACCAAATAGTATCATGCTTATTTACGTATTGCTCGGGCACCCATTCCCCCGAGCCCCTAGTTTGACTTCTCTTCAGTTTCTTGCACCGGAGGGATCCAAACCAGCAAGCCGTCTTTGTCAATCTTCATCCCCTCTGTCGGTATAACTCTAAGCACCTTCTGGAAGTACTTGTCTCTTACCACCAGTCCTGGCCGTACATACACGCCTCGTACAAGTGGCATCAGACGGTAAGTCTGGGTGCGCCTCGACATCGGTAGCAGGTGCATCGTCGTCTGTTTGGATCCGGAGAAAGCGAATGCATCACTTGGTTCCATCGCCAGACCAAATGTCAAGAAGTGGCTGGATGGATTTTCAATCGTAACGTCGAGCCGCACGAGGCCAGTCTTCTCCTGCGAACTGTGAAGCACCGATGCCAGCACTCTAGGCTCCGTCCCAAGCACCATGTACTGCCCAACTATCATTGTCGTGACGTTAACTAGGCCAGTCTCCCCATCCGTAGATCGCCGTCGTCGCCAGCGGACCACGAGTGCCAAATCTATTGCGACTGGATGCCTGTCGTCCAGCGTGACCTTTTCTGCTACTAGATCGAACCGAGCTTCATACATCGTCTTGGGTGCCACAATCATGCCATCTGCGGAGAATTCGGGCTGGCTTACAACACGGCACCGTCCGCCAGGCGTCACCGACGTAACCTGCATGTCGAGGCCTATTACGTCTAAATCTTCGGTTGCAAACGATGCATAGTGGCAAACAAGACACCATTGCTGCGTGAGTCCCTTTGCCGGAACAACATCGCCTTCGGATACGTCTTGTAGGTCTTCGTAGTCGAAAAGGCTCGGCCAGGGATCTGGATGGAGTCGCGGCATCAAGTCGTAATTGGCTTCAAACGCATTCACAATATTGAGGTGGATAGGCAACACCTGAACAATTGGTGTTGCAGCGTCTGACTCCAAATGATAATCTGCTCGAATCTGCAATTCGTATACCGTAGGCGCTGGTGCAGGGTCGAGATGAATTGACGCCTCCAACGAAGAGGAACTGGCTATGTGGCCAAGAGTAAGGTCCGTAACTTGAGACTCTTCCTCGGTAGCATCCACCTCTCGCTTATGTTCTCCAGCTTGGACTTGGAACCGAGGGATTCCCTTTCCAATGATCCGAACGTCCAATTTCACGTTGGCAGAATCGTCCTCTTCATTGTATAGGCCAATCCGCAGTGCAATCGGCTCATTTGCATAGTACTGCTCGAGGGGCTCTATCAACCTCAGCTTCATTTTAGGAGGTCGTGGTTGTATATGTAGAATATGTCCGTTGGGTCTGGACAATCGCGGTTTCACCGAGCCTTGAACGAACCATCCTGTGACTTTGCCTAGTTCTGACAATGAAAACTTATAATCCAGTTCAAATGTGTCGGCTTTGTAAGACAAAATTAGCGTAGATGCCGACGCCTCTCCTGGCTCTCGTAGAGGTATGTTCATCTCAAACACTTGTCGGTGGCCCGGTCTCAGTGTTAGATCGCATCTACCAGTCAGTTGATCTTCTTTCTCGTCCTTGTTGTCTTCATCTGCGTCCTCTTTTTTGTCTTCGCCTTCGTCTTGGTCCCCTTCCTCGACTTCGTTTTCGCTTTCACCTTTGTCCTTCTTTTCATCGCCTCCAAGTTGTTCGGTCAATGATACAGCCGCCAAAGATATAGGTCCTTCCGCAGAATCTATGTGCAGGGCCGAGTCATGCACGAGCGTGATTGGTCTAAGATGTCCTTCAAATTCCACTCGAATCGAAGATAAAGTAACTGGAGCGGCCACACTAAGCGCTTCAGAATTGAGGGACAGCTGGGCCAAGCACGTTTCGCCAGCCCGGCCCTCTTTGGCGCGGAAAACAAACGATGCTGATAAAAACGATGAAGCTAAATCGTCAGATATACTAATAGATGGCTTCGTGTCCAAGGTTACTCCATCTAGAGACTTGCTAAGATCGTAATGCCAGTTTTCCCTTCGTCTAAAGCCTGAACACCAAAGTCAGTATCAGGCACGAAAGTGTGAAAGATGCGCGACCTACGTTTATCCATTAGTTCCCAATCAGTGGCGACCACAACGTCCGCCCGCCCAGTCTCCGCCGCTGCTCGTCTCACAAGCCATAAGATTTCTTCAGAAATGTCGAGCCACCATTCAGAGCGAAAGGATTTATCTTCCCATAGAGGTCGGAGCATTCCTAGTACTTCATTCCATGCCCCAATTGTGGCCATCTCTCTTGCACACTCCAAAGATATCTCTGCCGCAATTCGGTGCTGCTTTCTTGCTTGAAATTGACCCCTCGCGTTGAGGAGACAGTCTATTATCAGTTGTGCATGATTGACTCCCTTTCCGTTCAGTGGATATTCTTCGTGGGGCGGAGGGCACATATATGTATCATAACGGTATGCTTTGCTAGACAACCTCGACGCGGGCGAAGCGTCTGGCGCTCCTCTATCATCGTCGGGGATCCTATGAGCCAATGCTTTGCGAGCTCCGAGATGGCGCGCAGCAATTCGATACCAATAACCCGTATGGTGCAATAACTCCCACGGATGTAATCGTTCTCCAATAAGTGTTTTTTCTGGCTGCAGAAAGATGGTCATAGTCGAAGGCCCCAGGCCAGGAACCTCAGTCTTCTCAATAAGACCAGCCATCACCATCGCCCACCGGGCTTCCCAAGCTTGCCAGCCATAGTTGTTTGTACCCCTTCCTCTGGCATCAACAAACTCGCTGATGCGGTCGCGATGAGCCTGCCATCTCCTAACCGCCATGCTCGTTTGTCCCATCCATAGGTGCATTCGCAAACAGCGGATAGAGATTATGTCAGCCAAAAGCCGTGCCTCGTTCCAGCGAGGGCTCCAACTGGGGATAATATCAAGAACATCTTGGCCTAGCAAAATCTCGTACGCCTGTTCAAAAGATCGGATCGCCGCGTCAATTTCTTGGCGGAATTCAGCAAAAATAGCCAACTTGAAATCATAGCGAAAATTCCAGTCGGACAGCGATAACGTTTGCGACGTCCCAGAAGTTGGCGGCACTGTTGGCTGAGGAACGATTCCTCGGGATCGCTTCTTCCTAGCATGCCTCCCAAGGTCTCGATAATACTCAATGGACGTGGTGTACAGCAAGGAGAGGACGCTATCCATCACTCTCTTCAAATCTGACGGCGACTCCTGGGGCGTAACGTAGAAGATTGATTTGGGATCTAAGCCAGTTCCCCTTCGAATATTCTCCAGCCGATCTTGTATAATATCAGCAGTCAATTTCCTGGCATCTTCATCGCCCAGAATTATCACAACCAAGCGCGTTTTATAACCCGATTCTACCAAGGTCGCCCTTATGTGATTAAGATCTGTCTTTAGCTTGTTGTCGCCCAGCGTAGCAATGTTTGGGTCGCTGATCAGTGTTTGGAAGCACACGAATATGCTAGGGATCGCTTCCTGGTGCTTCTTGATCCATTGCGCATTAATCAGCCCGTCTGGGTATAGAGCTGACGAAGGGCTGAGGGGCGAGAAAGGCGAGTGCAGTATCGGGGCCGTGGTCATCGGTTCGATCGTTTCAGGCAGCCGGGCTCGTCGAGATGGAAGTACATAGGACTATAGGCAGTCAGAAACGCGCCGCGCAACCTCATTCGCTTTAACTCGAGTTCGCCATACTCTACCAACGGTCTTGATGCGAACCCTAAAGGGCTCGTCCCTCGTGATTGCAGTCCATGAGGTCCCACGTTCGTCCACCTCTTGAAAATACGACTGCAAAAAGTTCGCCTCTCTGCTCTCTAGAGGCGGCAGATCGGATCGAAGGAGGATTCCCGGGCCATTGGCCTTGGGAGGTTGCTCTGGCGGATCTGAATTCAACCCCGACACCACGATGAGCGGCACATTATGATCGAGGCTTCCCAAGGGGTAGCCATCCATGATGATTGGCTCGGCGTCGAGAATACATAAGCCAGGCGTTTACTTTGGTGTAAAGGAGCTTCGCATCCAGATGCGCAACTGCTCGAGTCTCTGTTAGAGCTGGCGAAGCAGTGTTAGCACCAAGCTGCCCCTCCGTTATAGCGCAAAGCAGCCCACCTTGCCAGCTTCTCTCTAGACGAAGGATACTCGCAGCGCTTCTCCAGCAAAAATGCCAGGAATCTCAAGATGTCGGGTTCTGATAAGAGCAAGCTAAACCGTCAAGCAAAGTTGCATTTTGGCTTTGTGGCTCTTCACCGAAATGGGCGCTAGCTCATAAGCACAGAAGATGATGTTCGCCCAGCTCTCTCCACGCTGTGGGCGATAATGCTGCGGCAGCCATTGCGGGACACATCTAGCTGTGTCAAGTCGGCCGCCGGCGTCGGAAGAACGCCGGGTACCAAACAAGCGCATCTTCAAAAATTCAATGCGCGAACCACCATAGCAAACATCTACGCCTATACTCCCCTCCAAACAACGATTGCCAACCGAAAAGTCCGCTGAGCGGCGAAAATTGAACTTTCCCTTTCGATTTCAAATATTCTGCGATAAACGGATTTCGCGACCATGAGACCGACACAAATCCTCGGCGTTGGCAAATACCGCCACCTCAAGCTCACGACCAAGGATGTTGGCCGCGGCTTCTACAAGGGAAACCGAACTGGAGCCATGGGACGACACACAAAGTATGGTGGTTATATCATTGAGTGGAGCAAAGTCCGCACCTACGTCGTTCCCCAGAACCTCAGCGAGTCCAAGGTACGAATGCCCGATCATTGCTACATTTACAACGTCCTTCATGTATGAAGTCGAAGAAGAATGAGCGAGAGGCAAGCAGCTGACCCTTCCTTTGTGTAGCTCACTCCCTTTGTGAGCCGAGAAGTGCGATCCGAGCCTGGTGACTACAAAGGCCTGGCCAAGGGTCCTCAAGATCCTTACTTTTACGTCGAGCAATGGAAGCGATACAACGGCGTCGATTAAAACTCGAAATCACCTCTCATGAATAAAAATACCCCACCACATATACAGACGAAGAGAGCACATATAAACACAGCGTCTTCGAAAAATGGCCTCTTTCGGGCTCTACGAACCAAATCGATAGCGGAAGTCAAGGGTATTCCGCTGGAGTTGTATATAACACACCCTGCGAACATTGTATCACTACCATGTATGATGAAGTTGGATAGAAACAAAAGAGGGGAAAAGGAGGATAAGATAACACGACGGATATTGTGCAAATAGCCATAAACACGCAATGCCAAAAAAGTAAAAAATATTCAAATTCATATTAAATAAAGGCGCCACTATATACGTGGATTGGATATCGCTAGTCACATGCTTGCTTTGCCATCTTTCCCTTCCTCCAAGTCTTTCCAACTCTTGCTAAATTATTAAATGCCCATCTCTTCTATAGCTCACGTCTCTATCGTGACTTGCGGCAAGTCTTCTGGAGCCGTAACAAAAGTCTCCATCCCAGGGCGCTGCAGCTCAGCCTTTTCGGTCTCGTTCACGTCAGCCAATCCATTAGTAGTAGCTGGAGATTTCTCATCGACTAAGTCTCCCTTCGAGCCTGACATGCTAGCAAACTCCATTGCTGGCTCTGGGCTCATAGCTCGCGAACCAGGCGTCATTGCCGAGTTCAGTGTAATCATGCTCGCCGTTTCCGCATCATTCTTTATGCTGAACGGCAAAGCAATTCCGTCAAGGAACGGTCTCTTGCCAGCCACGCCAGTTTCGGGGGAGTAGTCCGGGCTGAGAAGGCCATCATGAGCAGCTTCCTGTTCTCGACGCCTAGCGATCAACTGCGCTACGGGAGTTTCGTCGTTGATCTCTTCATTGCTGGTTTGATGCTCGTCTCGTACAATCCGCTGATGAGAGGGTCTTCGGCTATGTCCCGGTTTCTCAAAATGCGACGCGCCATTGGTCTCATTGGGAGTAACTGCTACCATCTCGGGCTCATGGTTGGCTTTCTGCTCTCTTTCCACTGTCTGCTCGTCGTGTTTTGATCCCCAAAGCGACCATATCGCCAAGCCAAAGCTCTTCCTTCTCTTGCCTGTGGGCAGCTCCGCATCTTTAGGTATTCGTCCAGCCAAGGCACTTGGAGGCGGATGCTCATCTACGCCAAAGTCTTTGTATCCAGCAATCATTTCTTTGATGAGCTTCTTGTGTACTTTGGCTTTTGCACTGGCGTATCTAGTATCGTACGAATGTTTAGTTTCTAGCCACTTTTTAACAGGGCCTTCCTTAATAACTCCGATTTCGCTAGGCTTCATTGTGCAGCCTGGGAGCTCTTCTTCGAGTGGGAGAGGCAAAATGGTGCCATTGCGAGCTATTCGCTGCCGAATCATGTGGTTCTTAAACGGCGGGAGGGGGTCTCCTGCTCTTCCAACTTCAGCAGGCATAGTATCCTTCTTGGGCTGCCTGTCTTGGCTTCCCTCTCGGTCGTCCCGTCCAGCTTCCGTATCAGAGCCAGAGCTAGTAATGACGGAAATGTCGTCGTCATCCATAATCTCAATGTCTCTGTTCTGAGCACGTGCCAAAGCCCAAGCACCGAACTGCGCAATTGATCTATACATGTACTTGGCAGGGCTAGTAAAGCTCAGAGTTGGGGCAACGTGGCACAGGTCGTCCCATACTTGAAGCTGCACATGGGTGGGCTTGTATTTGGCAAGTAACTCTCTTCCACGCTCCGTCAAGACCTCGTCCGCGGGAGCATATTTTGCCGGGTTGGCACACTTATGAGCCAGATAGATCTGCTCATCGCGGAGGATCTCGCCACCACCAACTGTAATCAGCAGAGGCGGTAGCCCACCCAGCGTTGGTTGCATGACGGGGCTCACCAACGGATGTGCCAGAAGGGAATTTTTTGTATACATCTAGCACAGCGTCAGACAAGTCAATCCCATCACAGCTACTCAAGCAGCCGAACTCACCTGAATCTGGTCCTTCATGGTCACCAATTCTCCATCAATTGTAACAGTCAAAAACCTTTCCGTCTCAGCATGGATGCCACCGCTGTCAATTTGAACATTGGCATCTCCATCGCTCAGCGGGGCCACGGGAGCCTGCTGTTTCCGCTCTAGCTCAGCAATAGGCGGCGCATTCTTCTTTGTATCGCTCTTCTTTCGCTTTTCTACCTCCGCTCTAATCATCTTTTCGTCATCATCGTTTGGTGGTGGCCAAGCCTTCGATGGCTTATGGTGGAAGCCCGATTGCGGTATGTAGTCTAATGGCGCATCACCAGCAACACTAGGGAATGAGTGAGTCAAATCACCCCATGGACTAATGAGGATGCCTCCGGCAGGCAGCGGAATGCCTTGATCTCGAAGAAGGCACAACATGGTCAAAACCATGCCTCCGCCTGCCGAGTCTCCAGCCAGTATGATCGTGGTGGGGTCTTGGATCGACAGGAGATACAGGTAAGTTGCTATACAATCCTGAAGGCCACACGGGAATGGATATTGAGGAGCCAGCCTGTAACGCGGAGCAAGGACTCTAGCCTTGAGCTTCCTCGCGTGGCGCTGCATTTGATATCGATGCTCATCGACGCTCCCGAAATAATAGGCGCCTCCATGCACATAAAGCATCACACGGCGCAGCGGTTCGTTATTCTTCTTCCGCTCATTGGCGTCTGATCGCATCTCAATCCACTCGGCTTCCATGGGACCTTTCGGCCCTCGCCAGTGCCACCATTTCCTGCCGCCAACTTGACGGATGCCATCTGGCCCCAGCTCTTCCTCGATCAATTCTGCTGCTCGGCCGAGGTGTTCGTCGGGAATTATGACAGTCTCAAGCTTGACCCATTGAGGGTGCGGAACCCATTGTGCCGTAAATCCCTGAATCTCTTCGACGGTGTGGTGAGAGGCGTACTCGAGAAACGACCGAATTAGATGCAGCCCCTCATCGTACGACAGATGCGTAGTAGGGTGCTCTTTCAAGCTCTTTTTGTTAAGGTACTACAAGCTCCCAAGAAGTAAGAGTTAGCAATCACACAAAGCAACACGGAATCAGCGCGCTCTGTCGAATCTCTGAAACAAACAGAATCCTCGGAGCCAGACCCGCGCCACTGAGCTTCACCTACGTGTGCAAATAAAGTCGACACTACTGTTGGCGTCACAGCCAATGATACGGAGGTCGTGTTGAGCCTGTTCATATCGATTTTGTTTGCCCGCCAGGTCCATCGATATGTTCAGATCGCGGATTTTTTTTCTTTATTTTAAGGAGCCTCCTGAGAATGAGGCCGCCACGCAGGCATTATCGGGCAACATGGCCAAGAAATAACATTACCATCAGGGGCCCCATGATGTCATGCCATATGGCAAGGAACAGGCTTGGCCCACGATCCGCGAATGTCGGCTAGGGAAAAGCACTGCCGTATTAGTACTAGCCGCACATCTTACCTAGCTTTAGGTTGGTGGTCCGTGCGCGACTAGCACAGAGGCACAGTGGACGAGATTGAAAAAAAAAAAACACCAAAAATTTTTATGCAGCCTCATAGCCATTTTGAGCCCCTCCATATCCCCGCTAAATACATTCATTATCAGACATCATGGCATCTACAGACGCGATAGAGCTGCCGCCGGCTGGTGAGACAGATCTATAACATTCATCAGACTATGGAGTTTCCTTTTATTGACTCTGAATAACTACAGCAATCCGACAGTCCAACTTCGAGCAAGCCGTCGCATGCGCTCTGCACCTATGGCCGGCCCTGACCCTCTCGGTACAGAATAACTGGGGAGGACCCGACTCTGCAGACAAACGGGATTGGTTTGCTGGTGCCATCGTCGACCTCTTTTCTGAGTTTACCGATGTGCAGCCCGGAGAGACCGCCAAGGCCACCAATGCCGCTGACGAACCGGATATGGAAGACGTCGAGACAGTGCTGCTGCAAGTGATGATCGACGAGTTCGAGGTCAACATCGACGATGATTCTGGTCTGGAAGTTGCTAGATCCATTGTCAAAGCGAGATCACAGTGCGCCATCGGCGACTTCAGCGACGAGGTCAAGACTCTGAACGAGCGATTCGCGAATCGGACGGCCAACAAGGTGGACCAAATGTTTAAGAAAGCCGAGGATCAGGACCAAGATACAGACTGGGAATCTGGAGACAGCGACGAGGACGATGGAGACAACGGAGGCGATGTGGATATGGACGAGGCACCACCACTGGTATCTGTCCCTAAGGAGAAGCCTGCCCCAGAAGTCGACGAGGATGGCTTCACCATGGTCACCAAGAAGAAGAGGTAAACCTAGGATAGCAGAAAACCTGGGCGATGAAGTTATCGCCATGGGAGAACATCCCACTCGACATGATCCAAAAAACAATAGGTACACCACACAACGCTGTGCTGACTCGACATACCGAATATGCGATAGCAAAGCCAAACGCCAAATTGCCCAAGTGCTAGGAAACAAATTATGCACACAGATATATGGAGTAGACGCGGCGCAGAATTACTCCCAGTCTTCGTCGCTGTCTTCGCCCTCGCTATCCTCATCGCTATCATCCTCCTCACTATCATCGCTCTTCCCCTTTTTCTTGGGGTCTTTGGGACTATTTGGCGTCTGCGTAGGTAGCTGGCTTGTCTTTCCCGAGGCCGCGCCGACAACATCATAGCTGGCATCGGTTTCGGCTTCGGATTTTTCATCGTTGGATTTCCTAGACTCATCAGCTTTCGGCGGCTGGATTGTAGTTGACGAAGCAATAGACTCGGGCCTCTTTCCCTTAACCTCGGCAATCGACTTCTTGGTGGGAGCAGGCTTCTCGGATTCTTCGTCATCCTCCTCCGAATCTTCCTCCGAATGTTCCGAGTCATCGTCATCCCAGGCTACTTCATCTTCAGCGGATGCAGCTAGTAGAATGTCAGCAATTATGAGGCCAGATAATAAAAGCTACTATAGAGCAGATATAGAGCATAATTTTGTAACACTTTACCTTTAAGGAGATCTCTTCGGCGAGTTTCAGCTGTCTCGATTCCGTGACGCAGGAAGTAATATCTCTTCCAGAAGTCGGCGTAAGGAATCTGGTCGGGCACAAGCTTCTCCATAGTTGCGCGCAGCTCTGGATACTTTGCCAAGTCGCCACTGATGTCCTCCGTCTTCTTATCAATATCAAAGCCCTCAGTCCATTGTTCGTATTCCTCAGCAGATGGGTCTTTGGTAAAGCTCTCTGTCGATGTGTGGATAACGTGAAGCTGTGCGTCGAATCTCGAAGTGTGAATCACCCTTTTTCCCTGGGCATCCTTGCTCTCAAACATGACTTGGTTGTTTTCGGCCGACTCATCTGGAGGTGCAACGCTAATCGCATCTCGCAGGAAATCTCGGATGTTGCTTCCAAATTTAAGCAAAGCTTCGTCTGCGGCATCCTCAGCGCGCTGAAGATCCTTCAACCGCTTTCCGGCCTCGGCCCTTAGTCGCGTAAGCACATTCTCGGACTCTTCTCCAGTCGCCGGCGCCGTTGCGTTGGTTGGTGTCCTCTGGCTTTCCTCGGCATCGTTGCTAGCAGACATATCGGGGATGATGGTAGTTAGGGAGAGCGAGCGAGTCCTATTGACAATGGTTTCTCGCAGGCTAGTAAATCCCTTTTGCGCATCTTCGCCGACCTCTGCAAACTCCTTTGAAGCTTGGGTGTAGACTGATTCGCCCTGCAGCGACGTCAGTATCAACCACAAGTAGCGGTGGTGCGGCTGCGCTCTGGTTGTCATACCTGTTTGATCACATTTCCAAAGAATCCTCCAATCTTGGCACCCCATGGGCTTGCGGATATAGCCTTGTAAGCTTCCTGGATATCATTGTTCAGAGAATTCTGCGACTCGTCCTGCTTCGAGCTTTCCCCCGACTCCTCGGTATTCTTAGTGTAGGCTTCTTCCTGGATATGGTCGTATGCGAGATCCATGATGCGAGCGATCCAGGTCCGGTGACAAGAAGATTCTAGACAGAAATTTGAGCTCTCTGCCTCCTTAGTGAAGAGCCAGTATGTGTTTCGGAGCTCGTTCAGGGTGGATATGGAGGTCAGCACAGCTGCATCGGCGTTGGTTCACGAGGCTAATGGATCTCCTCCTGCGTTAGAGGTGGGTGGGCGGGGAACACAGATATCACGTGACTATGCAGCCAAGCCGCCAGGCCTCGCGGAGTACTACCCTGTAGAGGCTCGAGCATGTCAAGTGCTTTGCAGCATTGCTCTGTAAAATTGGCAATGTCTATCAATAAATAGTTCAATATGTCTGAGCTAAATAAATAAACAGCATGTACTTGGTCCATGCAAAAATTAGCGGCATAGGGCACCGAGAGGCAATGAAATTCACCAGCCGTTTGAAATGGAGCTGTGTGCATGTATGAGCGCGAAGTTGTAAGACGAGGATAGCTGGGCCACCGACGGGTTGCTCCCTTTACTTATACGCTGCGTATACATATACATTATTTTATTGAGCACTTCTCGATACTGGCAGGCATATGAAAAAATGATAAGGTCTTGAACTTACCTGCAGCCTATACCGTCGGCGGTCAAATGATTGCCGTTGATCTATATCCACATGCACTTAGGCATGGGCGGGAGACAGATCAGACAATCTTCCATTAGATACAACATCATGCCGATACGGCATCATGCTCTTGCACTACACGCAGTGTCTTCTTTCTCTTTCTCCTTACTTGTTCTCAGCTAATCTTCTCTTTCTTGTTTTTGTAAAGTGGCGTATAATGTCGCGCACTTGTTACCCATAATCTTGGGACTGATGTGTATAGGTACTACCGAGGTAGAGAGCACTGGCAACCACTCATTGCAACATTGCTATCTAGAGCCCGCATCTCTCATTTTACGAATAATGCACAACTTTCTTACGATTCACGTGGCGCAAATAGTCGCATCATTGGCCCCGTGACCCAATGATTGAATAGGCTCATAGTAAGCTGTAAGGCGATGCTATCAGGCTTATTCCAGGGATCCATAGCCGCAGACGATACTTGAAGAGTCGCGAGACTCCATAAGCCTGCTATACGGCTGCCTTGGTATATACCCGGATGCCCTGCCAAGTTTTGGTCTGACCCCCAGATAACTGCGGTACGCTAAGCGGCTGCATGTGAAGCTTCGATCATTAGACCATTCTCGGCCCAGTGGGATCGGGCACGATAAATTGCAGCTTACCTAGTATGCATAGGCAGGTATCTAACAAAGTGCAGGTGTAAACGGGATCGGAAGATCAGCAACGTTTATCTTGCCATACGCATAGACTATAACTAATAATAGTGCCATTCAGTAGCCATAATAGCCCACGACTTTTGAATTTTGGCATCATTCTTGGCGATAGCCTCATAAAATCGCATGTTGTCTGCCTATCGTTGATTGCACAACTGCACCTCAGGGTCCTGTAGGATCCCTTTGACATGACAAGTCTATGCCGTCATAATGCAGTTTAGGATGATTTACTCCAATCAACCAAGATCTACGTCGCTCCAGGCCTTGAGCTATGACCCCTTTTACCCCGTGTTCAATATAGCTTCACAGGGCGACCCGGTTGCTGCGCAAGCCTCCATCTTCGATCTCCTTCAAAAACCAAGATGCAGCGACCATTTTCTTGCGTCATCGCTCCCCAGAGTGGAAATTGTGGAGTTCAATAGATTTAAGCTTTGGCTACCAGATCGTAGAAATGACGTATATAAGCTACTTTCATTGGCCGACTGCGTCTTTTGACCCACTTATCATCCAGATTCGCTGCCAATTGCATCGCAAGTGTCCCTGAGCGCGACTACCAACTGCCACAGGGACGTTTTCGTGCCATGGAAAATGTCCAGAATGAATCGTAAAGTAGAGTTCCTGGTGAGATGTCGTGGGCTTGGAAGGACCCTGTTCTCATCTATATAAACCTCGAAATTTCCCCTGAGAAACCAAATCTTCTTTTCATCATCATCACAACTACAATCACAACCTCACACTCAAACAACTCACACAACCAACTCACCTTTTACGGTTTAATACCTACCACAACACTTCACAATGGAGACCGCCAAGCAAGCTTTCAACTACGTCTCTGAGTCCGTCCAGGGCGCTGTCTCTGGTGCTAGCAAGGAGACCAACAAGGAGATTGCCAAGAACGACAATGTCAGCGTTGGCTCTCGGTAAGTCGGAGCAAATATTCCGACCATACACCCATAGTGCAGTCCGCTAACAGTTTACAGCCTGACCGCCGCCAAGGATGCTGTCGGTGACAAGTTCGACGAGTCCGCACACAATGGCAAGGCCGAGGCTCACAAGGAGCTGGCTCAGAACTAGTGGATTGGAACGAAGGACCTCGAGGCCTTCAATGGCGTTCAGAACGGATCATAGCGAAAGGGGCCTATAGTCTACTAGGCATGAATTGATGATTTGAATTTTTTTCCGCACCAGTTTTTTCTCTCCCGTGGTCATGGACAGGTGTTCGTGAATGTGCTTCGAGATTCGTGGGGGTTTGCAAATTTTGCGCTTGGCAGGGCAAACTTGAATATCCATTGTCGGAGAAAAGATTCAGCAATTTCAGCATCGCCGAGACAAAAGTTCGACGTATTCCAGCCAAGGCAGTTCGTAACTGTCGTATCGTGCATGTTATGTAACAGGTAACAACCGCCAGCGTGTCTTTTTATCATGTGGTTCGTTGAGATGAGTCTATCGTCGCCCGGTTTCTTCGTATCCAATTGTTAAAAAGTTAATTGCGCATATGCTAGCGGCAATAGGCAAATGCTCAACTGCTGATAACAGGCAGTGAAGACAAAAGAGTCCGCAAGGATAGGAAGAAATAGCCTTATTCAGCTAGCCATTTGCCAATCCTCGGCTGGCATCGCAGCGGGGCAGCTGCTGGCAGTGGCGGTTTTGCGTGTAGCCTGACCTAAACCGTAGTGGCAATGGAACGTGAAGCTTATTGCTGCCCGATGCGATGTTTCGCCCAAGTCCTGCAGCTGCGCATCTTGTGATGGCCGTTAACTTGAAACAATATCCCGATCGTTTGCGAAGGATATCTGGAAATCTTATTAGCAGCGCGTGCAGCGTATAGGCAAAAAAGATTAAAGCTCTTTAAACGTGTCGCCGAAAGAGATCCACTTTTCGGTGTTATGTTCGGGTCAGGGTCTTTTTTTCCGGAATGGGGTGCAGGACTTACAACAGCTGCTCCCTTATCTCCACCCAACGTGTCTCTCACGTTAAAGGCGGAGATTGCAGCAAGCGCCGCAACGCCGTAGTCTGGGTGAGCCGTCTTTGACAGGCCAGCAGCTAACAAAGCGGGCGTGATAAATCCTCGCCGAGGTGCTTCTATCCTGTACAGGGCTTAGCCTGCCGTAAGGGCGCTGCTGCGACCCCCTGCGGTCTGACCAGAGTTGCGAGCGAAGAAAAAGGGTCCCGCGTATAAGTCGCAATCGGTGCTTAACCATCAGACTTGGCGTGGGTGCACTGCGGCAAATAACCTCACCTCATGGGGGCGACGGGCCGCTGTACTTTTGCGCGTGCAGATTGCTGACGATGGTGTGAATATCTCTGGGTGCTCATAGCTCGAGCAGATGAGGGGTGATACAGCCAAACCGTCGAGCAGCGTGAATCAAGACACAGTGGCAGTAAGCACTGGGCTATTCGGCACTTTTCCTAGAGGTTTCCGGGTCGGACAATGCGCAAATGCCGAAGGAGGACAAGCTGACACGGCTGGATTAGCACTGTATCTCGTAGTCAACGGGTAAACAGCGTATACACGCCGGATACGGAGGCGCAAGACGCTGCCATGCTTGCTGAGCAGGTAGCAGACATGTACGTGCCGGACTCGTATGCGCCTGTATCCCTGGCCGCCCAGTGTCTTGGGTGTAGAAGTGTGTAATCCGTAGCATTGGCTGTATGCAGCAGCAGAGGTAGGTACCTATCAGGGAAGGGCGGTCTTGGGGTCTCAAGCTCATAAGATATGGAGAGCTCTATCAGGACGTGACGGAGCTCGGAGATGCAAACGGAAGATGACGAGCCGTCCGAGTCGACCCGGGGATGAGAGCAGCAGGCCATCTATCTATGTATCTGTTCCTGGTGTTGCTCGTCCATCTCCATCGCAGCAACTGCCGTCCGGAAGACTCCCAGCTGCGCATCTCGTAAGCAAGATGCGGACGACACAGATGCTAGCAGACGAGGCCATCCAGGCACAGCACGGTGCGCGACGCACGGCGCTCGACAAAGTCTGGCAGGGCCTCTGGACCGACACCGTGCCGTCGGGGCAGCGCGGCGAGCGGTCAGGCCGAGGGGCTCCTCTAGAACGGTCCAATGGCTGGCCTAGGAGGGCGCTAGCCAAACCCCCCATTGGTGGCACGCCAAAGGGCTGAGGAGCCGGAGCCAGCCTCTGTAGCGCTCCCCGCCCTCTGGCCGCTTACAAATGCAGCAAGATTCCTCATGGACGAGCAAACACGCAGGCGATGCGGCCATTTTGTCTGCCCATTCGTCCCCCTCAAGCCGCTGCACGAGGCCACAGTGCGCAGAGCCCCTCGCGCCGACGTTACAGCCTGTGTCTGCCAGCGCACGGAAGCGCCTAGAAGACTTTTTCTGACTCAGGCAGCAAAAAAAAGTCGTCTGTCCACTGTCTTCCCACGCATCCGCGGGGCTCCACACGTGCTGCTAGTGCTGGAGGAGCGATTGATTACCTGACCGTACGGGGAGCGCTACCAGCAAGTTTCTCGCATTCGCCTCCCAGCCATCACCTTCCGCCAACCAGCAACCATCCATCAGCACGACATCTGGCCTGGCCGCATCTCCTGCGACGCACATTCCAGGAAGCGTTTTTGCCATCCATCTGCGGTTTCGTCCATCTGATATCTACTCGTGTTTATCCCCTTCTGCTGCGCTGCCATCGAGGCTCCTTTCTCCCCTTGGATCTGGATCTCTGGCGCTAGGCGTCTAAGCATTTCAAATCAACATCCCCGCCACCCGCGGCTACCGACTTGCAACCGAGCGAGAGTGCGCTGAAGGCGTGCGAGAGATTGGCGCTTTGGTTTGCAGTCCTCGTGGCAGCAATATTTCCTGAACCGGATTCTGCTTTGCTTCTTTATTTCTTCGATCTTTGTTCTGCACCATTGTCGAAATGGCCACAACCGGTACTGGAGCTGGCTCGTCATTGCCACCAAACTTCTTCCTGACCCCGCAGCAACAGAATCTACTGTTCACGGCTCTCAATGCGAATAAGCAGCAGCAATCAAACCTCAAGACTGGAATTTCGCTGTCTCCCACTTCTTTCAAACAAAACCCCCTTCAGAGCCTTGACAGCGCTGGATTCCAGGAGAGCCCCTTCCTCGACAACTACGACTACGACTTTGACGACTCCGGTTTTGATTTTTCCTTTGCCAATGACGGAGCCCAGGCCAACATGATTGGCGATGTGCCTGACAGCGCTATGAGCGCCAAATCTGATTCTACCGAGACTGAGAGCCCGGAAAAGAGAAGCCACCCGGATGACGAAGATGACGACGCCAGCCCTGGCAATGAGTCAAAGAGACACGAGGGCTCTGACAAGGTCCCCAAGAAGCCTGGCCGCAAGCCGCTTACTTCGGAACCAACTTCAGTACGCTCAATCTACGCTCGTTGTTGTTATGATGAAATTGAGAATTCTGTTGACTAACAAACATCTCACTTGTAGAAGCGTAAGGCTCAGAACCGGGCTGCTCAGCGTGCTTTCAGGGAGAGGAAGGAGAAGCACCTCAAGGATCTTGAGACCAAGGTTGAGGAATTAGAAAAGGCCTCAGAGGCCGCCAACCATGAGAACAGCATGCTTCGCGCTCAAGTCGAACGCATCACTGCTGAGCTGGGCCACTACAAGCAGAGGATGACGCTTGTGAACAAAACATCCACTACACAGCAAGCTCGTGCTCAGCCCTTTGGTTCTGCGGCCGTCAACAACATCAATGATGTGAGCTTCCAGTTTGAGTTCCCCAAGTTTGGAACCCTCCCCGGACCGCCTGCCAAATCGCATCAGAAGTCCATGTCACAGCCCATCAGTCCCAGTTCCCAACAGACTGCCAGCCCAGCTGCCAGCCAGAATAACATAGACCGTGTGGCACAGTTCTCCCAACAGGCGGCAAGGAATGCGCAGTTCAAGGAAGATCTCGCCAAGTTTGGCGGTGGAGGACCATTTAGCTTGCACACTCCCTCAATGAGCAGCTCTACTGCCACTGGATCAAGAGCCAGCGTGGACTCTGTCAACTACAGTGGAAATAACACTACGAGTTCGCCGTCGGCCTCCTCTCACTCCAACGTTGGGGCTAGCTCATCATGCGGCACATCTCCTGAGCCTTTTACCCAGTCTCCCATGGGCTTCAAGCCTGTTGATACCCTGACTACCATTGGCGAGGAGCACCCGTCCATGTCTACTGCAGATGCACCATTCTCTCAATTTACTGGCCTTGATTTCGGCAGCAACAGTTTCGACTGGCTTGTTCAGCAGAACAATGGCGGTCATTTTGATCCCCAGCTGTTTGGCGATTATCGCGAACCCCAAGAAAACGTCATGACCCACTCCACGTTTGACGACCTGTTCAATGACTCACTTGAGGCCGATTTTTTCACTCCGTACAACATGGCCAACAGCCCGAACCAAAACCAAAACCACAAGAAGATGAATCTCATCGATGAGATTGACGCAAAGCAGAACGCGATTGACGATGAGCCGAGAAAGGAGAATATGAGCTGCAATCAACTCTGGTATGTTATTCATCACGTGATCATAACAGTGTTATCATATACTAACATGCTCTGTTACAGGGAAAGGCTACAAGCATGCCCTAAGGCGCAGAATGGCGAATTTGACCTGGATGGCTTGTGCTCAGAACTGACCAAGAAGGCCAAATGCTCCGGAAGCGGGCCCGTTGTTGCCGAAACGGATTTCGACTCCATCCTTAGGAAGTACATGGGCAAAGAGGCGGCCGACTGCTCGGCTGAGAGCCTGGGCATATCTCTAGAGAAGTCCAAACCTGAGACACTCGTGATGCCATAATTTATCAGGAGTTTATATGGCATTTCACTGGGCGCATACTTGTACGTTTAAAACCGCATTTCGGTTGAATAAAGAGGACACAAAGAGTCTCTGGATTTTGGCGTTTTGAGCAAACAGAAGGGCGTAGCTAAGGCGAACGACCCTAGGCTTTTTAAGCATTTGGATGGATATAAGACGAAGGGACAATCGTCGATTTTTGAAGCATTAATCTTTTGGTGCATTTACAACTATTTTCTTCATCTTTTTGACATTTACGATTATGGGCAGGTTGTTTTTATCTCTCTACTATGAATGATTACGCTTTGTTTAATTTCTCTTTATGGTGCACTTTAAATATGTTGGTGCTTGGCTTTGCCTTTTCGATTCGCAATTTACTCAATAATCAATTTCGAGATTCAAATCATTCGTTAATATCAAGCCGTTGTCTTTGAACCGCTGCAGCAGTTTTGTTTCAATCCCATTTCTTTGAGAAGTGAGAAGTGTACATACGCTCTAGGAAGAATGAACAAATTCAGTATCCTGACCCTGAAAATACTGGATATCTCATTTCTTTACAACACACATGACATGCAAATTAAGTCTAAGAAACGCGGCAGTTGTGAAACTCGGTTAAACTACGAGTCGCTGTGTTGTGAGAGCTACTGTATGCTGTATGCTGCTTTGCAAGAGACAATTGGAAATAAACGTGCCATTTACCCATCATACAGAAAACAAAGTACCAATTTCTACGTCGCCGTCATTCTCAATCTCTCCGTGCGTTCGTCCGACTATGTCCTTTTCCCAACAACAATCAGCATCTCCCCAATACGGCACAATGCTGAAAACCTCGGAAAGTCCCCAACATGGGCAAAAACGCTTCTCATCATTTCAAGCACGCATGCATGTGGCGAATTTGTAATGGAAAGTTCCCTTCCCCCTTCCCACCATTAATCCGAACTCGACCGGCTAGACTCATTCCAGGCAACGGGCTGAAAACACAGTCTCTCTCGTGGTGCCATTTTCGCTTTGATAATCAAATTGGTTTTTGGCGGGCGGGATTAGCGGCGTGGCAGTGGCAGTGGCATTACTAGAGTACTAACTAGTAGTATGTCCGTCCGTTCATGACTTCTAGAGCAACGTGCTTTTTTTACCCCGGAATTTTCCTTTGCTCGGGATTGATATTTTGGCTTATGCATGATTGTATGATCATTTTTCTAAGTCTCCCATATGGAGTTGAGTCATGGGATCTTACGATTTCATTGCCGTCAAGCAAAAGCAAGCCACCTCGTCACCACCACATGTCGTCAACGCCCTCGTGGGATGTAATTGATTGGGAATCACGTTTACACCATGCATCTGCGCATGCGTTACGACAAACAATCGTTGGAATCACAGATATGCGTCACACCAGCCGTACTACGTTGCGCTAGTGTAAATTTGCTTGTTTGTTTGGTATGCATTTATGTTATTTGTATCATAAATTATGGCCAGCTACATGAAACCACACTCCTGTCTGTCTATGTAACAATATGAGACTGAGTGAGTCCAATAATAGCAAAGTTTGTTCATGTTGTGTACAACTACTGGATGATGCAGATAAACCATTTGATGTTTCCCGCTAAAAACCGCCTGCTTGTTTCTTCCTTGTTCCACGTCTAAAGAATTGCCAACGCCAAAAAAAAAAAAAAAAAAAGCTCGAAGCGATGAAAACATCAAAACGAGAGCAAAACAGTTTGCTCTATCCAAAAACAGGAGAGGATAGTTAAAAAAAAGAAGATGAAAAGATGAAAAGGGCGTGAGGACGTGTATATGTAATTTCCCCTTAGAATGGAGAGTATATAGTACAATGAGATAGGTATCGACGATCGGAAAGACATGCTGGACGTCAGATATGAAATTGTTGAAAGAGGCGATATAGCATGCCCTCCTGGACGTTTCATATCAGAGCCGGAAATGGAGATGCACGTTTCGCTTGTTTATCATGGCTTGAGTTATTCATTTGCATGCGGTGTCCCAAGCCCAATACCACAAGCCGGCCGTATAGAGAAATCGAAATACCAGTCTTCCGTAAACTCCGTGTAGAACCCGTTAGCCCGTATCGCGTACTCGTTTTCATCGTGGGTATCGCATCCGATTCGTTGTCCTAGATGGAAGCTGTCGTATCGCCGCAATTACGCCGCAGTCTCGACCCTTCAGCTAATGACGACTCTGGCGCCTTCTTTGCCCAAAACTCCTCGTTCCTTGGGCCTGGGGCTGTTGTTCCTTCCTTTTTTGCTCTTCAAGAACCCAAACATGCCGCCGGAGCTTTCGCTCTTGGATTCTGCCGTGGTATTGGCATCCTTGGGAAGTGTGGCGTCTTGACGAGCGAGCTCAGACCAGCTGCCTCCGCCGTCTAGTGTTAGCTGTACCCCGCCGGTAGGGCTGGTTACTCGCTTGCTCATTTGCGGAGATCGAGGGACGTATTGGATTTGTCCGGGATAGGCAGAGGACTGTCCTTGATTTGAGTTTCCTCGCATATCGTTGCTGACTGTTGGTTCCACGGGAGGGAGGGGGTATGTCACCGGCGGCTCTACCGAAGGCATCTGCGTAATTTCGTCTGTGGTAATGGCCTGCGGGTCCATTGAGGATGGATCTCCGTCTTCGCCCTGAGAAGCCGTAAGTCTATTTCAGATTGTTAGTCAGAGATTGGCTAGTTTGGATGGGGGAAGCAATTGCGGGCTTACTTCTTGTAGGCCGCAACGGTATAGTCGAACGGGCGAAAATCTGTCTCAATCATTCTATACAGCTCATCCTCGCGAATTTCCTGGTCCGTAGCGTCCTCCTTTAACCGCTCTCTGGGTTTCTGTCGCCTTGCGCGAGCTTCTAGCGGCGCCTCTTCGAGCAGCAATTCTTCCAAGTCGTATGTTGCATCAAAGTTGGTCTTGTCAGACGATGGAACGAAAATGGGCTCGATGCGTTTCTGCTCGAGCAAATCGAAGTTGATCGTCTTGAAGAAATCGTTGTAGATGAAGCTCTCCCATGTAGAACCAAGTCGGGCATTGGGATTGGGCTCAAGTGCAGCACGGATAGCGTAAAGACACGTCAACGAGACGGGAGGCTGTGTGACTGGATACTTTGGCTGAGAAAACTGAACCTGTTGGCTGAGCGAAGATTCGCTGTTGCCCTCGAAAGGTCGCTGGAGTGAAGGTTAGCTACACTGCATCTTTTCCTTCTATTCGCGGGAAAGACATGGGCGAAGCATTAGCATACCTTGTTGTAGATACACTCATAGAACAGGACACCTAATGACCACCAATCGGCGCGGATATCGTATCCTTTGCCCGAATAGACTTCTGGGGCAAGGTAGGCCAAGGTGCCGGATTTGCTAGTCATAATGCGCCCGGGAACAATGTCAGAGGCCACGTTCTAAGCCAAAAGTCAGTCAGCTTATGCCGTCTCTACGTGATCTCACGTCTAGGTAGGACCTACGAAATCGGTCAAATGGACATGTCCCTCGGCGTCGAGAAGGACATTGTCTGGCTTGACGTCTCTGTGGATGATATTCTGACTGTGGACATAGCGCAAGGCACAGCCCAGTTCGGCTATCCAGAATCGGACGGCTTCTTCGGTGAAGGTCTTTCTGGAGATGTGAAATCGCAAGTCGCCACCGCTCATGAGATCAACCACGAGGTACCTTGTGGAAATGCTGTCAGTATATAAAGATGATTTGGGCAGCGCAGCAGGCGGGAAGCTCACATGTATTCGATATCCTGAAAGCTGTAGCGCAAGTTACAGATGAAGGGATGGTTGACATGCTCGAGCATTCGTCGCTCGCGGATGATATTTCGAACGCTTTCAGATTTGACAACTGTCCGAAGGGGCTATTAGTTAGCTATGCTATTCCCATTCCGCTGCCACCTCGTGCAGATTCAAGGGATAGGTAGGTGATTGTGCCTAGTAGCACTGCAGAGCAGTTGGTGGTTTTTTTCTTTCTTTTGCGCACCTTCATCTTTACGGATATATTTGAGCGCAAATGTCAGGTTGGTGTCTTTGCGCTCGACAATGCGGACCTTGCCAAAGGCGCCTCGGCCGACAACTCGTAGCAGGCGGAAGTGGTTGAGGTTGGCTATTTACGAGTTGCTCGGTCAGCTCGGTCGGCCACAGGAATGGAAATGGAGATGCAGCAGCCGTCTCTTGGCCCTCTTGGGGGCGGCCAGCGACCTTTGCACCACGCGCCAGACACGTGGGAGCGGGCAAAAGGAGGGAGGGACGCTGTAGGCCGCGATTCGCTCGGGGGTTTTTTGTCGACGTACCTTCGCCTGTCAGGTCGACGGGCTTTCCCTGGCCGTTGCCCATGATGAGGATCGGGGGAGGATTGGAGGGCGAGAGTGTGCAGCTGGAATCGTCAACGATGGCGAGAGGTCATGCTGTTTGTTCGCGGTTTGCGGGAGATGGCAGTCCAATGCTTGGCTCGCAGTCCTTTTTTCAGCGGTGGCCGAGGAATCGGCTGGCCAGTGGGGGGCGGTTTGGAGCACGCAGAGTCGTAAATGGGCAGGCTAGCAGGAGTGGGTAGGCGGCGAATTGACCGGATTCTGATAGTGGTGAAGTTTGGCTGGAGGTCAGCTCTGGGGCCCCAACGCCGGCTTGTTTCGCTGGTCGTGCGTGCGGGTTCTCGAGGACCAACGGCGATGGTGCTAATGATGAGGACGATGATGCAGTTGAGAATCAGCCACCAGCAGCAGCTGAGATGAAGAAGGAAGAGGATTGAAAGGCGGACGCTGCGTGCGAGGATGCGTGAGCATGAGAAAAGAACAAGCCCGGTCTAGCCTAGGAGAAGGCCCATGCAAGGGTACAGGCAGAGGCCGATGATCAATGCTCGCCCCAGACTAGCCAGCGAGCCCGAAAAGATGCGGGAGATTTGATGGAACGGGGGTGGAAGGTTAGCGGGCGAGGGCGCCCTGTAGAGTGGAGCTGCGCCGGCAGTGGAGGCTGCACAGAGCGCGGCCGTGGCGGCAATGGTCAGCGAAGGGCCCTGGAGCCTCAGCAGGCGAGCGCTGTGGCAGCTGCAGCATGCCCTGGTGCAGTGGTGCGGTGCAGGGACCCGTCCCCCCCAAAAGGTACCCGACAGGTCTCCATGAAGTGGACTCAATTCAATGCTGCTGCGTCTGGGAGGTTTCATGGAACATGTACTCCGTAGGCAGCTTGAAGATTACATGTGCGTGTGCCATCAATGTCGGTGCTGCTAACGTTAGGCCTGACTCTAGATGGCGTGTCCATCTTGGACTTGGGTATACACAGATAGGGATACTGTTCCTATACAGCCTACGGGTGCTGCGGCAATTACTATTGGCACAGAAACATTGATCCTGGGGCAGGCTCGTCTTTGTGCCCAGCGATAACCTGTGGATCCTCGAGCACGGAGAATGTATCTGCATCCCGCCTGTAACACCCTGTGGTGGGCATTCGCAGGCAGACTTGACGAGTCAATAAACTGGAGCAAAGACCGGAGGGTTCTGCTTGATAGAGCAGAGTCGATGCTAAGCCCGGATATCATTAGCACCTCCATACTTGTGCCTGATAGTCCCAGTAGAACGTGCATGGGTTCCGAGATGACGCAAGGGAGATGAGTTGCAAAGTCACTGTCTTATCCTTTTCCTTTGTTGGAGCGGGTGAGATGAATGAATGGTAATTGTAGATACGGGGTTGCAGGGAATCATGCTTATCAAATCTACAAGTAGAGTAGCACAGAGGAATGGAAGCATTCACCAGCATGTTGCCAGAACAAGCAGCACATGTAAGAGTAATAGTGGCGGTGTGTCGCATCCAGGGCCTGCTTTGGACGATACAGAGACCGCGGCCACGACCAGGGGAGAGCACAAGACAGCATCTGCGAGAACAAGCGAGGCACACGATTGGCAGCGGGGAGCGCCAGTGGGTGAGATCCCGTCTGGTGCTGCCCATTTACATGTAGTATGTATACGAGTATGTACCATCCCAAGCTGGCTTGCTCACTTGCATGGCATGATATGGATGACGGCAGCACTGGGCAAATCCATCCGATGGCGTGGACACAGATTGTTGGCCACGGTGCCCAGAAAGATGGGGGAGAGGGGGAAAGGATCTGCTCGCGCTGTGGCTTGTACTGATTGAGTAAAGTATCGTGAAATCAATCCCTTGTGCTAGGAGCGATATTGATTTTTAAAAACTGCATGCTCCAACAGCTGTGCATATTATTGCGCCGGTGGCGGATAGCTTGGACACTATTGAGGTGAATTGCATTTAGACCGACCTCAGCTCGGCCATCCATCCGGGCCAAGCTTCTTAGCTTTATCAGGGCCATCAAGTGACATGCTGATAAGGTCGCCGAGCTGGATCGTGTTTCGCTGCATGTTTGAGATGCAATTGATACCTGGCCTGCACGCGAAAGCAGATGCAGCCTTTGAGGTCTACTGATGGTGCTCCAAGCGCTGTAGCCACCGGATCGCAAATGAAACTCAGTAAATGTATTGATGCTTACTGCATTGCCATAGTGCATCCCTTTATTTCCCATCTTTTTCGGTCTTCTGCCATAGTCTTGCTGCAAATGGAGTGATTTGCACCATCCAATACGTGCATCTCAGTGATGGATGGCCGATGCAGGGCTGGTGGAGACTACATTTGAAGCTACTGCGCGTACCACGTTGCCAAGTCTGCCAATGGACGTGCTTTCTCGCCTCGACCCGCGAGTTCTGGAACGGCGTTGGAAGCTGCGCTCTAGAATCTGTGCACACCTTTCGCCCTTTTCTTCTGCATTCTCCCCTGGCCATGTCTCACTTTCCAATAAACTAAGAGCTTGCCACCAGCCAACAGTTCGCACAGCGAGAACTGCTTTACGACTCGATGTCTCTTCCGTCTTTCTCGTCGCTGCCTCATCCGCATTGAAAACGAGTCGCGGTGCACTGTGGAGAGCCAACATGGGGCGCCGGTGAAGAAGCGCCTGGGGGTCTGGTCGGCGAGTCCGGCGGATTCAGCGAGCTGACCAACGCTGAACTGCCATTGAACCTTCAGCGTTCTCTCCATGCCATACTATTAGCGATGGAACCTGGGGCCTCTGGCTAGTCGTTTGGAGTGGGCTGGCCCCGGCGACCGGCTAGCAGCAGCAAGCTCTCGGAGGAGAGTTACTCAGAGCATCCTAGTGCGGTTCTCTATCCATTGTTTCATCAAGACTTGGGATATTTGCCTGTACGTGCCGTTGCTACAAAGACCTACCGTCTTGACACAAATTGCTGACCATTGGCCTGGATACAGAGCATGCACGAGCAGTCATCAACGTGAAACACATGGGTGGGCAGCGGCTGAAGGGCTGAAGGAGGGGGCCGAAAGCCTTGGCTCTCTTGACGTTGGTTCCAGGCTCTGACGAGCAGATAGCCTTGATGGATAGACAGGCAAGCCAGATGGCTGGGGCAGCGTGAGTGCCGTAACGGCACGACAGGGGAGCCGCATCTGGGTAGGGATTTCGCCACATCTGAAGTGGATGGAAGCGCGGCCTTTGCAATTACAAGTTGCTATAATCAATTGCATGTACGAAGCAGCCCAAAGACATCTGGACATGGTGATGGAAACACAACGTCTCAATCTTTCCCCCATGATACAGACAGGTATCCAGGACGAAGTGCCACTAGCAATACAACATCAAATGCATTGCGCCACTGGAGCAGCATCTCCGGACAGCTGCCAACTTGTGGCCAATCATGTCTTGTTGCTGCTTCCTCTATTTCCATCTGAGGGCAAAATAGCTCTCCCTTGCGCGCGCTGGACAACGCGGCGGACGGGGGCTTGCCACAAGATGTATGGATTCTAACTTGATCTAGGTAAATGAGAATGCCTGCCAAAGAGCTTGGAATGTAGCTATGAAGTAGTATGTCGCATCTTCAGGAACCCTTTCGTCTTGCGAATCAATTGCCAATGCATGCAGATCAGGCCGATTGGCTAACCATTGCTTTGCACAGGTAGACAAGTATTGCGGCAGCCTGTCAGTCAAACAGCAGTTTATTCCTTATACTCTGCTCCATCTGTGATACGTACAATCTGCTACACATAGCATCGACCCGTCATCCGGAAAGAGATACAAGAAGCATGCAGCAGCCGTATGTTCTATCAGACTGCGAGTATGCCGCTCAGTCTAAGCCATACGGCAGCTCGCGTGCTGCTAGCACTGATGCAAACGCCTCCGCTGCTTCGCCCGGGCTATTTCCCTGGCCTCGGTTCACAAAACCCAATAAGTAAATGCACCACATCTTGTCTCCAGACACACTAATACTCCATACCCGTGTGTATGGACTCGAGGGCTCTATGGACAAACATCAACTCCCCATTAGCTGGTGTTTGGTTCCCATCCCCGCTAGCCCACGTGTCGTGCCGATCCCCGTTACAAACACGCCGCTACCTGGAGCGTCTGAGCGTCACGGGACGTTTTCCAAAGCCCAGGGACGCACCAAGCTCAGCCCTCTGGCGTTGATTTGCGCCTGCAAATGTTACCAGAGACAAGTCACAAAGCCTTAACTGGCAACAGGCCTATCTGCCCCGTAAACGCCCCCTGGCAGGGCTGATACTCCGTATTATTTCTTAACAGTACCACGGATGATATCTGGCTGAATCCTTCCTCACAGCTAGGCATATCGTTTTGGCTTCGGATTACTACTCTCACACATCTCTATGCCGATAACCTCGCTTTCTCTCTGCAGCTTCGAATCGTGATTACTTTAGCTCTTTTATCGCAACAGCTTTTCAATTCTTGATTGTTCAGTGATGCATGTTGCTTCGCCTGAGCTTGCTGAGGCGAACTATGCGTCAACCCACGCAGCCGTCGCTTCGTCGCATCCGCCGCTTCGTCGCATCCGCATTACGGGCTCCAGAGCTTCGTAGCGCAAATGCTCAGCGCGGCTGAGGAGGCTGGCTCGGAGACGAAAGTAGGCAAAAAATAGTAACAGCCACTATCACAAATGATCAATTGACATAGTTGCCCCTTGTCTACGTCCTACTAACTTGTTCCTGTATAAGTTTGGGAATGGCGAGGTCAAAAATGCTACCTTTCTGGTAAAGACGCCGGCACCAAGAAGCGGCAGTCTCCATACTTTGGACTTGGTCGACGGCCTTGCTAGCGGCGTTGATCATGATGGGTTTGCCTCAACGACGCGTATTCACTACATCGAGACAGAAATGCTTAGATGGCACCAACTTGAGCCTTGTCATGTCTTAGATCGTCTAGTCTAATGGCGCTGTTTGCACTCTCACGATGTACACCCCCTATTTCCCCGTACAGAGTTTACGGAGTAATTATGAAGTGCACCACTATCCAATTGCCACTAATCGGCATGACTCGTATGTCGCATTCTGTGGGGAGGGCATGGCATTGATATGCCGGAGTCATATAAAACTGCCGTGTTTACAAACTGCCGACCTACTAATTCACATGGGATCTCAATAGATATGTGATTCTACAAGGCTCACCGGCAAAAAGGGGACATTAGCCGACGACTTGGCAGAAAAAAAGCTTAGAGGACATGGAGCCGCATACGTGTGGGCAAATCGGAAAGGCACGCGGTTAATATAAGAAGCGAAATAAATAAGATGCTTACCAGAGGGGACTTGAAAAGTTGAACTGTCGTAATCGCTTGTTCTAGCTCTTCAGAAGCGTTTCTCTTCAATAGGTCCTATGACTTTTGAAATGAAGCTGCTAACAATGACTGCTTCTCTACTGATTGATTTTTGTCCTTAGCTACGTTGATCTATTAGGAAACACCAGGACTAAACCAATCCTTCTACATAACCACTCGTAGAGTAATGTACCACTGAAGCTAATTGCAGCGAATGCCAAGAAGGTACCTTTTCAAAGCCTACTACATCTGGATAACACAAGGATCGTGACATGCAGTTCACCATAATAGGACTCTCAAGAGTATTGATATATCAATGTGTGTCCGCACATCTGCAGAAGTTGTATTACATACGCTAAACTCTACTGAACGCTGAGATGGTCGGGTTAACTAGCAAATATAATCACTGCTAAGAACCTAAGCTGCAATGCGTTTCTTACTGTTTGCTCATAAACAGGGGATTTCACCCTGGCCATCTCTTTCACTAATGGAAAAAAGGCCCTTTTTTCCAGACTCGTGTCTGAGCTGCCCTACAGACTCACTTGTGCTGCTTCGTATATTGTACGTGTGTCAGCTCACGCTTGGGGCACCCGTCGTCGAATTCGCTCGGATAACTCAGCGGTCTGTTCGTCTACAGCTTGTATTACCGTCAATGCTGCAAGCTCCCGGCCATTTGCAGGGTTCGTCGGTATGCGACGCACGCACGCGCGCACAGAGGAAAAGTTGTTTGTCTGTGCTTGGCGGCACCTCCGAGGCCCCCTATTGCCTATTGGGGGAACTCGAGTGCGACGGTATGGTTGAGAGTTTGTACGCTGTTTGCTTGAAGGGTAGCAACATCAATGCAGATGCTGCGTTGAAACGCCAAATCCAGCAGCAGCAATACTATTTGTTCAAAATTTCATCATCCCAACAATTGTTAGCCTACGTTATGTGGTAAAGTTTCCTTGAACACTAATATTGAGCCAAGGCTGAACTACATTCATAGTCATGAAAATTAGGTACTTTTCTCTGACACTTTGTGAGAATGTATTAGTTGTTGTTGACAACTGAAGACTGATTATGACTTGCTACACATTCTTCCGTGTTAAATCAAAGCAAGATGCGACAGATGTCTTCTATGCGTCTATTAAGAAGGATCATTTAAGTCTAATTGGTTAACTATAGCTCAATCTGGCATCTGTTTGCGACGAGTCAATACAATGGCCCTACTCTTAATTCTCAATTGCGGTAGGTTATAACCCATTACGACATTTAAAGAAGTATGTTTGTCGATCATCAGTCGTTCCCAGGCATCTCGCAGTGCATGCGCTAAACGTCAACGGAAGGTCAATCCGAAAAATCAGAAGAGGAAATAAAGTCGTAGATACAGTTTACTTTGGAGAATCCTAGTCATATTGTTGGACCCTTATCCAGCTATTTTGCTGCAGGTTATGGGTTTTCCCAAGCCGTATAATACATGACGTCAACCTCAGCACGAGCTTCGCGAAGCGTCACCATGACCTCAATATTTCAAGCGAAGTGAAAACAAATAAATACGAATTGTAAAGAAGCCAATTGAACTTCAATCTGTACATTAATATCAATTGAACACACAATACAGCTACCATGGCATCTACAGTTCGTCACATCACCCAAATTTCACGTCGTTGCATACCGGCCATCTCTCCCCGCCTGTATCACACCTCCACCACTCTTCGGCTCCCCTACAAAGACTCTCAAGACCGCGAATCCCTCAAGCCGAGCTCCAACAACGGCACGAGGTCGGCTCGAGACGACGATGTCGCGGACAACAAGGACGCCGCGTTCAATCCCCACAAGACGGATCCGGAGACGGAGCTTGAGACGGCTGGCCGGGGGAATGAGACGAACCCGCTGAGCGCGAGCGGCGCGAACCAAGAATTTAATAAGCCCATGGGAGACGGAAAGGAAGCGCATGATACCGGGCCTGGGAAGGAAACTAGGAAAGGAGGGAGGAGTGGAGGAGGGAGCGCGCCGAAGAAGGGGAAGCCGCCGAAAGGAGACTCGTAATCAGTTGTGAGGGGGCTTGGTTTAGGGCATCACTCTGTGGAGTAATGCTTGATATGGTCTCGCAGAATATGTTTGAGCTCAAATGAGGCGATTTCATGACCGCAATGGAAATCTCACTTACAGGTTCAAGTCATGCACGGAGCATCGCGATAATGAGTTCCGAGTATCGGTATCGTCGTGTCTTAATAGCATCATCTACATAGCAGAAAAGGGCAACTCCGCACCAAAGGATCATCTTAAGGCATCATCATCATGGAAACTCCTTGAACTTAATTCAAAGTCGCATCTGATCCAATCCCGGTAACAACGTTACAATCGCCTAGTCTCGGATAAAAGCATAGCTGAGAGGGGAGAAGGCGGGGTACTGCGGTAATCGAGCGATCGACATGCTATATAAGCCCATCATCTTGTCCGATCCCGGATATAAATACGAGATTGAATGTTGAAAGGAATTTTTGGTAATTGAAAGACATTTTGTTAAATAAAAAACTGTCAATATAACTATATCGGAAAAGAAAGAAGAAAATAAGAGGCCCATCGTCATCATGGCAGAAAGCCAAGCCAAGTTCGCCATATATCCCAGCCTTGTCGACCGCACAGTTGTCATCACAGGCGGCGCGCAGGGAATTGGAGCTCAGATGGTCGAATTATTTTGCTTGCAAGGCTCCCAAGTCATCTTCCTAGATGTGGTGGATGACCGTGCAGCGGCCGTGGTCCAAAGGATGCTCGAGTTGAAAGTCAAGCACAAGCCCGTCTACCACCACTGCGATGTCATCAAGATCGACGAAGAGCTCAAGCCCACGGCGGCCAAGATCCTGGCAGAGTTTCCCAAGATTGACGGACTGGTCAACAGTGCCGCGAGGGCCATGATGAAGCCGACAATGGACATCACGACGCAGTGGTGGGACGAGAGCGTCGCGGTGAACCTGCGGCACCAGTTCTTCTTGACGCAGGCCCTGATGCCGGGACTGCTTCTTGCTTCGGGCCATGCGTCCATCATCAACTTTGGAAGCATCAACTGGGCCGTGCCGGGATTGGGCCAGGTGCCTTATACGACGAGCAAGGCCGCGGTGGTGGGATTGACGCGGACGCTGGCGCATGAGTTTGGGCCGCAGGGCATCAGGATTAACAGCATTATGCCGGGGTCGATTGCAACGGAGAGGGAGATTAAGGAGGTTTTGACGCCGGAGTATAAGGAGAATCTTTTCAAGAGTCAGGCTATTCAGAGATTGATTCAGCCGGTGGAAGTGGCGAGATTGGCGCTGTGGTTGATTGCGGATGATAGTGCGGCGGTGGTGAGCCAGAGTATCAGAATCGATGCTGGGTGGACATGAACAAATTGGTTATAGAGTACATAAAGATGTTAGATACTAATGACTAAATCATGAGGGCATGTATAGAAGACGTTTATGAGAGCTCTGACGTGGAAAAATAAAATATCGTTTCAGTCTGGATACGTCCGAGGTATTCGCTTCTATAACTCATTAAGATATACCGCTTCGTCAAACTAACAAAAGAAAGAAAAAGACAAGCTGGCTACGCCCTACCACTGGAGCCAACCGCATCCATTTGCCTTGCCAAAGCTTCTGCTACTTTTTCCACTGCCTCGTCTACCACTTGTGTAAATGGAAACTTATTCACCTTTTGCTCCAAGTGCGCATAGTATCCCGCGAGGATATCTTTGTTAACATTGAGCTTTCGCACGCCAGCCGCAATTAGTTGTTGAAGGAGAGCGTCAGAGTAACCCGTTACGCCATGCAAGGCAATGAGGACGTTATTCGCTTCTGTGACTTTGTTGACTTGTTCGAGTCTAAGAGACATAGGAGTCATGCAAGTGTTAGACTCGTAAGAAAGATGTTAGGTAATAAGAGAACGTACCTTTCGAAATCTAGAACAATGCCCCGTGGGCCATATTCTCCATGAACGTTCCCAAACGCCGGGGCAAGCAAGTCCACTCCCGCATCCACAAACTGCTGCGCCTCTTCAGCACTCGTCATGAGTCCAGCCAGGTCAAGCGTATCCGAAACGCCATCTTCTCCGCCCTCAATCCTCCCTGGCTCTGCCTCCGTTGCTTTACCGTGTGCATGGCAGTAAGCAACCAGCTCCTTTGTCTTGGCGAGGTTTTCCTCCTTGGAGTGATGCGACATGTCTACCATGATGGAGTCGAACGGCAGCAGACACGCCGCCTTGACCATTTCTTCATCCTGGCAGTGGTCGAGATGCACTGCCACGGGGACAGAGGCTTGGCGGGCGGCCTGGGCGGCGGCGTGGACTAGGATGCCGTTGGAGGAGGTGATGGCCCAGGGGAAGAGCTGGATAATGAGAGGGGATTTGCGCCTCTCCGCTGCTTTGACGAAGCCCAGCACATGTTCTAGGTTATATCTACCAACGATGCAGGTGAGAATAAGAACTTTGTTGTGTATAAATATCTCATTAGATGTAATTTGCTACAATGTGTTATGATATCTTACCCAACAGCGGCGAGGACGCCATACCGGCCTTGGTCAGCCGCTCGCAAGATGCGCAGTGTTGCATTGTCTTCTGGCCGGGCCAGCCCCATCGTGGCAGTATTGCGAAGCCAAGATTGTATGTTTGCTTTCTATATTCCCTCTTCTATTTTAGCTAACTGAGAGTTTATATAGGCGCTGTAATCACAGGTCATTGTTGTGTCTCACGCAGCGTAACCGTCCCCTCGCCCATCAGCCGAGTCTGCGGAGCTCAGAGTCTCCGCAATTCCGGTCGGACCCGGGTCCGGTTTTCCTAAACAGGCAGTCGAGGACGAAGCTCGAAAAGTAAAAGACATTTGGTTGCAATACATGTAAATATATGTCGACTATCATTTCTGATCGAGCGTCTTTTGTTATGATAAGGATGCAAGAGTGCCGAATCGGTCAAGACAACCCTGGTTTCTTCAGCTGAGGTGCGCCGCCCTTGGCAGACGCGATGCTCCGGTAGCTGACCCACTTGTTCATCCTGGTCCCTATACAGGCTGGCTTTGCGATTAGTAAATGACTGCCCCTTTGCCGTCGAGAGAATAATTCCATTGGAAGTGGCCAGAGCACAATTGGAGAGGCAAAGCCTGCTGACCATTTAATAGACAGTCCAACTTCTCCTAGGTGTCTTCTTCCCTAGCATATGCCGCCGTTCTACAATAGTGAGCCATGCGTAACGAGCAATACGAAGATTGGAGTATGAAAAAGGTCTTGGAGCCTAGATATCCGAGGCTTTAGCTCCGAGATGTAGCTGAACATGTGGAGCTGGAAATAGCATGCATTGATGAAGGTCTGGTTTCACAATCACGTCAACATGGGCTCGTGATCCGACGTGCATGGTTGGACATCGGCTGTTGTTTAGCCGATACTAAACCACATGATAGAGAAGGAAGAAGGCGCCATTACGATGGCTTAAGAGATGTAAGAAGTACTACTATTACATCTACGACGGAACCGTGCTTTGGAGCTAGTTACTAGTCCATCAACATTTGGACACATGCTGAATTAGACAAACAATTGCCGGTTATGTTGCTCCATAGTAGCTCTGTTATCATTAGAAGATACGATGATATTGCAATATTAGTCAAGTTTGATAGAAAACACAGATTGGCCGAGGTCATTGTCGATTTGTAGGTGGCTTCAGATGAATAGCAAGCAACCTCTTTCAAGGAGTCTTTTACTGGAGCATTCACAAAGCTTTTCTGTATTAAAGGGCCGTACCTAAGTGCTCTCAGAGCCTCGCTTTTATGGCTCCTGTTCAACACAATTCATTTGCTGATTACTGAAACGAAATGTTCGACTAACGCAACCTAGCCTCGAAATTGGGACAACTTCAACACCTGAACTAGCTCCCAAAGCCAGAAGCCACCGTCGTTGTTTGCCATTATACGCCCTACAATCAACAAGTCAAGTCAAAAAAAGAAGCTATCGATTTGAAGCCAACTCCCTTGATCGAGACTCAAAAGCCGTCACATACATACGACTAGTAGCTACAAACCAATCACTTAGAGGCCACCTTAAACGTGGCGCCATGTCCATCGGTAAATCACCCGCTGCTGACAAAGGACCAGAAGCCACCCGACGGTTTGCGAGCTTGCGACTAACAAGCACGATCAGCACGAATTCTGGAGCCTGGCGGAATCAAGTTCCGGCCTCTAAACTATGGCAAGCATCGGCAATCTTGCAAAATTGAAGAGTATACGAAAAGACTTGCTTTGGTGCCCGCCTTTGACGAGCGGAGTCTGGGGCATTGTCGGGGAAGCGGGCCAACCTTCTTTTGGGAGAGGTTGGGGGGTTCTTGGAGACATGACTCGCGACAAGGATTTTAAAGCGGGTAACGGCTCTTGGCCTTTCTGACTTTTCTTTTTGGCTTCTAGCGAGGGGAGAGGAACAACTTTAATCAAGCCATTTTTGCTTGGCTTTTTTTCTTCTGCCGTGTAAATCCTTTGAGGCGGTAACGTGCAGCTGCATAAAAGATTGGCTGATGATCCTGTGGCTCTGATGGGGCCGAGACTGGGTATATGCGGCTGGACTTTTTCTTGTCTTTTTCTTTCCGGATATGGCCATTGTGAAGCATTTGACTCACTGAAGGTAAGACTAGACTTTGGTCAATACAGTTTCAGCTTGAGTAGTAATATGACAACGCCCTGTGAGCTTGATTTCAAACCCAATCTTTGGTACGGACCTCAACCTAGACGCAAGATCCGGGGTAAGCCTGCCAAGAGACTGCATCCCGTTTCCCCCCAAAGCTGTTACGTTTTTCTTTCATTTTTTTACTCATAGATTCCAGTTCCCCGCGAAGTATCATCAGAGGAGTTCCCTAGCCCTTCGTGAAAAGCCCCCCATGGAAAAAAATAAAGCCATCATTATACCAAGTGGGGAGAGGGCATAGAGTCAGCAAAACGAGAACCCACCAAAAACTCCAGCTCCCCTCTGCACCACCAATACAAAGCCTGCTTTTTAAAAAGACAAGCGCCGTCCTGTACTTGCATTGGAAAACTTGCCTCCAGCATCTCAGCAACCCTGTTCTAAGCTTGGCAATTACCTAAGAGCAGCCCACGGGCTGGACCAGCCACACGACTAATTGTGGGTTTTGTCCATGACATGAGCCTGCGCCCTATACAAATCCCGGGATTAGCTACGGTCCATCTGGGTCCTGGATGGGGACCCTCGCCATGGAGCCTCGCGCGGACTGTGCCTTGGCGGGCCAACGAACCTTCGCCAACGGTGGATACAGAGAGGCTTGATCTTCTCATACGAACAAGAACTGCCTCAGAAACTAAGACGGGCACCTTGGCTAGCGGCAGTTACATGGCTCGACGCTGTGCTTTATACTGCTTTTGTATGTTACGGGGAGAAGTCGCTCCATGCTCTGACCCATAACCCGGCGTAGGGTCTCACGGAATGGAATCGCTCTTGACACCAGACATGCCTTTCTTGGCTCTTGCTCTCCGGTCCCGGCTATCGCAAATCTCTTTTCTGTGGCCACTGACTCAAGGTATCCGCTTTGCCTGAGTTAATCAAGCTGTTGGGCCAGGATGTTGCGTAACATCGGAGAGGGCTGCTGTTAGTGTTGCAGCATCACCGCAAAATACCTATAAAGTGGTGTTGGGCGCCCTTTATCTTCACTACCCCGTCGTTTTGCTCCCCTTGCTTTGTTTAAGGCTGTATAAATCCCAAGGCTTCTAGAAATCTTCTAGGCCTTACCAACCAAACCCACCCTTGCGCAAACGTACATAACCGTAGTGTTAGTACGGGAAAGGCTGCTTGCGGCGCCGAAAGATCCAAGTGCCGCCGCCGCCGATTGCAGCCCGCGCTACGGAACTTTTTGAGTGCTTATACCCCAAATTCTCCAAAAAAAAAGAAGAGAAATAGAAAAACAGAATACACAAAATGTCCCGGCGGGCTAGCTCGGGCGACTCACCACCATCGGTGGGCGCAGAGGAAAAGGGCAATTATGGCCAGGAACCCAAGGCCGTGCAGGACACGGCTGTGGTGCGTCAGTCAGACTATGTGAATTCCTACGATGAGGAGGATTTCTGGACCAGAAATGGCCTGAACGCAAAGTCGTTCCAGAAGAAGCACTATGGCCTGGGATTGGTGGAGCTGGACCGGGCGATGAAGACTCGACACTTGCAGATGATTGCGATTGGAGGCTCTATCGGTGCCGGGTTTTTCGTTGGTTCTGGTGGTGCGCTGGCCAAAGGTGTAAGTTACAGTTCATTTTTAGGGAAACGACAAGTTGGAGATGCTAACTTGTTAATTTAGGGCCCCGCTTCGGTTCTCATTTGCTTCCTCGTCGTCGGTTTCATGGTCTTCAATGTCGGTAAGTCTCATACCATTAAAACCACCATCCACAACAACTATTTCCACGAATTCCATACTTATAAAAGCGAATAGTATATGCTCTTGGTGAACTTGCCATCATGTATCCCGTTTCCGGAGGTTTCTACACCTATGCCACCCGCTTCATCGACCCTTCATTCGGTTTCGCCGTCGGTTGGAACTACTTCTTCCTCTGGTTCGTCGTCTTACCGCTCGAGTTAACAGTCTGCTCCCTCGTCATACAATATTGGAACCAGGATATCAGTGTCGGCGTCTGGATCACCATCTTCTGGGTCGCCATTATCGTCATCAACGTCTTTGGAAGCATTGGTTATGCTGAGGAAGAGTTCTGGTCCTCTGTCATCAAACTCGCCGCCACCGTCGTCTTTATGATCATCTGCTTCGTTCTCGTGCTCGGCGGTGGTCCTTCGCGCGGTAGATACAGCGAATATGTAGGAGCACATTATTGGCACGACCCTGGCGCATTCCGCAACGGCTTCCGCGGCTTCTGCTCCGTCTTTGTGACGGCGGCCTTCTCCTTTACTGGCACTGAGCTCGTCGGTCTCGCCGCAGCTGAGAGCCGCAACCCAGTAAAGTCGCTTCCCAGCTCCATCAAGCAAGTGTTTTGGCGAATCACCCTGTTCTACGTGCTTGGCCTCTTCTTTGTTGGTCTTTTGGTTCCCTCGGACGACCCCAGACTGCTCTCCAGCGCGGCTTATACCGATGTCAAGGCATCGCCTTTCGTCCTCGTTGGACTCTATGCTGGCCTCAACGGCTTTGATCACTTCATGAACGCAGTCATCCTCATTTCCGTCATTTCCATTGGCGTTTCCAGCGTTTACGGCGGTTCACGCACCCTGACCGCCATGGCGCAGCAGGGATACGCTCCCAAAGTCTTCACCTACATTGATCGCTCCGGCCGCTGTCTCCCGTCCACCATCGTCATGCTCCTTACCGGAGCGCTCGCCTACATCAACCTCAACGCCTCGGGACCTACTGTTTTCAACTGGCTGCAGGCTCTTTCTGGACTTGCTGTTCTCTTCGCCTGGGCCGCCATCTGCCTGGCTCATATTCGGTTCCGCGCCGCATGGAAGTATCACGGACACTCTCTCGATGAAATCCCATTCCGAGCAATCTTTGGCGTCACCGGGTCCTGGATTGGACTGTTCATCTGCTTCATCGTCTTTGCTGCTCAGGTATGCTTCAGCCGTCTTCTAATATACATTCAAATGAAGCTAACCAATTCTCTAGTTCTTCACTGCCATTGCTCCTCCTGGACAGCACGGCCTCAACGATGCCGAGGGCTTCTTCCAATCATATCTCGCCCTTCCCATCGTCCTTGCTTTCTGGATAGCTGGATATATCTGGAAGCGCACTGGTTGGTTGAAGCTTGAGCAGATCGATGTTGATACTGGCCGGCGTGACCTGAACTGGGATGAGATTCGCGCGTATCGCGAGCACGTCGCTTCTATGCCTTCATGGAAGCGTATCTACTATCATCTTTTCCAGTAATGAATGCGATAAAAGCTACGCCTGGAACAGATGGTGTAGCTTGCCTAACAGTTTGCGTTTGATTAGAGTACATTAGTTCTGAAGTATATATATGCCTAGTAATATGATCACTATGATACCTCGAGCCCTGACTTGTCCATTCTCTTTTACATTGCGCCAAGTCCTCTGATTGTAGTCATGAAAGGCCAAACAGTAAGGCTACTTGAACAAACACAATTTCTCTTCAAAAAGTTCCAAAAAATAAAGATCTCCAGGATAAACTCCTGAAGAACGGGTCTGGCCGGGGATTGAACCCGGGACCTCTCGCAAGCAAGCTTCGGGTTGTCCCTAAGCGAGAATCATACCACTAGACCACCAGACCGGTGATGATGTGAGGACCGTGTAAATGTAATCGGCTCATCAAGATTTGCAGCCGAGTGACGATGCAAAAAGACAACATTAAACCAATATCAAGAAAAAAGAAGGGTCTGGCCGGGGATTGAACCCGGGACCTCTCGCATATAAGCTGTAGGGTTTTCCCTAAGCGAGAATCATACCACTAGACCACCAGACCAATTATGACGACGATGATTCGTCGTTGAGAGACGTCGTCCGTATTGTACTCATGAACGCTGCAAGAAATCTGCCGCAATGTGGACGGTGGATCGTGGATCTTGATTGTGGATTTAGAGCTTGAGTCAAGCATCGAGAAAAAATTTCAAAGAATAGCAACAAGAGCTTGGAAGCGGTATCGGAGCAGACCGCGGTGGGGACCGTGCTCGGAGCACATGCATCACGGCGTCGTCCGCATCGGAAGCTGGTTTGGTTACATGCTCCGTATTATGCTCCGAGAGTGGATGGAACACTCGATTACCCAAAATCTCTGCCGAATACGACCTTGAGAGGCAGGGGGTCAACAATTCTACAGGCTGGCGATCTGATAACTATCACTACATGGCTCTATTATTCATGTGAGAAATTTGATAGCTTCGGCATGTGTGCTCTCAAATTACCAATACATGCATATCAGCTAGCAAACGAGTATGCGGTTCTCAACAATCAGGCGATAGAGTTAATGCCCATGTTCGATTCAATATGCTAACAAGCCACTAAATTAGCTGCATGACACATGCTAGCCTCATATACTTGCTTTTTTAGAAGCCGTTGAGTCCCTGTCTCGTCTAATTCCACATGCCGCTTATATCGTCTCCATCACTGTACCTAGTTCAAGCCGCAGCCGCCTTCGTCTGGTCACTACCCTAGCATAATGGCAATCCCATCAGGCCATTACATCAAACAAAACTAGTAGTATGTCAATACTAGTCCCAGCACTATCCCTTGCGTTATGACCAGCTTCTTCCCATAGCTTTCATATACTAGCACGGGCGTGGGGGTCCTTCGGAAGACGCCGCTATGCATCCCTGCCAGGGTGATGATTATGTCTCGGGTATAGTGGCTTCATGGAGCGTGGATGACCCAGATGGCTGTCTCCAAAGACGTAGACAGTTCCATTTTTCTCAGGGAAATAGTAATTATCTTCAATATATCGTTCTGAGTCTAGGGCAGCACAGTGAGATCACATTCAATGGCATATCAATATGTCCAAAACGATTGTCTAGTTGCACATTTCCAACCTAAGGTACCCTTTGGCGGAAGGTGACTGCTATGTCGTCACCATCATCTCTCTTAATGATATCTGTATCAGCTATTGCAAACACATGATGTAAGCCACTTCTCCGCTCGCAACGACGCACGATCTCTTTCCTAGGTTAATCATATAAGTCATTATAAAGACTACTAGCTGCCTCCTAAAAGTAACAAGCATGTAAAGACTATTCAGGGGAAGTTGACTAGCGGAATAAGTGATTGAACGAAGTCAGCTGCACAAGGCGACTAATGTCTTGTGTTGCATATTCTCGAAGATGACTATCATGATATGATAAAACAACACAAGTGAGAATTTTTAAACTGTCAGTCCGATTCATTTTGGCGCATTAAAAGGTGTTCATCTTCTATGACACAGCACCGAAGAGAGGAATCGAAAAAATAGACAGGTAGGTAGTTATCGTTGCCAATTGGCGCGACAAGAGACTTTTTATCCTCCCTGTCTCTCAAAAATATAGAAATATGACTTCAGTCTGTAGGTTTTACTAATTTATTCAGCTACTTGCCAAACCTCAGAAACTTCAAAAATGTCATCCATACATGCAGCATGAACACCCTGTGGAGCGAATTGCTCTCCGCTGAGCATACACACAACCCATACTTGCGGCTACTCGACTTGTCGTTTTAATTCTTATACCAATTGATTAATTTTCTTGAACTGCATCTCAATTACAGTAACAGCAGTATTTCATGATCAACTTTGGTGGTTGTCTTTTGGCGCGAGATCGGAAGATGCGGGGCGGACAAAAGTTTCTTATGGTCCGTGACTCACTACAGCTATTGAAGCTCGACTTCACATATTTCAATCGTCATTCCTGGCCCAAAACGCTCATTCATCAAAAGGCGGCCAGGTTTAAACGGAAATTTGCAGACCGTTGCCCATCATCAGAGAAATGGCGTCCCCAGATCCGACAATTGATCTCCATTGGGGAGATTATCGTGGTGGTAGGATATTGCCATGCGCTTCATTTTCTTCATGTGTAACATGTTCTCACACTTTTTTTTATAGCAATCCACGAGATATTTGCAAAGAATGCCAAAGCCTTCCCAGACAGAGAGTGTGTTATTGAAACCAAGAGCTCACACAAAAATGAGCGCTCTTTTACATATCGCCAAATCCATGAGGCGTCCAACCTACTAGCTCATCACTTTCTAAGCCATGGATGCAAGGTTGGAGATGTAGTCATGATATACGCTTACCGAGGGTTGGTACTCTCTGACTATCCTACATTAATTGTTGGTTACTAATTGATCTCTCTGACAGCGTTGAACTCGTGGTGGCCTACATGGGTGCTCTCAAAGCTGGCGCGACTGTCAGTGTGATTGATCCACAGTATCCTCCTGAGCGCCAGACGGTGCTATTAGATGTCGCCAAGCCTAGATTCCTTGTCTGCATCGAAAAGGCAAACGAAGAGTTTGGTCCACCTTCTGACCTCGTCTTGAAATTTGCCTCGGACAACCTGAGCCTCAAGTCTACTATTCCAGCACTGGAGCTGTTAGACAACGGCGAGCTGAGTGGGGGTTCTGTCGATGGCAAAGATTCCCTCGATCCCTCAGAATACAGCCGAGAGGACCCTGCCAATGTTCTCATTGGACCTGACTCTATTCCTACTTTGAGTTTCACCAGTGGTTCGGAAGGAAGACCCAAGGTGAGACTTCTCATTATTAAAGGGGCATTGTTCTGTCGAGATGATGACGCCCTCTGGATCAACAGATTCAACCTCGTAGGAGCGTGCTAATAGTGTGAACAGGGTGTTCAAGGTCGCCATTTCTCTTTAACTCACTACTTCCCTTGGATGGCAGAAAGATTTGGCCTCTCAGACCAAGACAGGTTCACAATGCTTTCGGGAATTGCCCACGATCCAATCCAGGTGAGTCACCGTCCGGTCTAGTTTGCCTGACTTTGTAACAATCTAACGACTCACCATGTATAGAGAGATATCTTCACGCCACTCTTTCTTGGAGCTAAAATTATCATCCCACCGGTAGATGCGATTGCTTACGAGCTCCTGGCCGAATGGATGAAGGAGAACAGCGTCACTGTTACCCACCTGACCCCTGCGATGGGCCAGATCCTCGTTGGAGGCGCTACTGCTCAGATCCCCTCTCTTCGAAATGCCTTCTTTGTGGGCGATTTACTAACGAAGAAGGACGTAAACAAGCTGCGCAATCTTGCGCCCAACACCAGTGTCATCAATCTGTATGGGTCGACAGAATCGCAACGGGCAGTGTCCTACTTTGAGATTCCAAGCAGGGCACGAGAGCCCCTAGTCCTGGATACCTTGCCGGATATCATCCCAGTTGGCCAGGGTATGCAAAATGTTCAGCTATTAGTCGTAGACCGCGACGATCGGTCTCGACTGTGCAAAGTTGGCGAGCAAGGAGAGCTCTTTATTCGAGCAGCCGGTCTTTCAGAGGGATACCTGGGAGATGACGAAAAAACCACGTCTCTGAACAGCTCCAAGTTCCTTCTCAACTGGTTTGTCGACCCGACCATCTGGGCTCAGCAGGAAAATGGTACGAGTGCCGCCGAGGCTTACAAGCCATGGGGCTACAAGGGACCGCGAGATCGCCTGTACAGAACCGGTGATCTTGGCCGGCGCCGTGAAGACGGAAGTGTAGAGTGCACAGGAAGAATCGATTCTCAGGTCAAGATCCGCGGTTTCCGAATCGAGCTGGGAGAAATCGATACACACCTTTCGCAGCATCCATTTGTTCGCGAAAACGTCACTCTAATTCGAAGAGACAAGGACGAAGAGCATACGCTCGTCACATATTTTGTTCCTGAGACAAAGCGCTGGTTCCAACACGTTCAAAAGGAAAGTGGCCAACTGGAGCCGGAGTCACAAGATGAGTCGATGGGCCAAATGCTTCGAAAGTTCAAGTCGCTTTCTGAAGACTGCAAGAAGTATCTCGCTACCAAGGTCCCCAAATATGCCGTTCCTAGCCTCTTTATTCCTCTTGCGCGGATGCCATTGAGTAAGTCCTTTCCGCCTTTTCTTCTTCTCTGTTATGAAACATGCTTTAGTTCACGATTAACATGCAATATTCTATAGATCCCAATGGAAAGATTGATAGACCTGCGCTTCCCTTCCCCGATGCCGCAGATCTCAGTTTCCTAGCGAAGCGACGAGCCTCGTCCGTATCTGTCAACTTGACACCTACGCAGGCTCGCCTAGCTTCGATCTGGGCCTCTGTGCTTCCAAACACCTCAGCAAGAATGTTCAGACCAAACTCCAACTTTTTTGACGAGGGAGGACACTCTATTCTTGCACAGCAGATGTTCTTCAGCCTTACCAAGGAATGGAAGGACATCAATCTGCCGATCAAGGTGATATTCCAGTCTCAGACTCTCGAGGCTCTTGCTGCAGAGATCGACCGTGCTCAAGATCCCATCGGCCTGCGCCTGGATGCAATGCCCCTTGATGGAGACAAGAATGTCGAGGACGAAGCGTATGCCATTGACGCAAGGGACCTTACAAGCAAAATTCCCAAGTCTATTCCCACAGCAGGTGTAGTCACCTCACCTCGCGTGCTTTTAACTGGCGCTACTGGCTTCTTAGGTTCATATATTGTGCGCGAACTCCTCGAGGGCCCTATCAAGGCCAATGTCATCGCCCTCGTACGAGCCAAGGATCAGGCGGATGGTATCGCTCGACTGGAAAAGGTAATGAAGGCCTACGGCTTATGGTCTCAAGAATGGATAGCTTCGTCCAGGCTTGAAGTCGTGGTGGGAGATTTTGGAAAATCGCAGCTTGGCCTTTCCCAGGACGTTTGGGCCCGCCTCACCACAGAGGCTGATGCCGTCATCCACAACGGCGCCCAGGTCAACTGGATGTTGCCGTACTCAAGTCTTCGAGCAGCCAACGTGCTTAGCACACTGGCCTGCATTCAGCTTTGTGCCACTGGAAAGGCCAAGAGGCTGGCATTTGTTAGCTCAACCTCGACACTAGATAACGACCATTACGTGGAGCTCTCCAAGAAGGCCGGTGCCGTGATGGAAGCAGATGACCTCGAGGGAAGCCGCAAGGGCCTTGCCACCGGATACGGACAGTCCAAGTGGGCAAGTGAGCTCCTGGTACGTGAGGCCGGTCTTCGTGGCTTGGCTGGTGCCGTCATCCGTCCTGGCTATATCACGGCCGATCCAGCATCTGGAATCTCCGTTACAGACGACTTCCTCGTTCGATTATGGAAGGGATCACTGCAAGTCGGTGGGCGCCCAGACATAAGCAATACGCTCAACGCCGTGCCCGTCACGCAGGTCAGTCGTATCGTAGTCTCATCTGCGTTCCATCTCTCTGCGGCGACTGGACAGTCTGTAGCCGTGGCCCAAGTCACCAGCCACCCGCGGTTGACGCTCAACGACTGGATTGGCGCTCTTGAGGCCTATGGCTATGATGTCCCCATTCTGCCGTACCCAGAATGGTCCGCAAGGGTCAAGGAGTATGTCAGCGACGATACCAAGGAGGAGCCTCATGCTCTGCTGCCCCTTTTCCACTTCGTCGTGGGAGACTTGCCCGGCAACTCCATTGCGCCAGAGCTGGACGACGCCAATGCCTTGGCGGCACTGAAGCTCTACGAGCAAGAGTCGAATGTCTCTCATGCTGTGGATGTACAGTCTCTAGGCACGTATTTGGCGTATCTGGTTGCTATTGGATTCCTCCCTGCCCCAACTGGGAGCGGCAAGACGCCATTGCCAAAGCTAGACCTGGCTGCGTCGCAGATTTCGGCTGCCAGTAGCTTTGGCGGCAGATCTGCCAAGCCGTAAAAGCAAATCAAAAAGAAGAAAAGAAGAGAACAGAAAAGAAAAAATGAACAACGAATGTATGGATAAAAGCAATGTACAATATTTTTGGAGATTGCCATAGAGCAGGTTTCCATACATGTATTATAGTATCTTGTATAAATAAACCATCTTCTTCGATCGAGGGATCATCGATATTGAAACATTTGGCGAACCTAAAGCAATAATTGAGGCTAAAATATCTCCTGTGTATATGATAGATGTCAAAACTGTGATAGATCTCGCGTTTTTAACTTATTATTAGGACACCTGTAGTACTAGTTGCTTCTGGTGTAAGTGGCCAAGATGTGGATTATGGTGTGTCGATAACGCAGTCTCCAGTTGGCCATTTATTTATCATGATAATGACTTGCGCCCATTGGGCCAACCCAGGCTTGAATCTGTATAAGATATCAAATGTACATTTTCTTATAATAAATATTACTGATTCTGCAGCTAAGAACTGTATTTATTCAAGGTGATTCTGAGACGCTTGTTGCATACAAAATGTTTCTTATCCAGCAACTGATATCGCTTAATTCCCGGCTAAACTTCCAGTCTTACGTCACACCTCCAAAAAGTCGCCAAAGCAGCACTCACAGCGCGGCATCGGCAAAAGTGAGCTTCCGGCTCTTGGGCTTTCATTGGCCCATCTCGCTCTGGCAGCGCCAGCAGCAGAAGCTCAGGAAAAAAAGTGGGCAGAGCCAGAGCAGAGCAGCCTTGCCCGGCGCCTCTGCGCTTCTGCGCTTCTGCCGGTTCTCCTCGTCGTGGGCCAATTTGCTCCTCCTCCAACGTTTCTGGCGCATGACACAAGCCTCCAAGTCTGCTGTGCGAGGCTCCTCTCTATGACGCCGCATCTTGTTCGCTAGACGACGAACCAGCCGCTGCCACGAATAGATCTGCTCCGCCAGATTCTCGTCCCGTCGAATCTTGTGCTCGCCGTCGGCCTTCTCGTTCTCTACGCAGCTCTGCCCTCGTCAGCGGCCGGCCGGCCTCGGAATCTGCTCATCATGGCGTCGCAGCAGGTGCTCTTCGCCGAGACCATCGCCGGCATGAAGAAGGCTTTTAAACGAAGGGCTTATGGTGAGCTCCCTACAGACGTTTGACGCTCATTGCCGGCTGAATCACGCTAACACGGTCGCCTCGCCCACAGAATCCGATTCTGACTCCGAGATCGAAAGCTTCACCAACCGCGGCAACAAACTTAAGAAGAGGGCGCGTTTCGCACACAAGGGACAATTGATGCCCACGGCAGGGCCCGGCGCTTACAAAGAGGTACCACCTACTGAGTCTCGGCTGGGTGAGGCGCGATGGCTAATCTGACACAGTCCGTGGATTACGCCGGTGTGCGAAGGTCCATCATCCATCGCAATGCTCCCTTGGTCGACGACGACGGCTACGAGTTCGATAGCGACGATGACGATGCCCGTGTCGAAGAGGCCATGCTATCAGCCGCCGAGTTAGATCCGTATGCAAACATTCGTCTAGAACGTATGATTCGCGAAATTTCCGCTGGGACAGGGCCGCGCTAACTTTGACAGACATCCTTGCGCCGCTTACTGCCTCGACCGACCTGCCAATCCACCCCGTCCTTTCCAAACCGTTCACCTCCAATACCCTCACAGAACTAGTCAAGCAGAGTTCTCGCATAATGCAAAAGGAAAACCGGTCGCTGTGGCAGGTTCGACACTTGTGGACCTCTCTGTGTGGCGATTCCACGTGGGTGCCGTGTTCAACCATGGTCGGCACGAACGATATCGATTTTTATATTGAAAAAAGCACTGCTCGCCACTCTCAAGATTCCACAAAGACAGGCGAGGGGGCGTCTTCACCTGCCAAGCTGAATGGCGAAACCAGCAAAAACGATGCCCCAGGAACTCGGGCGACAAATGAATTAAAAACATCGAGTGAACACGATGCTGCCATTTCGGCAGATGCCGATGTGCCCATGGACGATGCCAATGCACCAGAGAAGAGGAAGACGCCTCCCAGGCAAGATGTGGAGATGATGGAAACAGACGACGGAGCTTCCAAAGAGCAACCCACAGCAACGGACGTCAATAAAGAAAACGGCAAAGACGCAGCCAATGGAGACACAGCTAAACTTATTAATGGCGGAGGGCCATCGACCGAAACTGCGAGTCATGGTCGTAAGAAGGGAAGCCGTCTGCCCAGCGAAGACGTGCATATGCAAGATGGCGAAGCAGCAAACGAAGCCTCCCATAATGGCGTAGAGGCCAGCCAGTCCTTCATCCATCCAATGTTCCTACCTCCCCCAAATGCCGCGCTTGATCGAAACCTTGGCTTACCTGACAACGAAGCTGAAGACATGAGGAAGCTTCTATCCCTATACGTGCAGAAGCAAGAAGAGGTCTGTCGGGGGGCTGCCAGGCTCCACCTGGGCTTGCTGAGAGCTCAAAGACTTCGTAAGGACGTGCTGCATTGGTCAAAAGCAGAGGCACACTCCGGACCAAATCGAGACATGTCAGACGGCGAAGACTGGTACGACAAGGAAGAATGGGGCCTGACAGAAGACCTCAAGAAGGGCCAAGACGAGGAAGAGGAAGACACTACCACTACAGGGAAAAAGACGAGAAATAGGCGATAAACATGTCACTATGGGCGGCGTTTTTCAAGGCGTTTATGGGGGAAGGGAAGGGGTAATACTACCACACCAGCCACAAATCGTGGATGAGCTGATGATGACGATTTCTATCTTGTGAGGGAACCTGAATGGATTTATAGATACCACATGCTGGCCCAGTGTACCGACTGGATGAATATAGGGCCTCGTCCTCGATGCTGGGAGCGCGGGAGAGGGGTGAAGGGCAATGGACTTTTTGTTGGATTTGGGCACGCGAGCTATTTTTTGTTTTCCTATTCTGCTATTATCCAGCCAGTCTCATACATACATACCTGTAGCCCGTGTATTTTTAGGATTAGCGGCTGCATTCCCCTTGGCTTTCTCATATTGAGGTTAGTTCTCATACGGAGTAGCGGGATTCTCCTGAACGGTTTTTTTCTTAGCCAGCCCTATCATTTTCCCGTTGGCAGACGCGGCTGCTGTCGGGGGCCTAGTTGGAGTTGACAATTTGCTTGTGACAGACGCCAATTTTGTTGAGGCCCCATCTAAGAGACCGCGAATGAACCAATCCCCGCATCCGAAGGGCTCAGACAGCTGCCAGCCATCCCGAGCAGGGCAATGACGCTATGAGCTTGCAGCTTTCTAATTCTCTGGGACTACATGCGGAATTCGGAGTAATAGACGCCACGTTTCCTTCTTGTCTCGCCTGTGATTGAGGACGAATTTTAGACATTTTTTTTCTTTCTATTTCTCTTCCTTTTTTTCCTTTCTCCACCTGCAGTTGTTTACTTTCCCAAAGCCACCTACACACGCAAACTCGCAATGGCGTCATCATTCAGCATCGCAGACCTGGTCGACTATGTCGATTTGGACAAGAAGAGCCTGTTGAGTACGTGAACAACGCTTTTCCGGAGGTTGAATGAATGCGTCTAATACGATGATTTGCGCATCGAAACAGTCTCAGCATGCTCAATCATCTTTAATCCGCTGTTCTGGAAGTAAGAGGCGACACCCGTCCCATTCCTCTTTCACATGCAATTGGAATGACTTTTGTTTACTGACGCATTCTGATTTGCAGTATTGTTGCCCGTAAAGGTTCGAAATAGGGTTCTCGCAATCCGCGAATCGTATAAACAAGCTGACTGACAATCATGAACCAATTTTCACAGAGTATCACAACAAGATCCTAACACGGCTATTCGGCGGCAACAACTACACCGCCTGCTATGCGTTCGCAATCACAATCTTCTCGCTCGGCCTCGTCCGCGACTCGCTCTTCAAGGCCGCCCTGGAGGAGCAGCCGTCGCATCCGCTGCTGACGACGCTGCTCTCGCAAGTGACCGGATACGCGCTCTTCGCCTCGGGCATGGTCCTCGTTGTCTCGTCGACGTGGCGGCTGGGCATTACGGGAACGTTCCTGGGCGACTACTGCGGCATCCTGATGGACGAGATGGTGACGGGCTTTCCATTCAACGTGACCTCGGCGCCGATGTACTGGGGCTCGACGATGAGCTTTCTGGGCACTTCGCTTGCGTATGGGAAGCCGGCGGGTATTGTCTTGACGGGCCTTGTGCTTGTTGTGTATATCGTTGCGCTGCGATATGAGGATCCGTTTACGGCTGGGATTTATGCTAAGCGTGAGCGCGAGCGGGCTGCGGCCAAGGAGGGCAAGAAGCAGAAATGAGTTTGGCACTGTTCGGATCTAGACTTGACTGCCGGTGTATCCCACTTGTACAAGTAGTATTGGAGTGTTGAGGATTGCGCCGCATTGGGGAGTCAACTGAGGACGGAGGAGAGGAGTTTCCGACATTTTAGCATGGCGTTTTGGGCAACTACTGAGAAAGAGGGAACCAAAACAAGTCTTTCAACAGACTCGAATGCAGTTTGTTAGTGGAGGACAAGGGGAGTTTGATCATTCATATGAAGAAAAAGAATGGGAATTCCACATATACCACTAGATGGATGGGCCGTCAAGGCCAAGGCTAGAGAGACAAATAATATTTCAAAGCATATTTTGTTTAACTTTGACGAATTTATACGTTTTATACTGGCACAATCAATTTCTATTCTCATAGTGATTCACGACATAAATGTCCACGAGGCTGCATATGTGAGATCGGCATAAGTTGGCAAGACGGATCCCAGAGTCGCATTCCGAACCGAACACCGGGATAAGCCCGATGCGCTTTCTTCGCCGCTGATAGAATTTGAGTCATTATCCAATGTAGCACTAGCTATAGTATCTATGAATGACATTGCATACTCTTTTTGCAAGCATTCACGCATTTTCAGTAGTTGTGATTGGCAATGGCTATCCTGATGTAACGATCGCCAAATACTAAGGCATCTCGGCTTAGCGAAAAGAACCGGCCAGACGCGGGTACCAGCCCAGTCTGGGGAACCGCGACGCCAAAAAATGCCAAAGCCCATCTGACCTGCACCGCAGAAAAAGAATTAAGCTAGAGGACCCGGATGGCCTCCACCCGCCAAAATAGAGCAGATAAAGCTTCCGGGGAAACCCGGTGTAAGAGGAGGCGGGGGAGGGCCAGAATTGGGTTCAGGTGGTATATTTCGTTTCCTTTAGCAGGGGCTTGGAAGAGTTTGCATCGTTTACACGGAGGATATGCGTCATGATTGATTGGGTGGCAGCCATTGGTGCCTTTGGCCCGTGGTTATATGCTAGAATACATACATACCCAGTGAGGATGCTGCTCGGCATCATTTACGAGAATAAACAGCTCTCCTTGCATCCTGTGCCCAATGACAGATAAGTAGTCAGCTGCAGCACGAAAAAGAAATAAGCTCTTGGCTAGCCTTTTGGCCCTTGGCAGAGCTTTTATCTTCCGGACCTTGCCTGTCCTTTCCCATTTCAAGTGATTCACGAGCTGAAGCCACTTTTACTTTGCCAGCATTCCTTGCATCGCCGAGGCGGATCATACCGGCCGGGAGCATTTTCATCCTTCTCACTCTCGGACTTGAACCAAAATATACCAACATCTTCACGAAGAAGAGGACGAAAGAAAAGAGAATATCGGATGATGTTTTATTGAAAGGTGTGCTGGGTGTTTTACCAAATCAAAAACTCGGGCCGCGCACCGGATGCAGGTCTTCCCGGGCAGATTCGGGGGCTTGGAGAACCGATGCCGTAACTGATATTGTGGCTCTTCCCGAACGGACGGGCCTCCTTGGATTCTTCTGCTAGTTTCAAGAACCTTCTTATAGATCGCCACACATCACTCCTCAATCTCACTCTCTCCACATTCATATCAACTCAAACAGAAAAACACAAAGAAGAAGCAAAGAGAAAAATTTCAGTTTCAAGAGGACATGTCTGGGCCACATCAAGCAAACAACACAAACACAAGCCATCTGTCCCTATCCGGCCAACTTTTGACCTCCGAAAACGCCAAGTCAGCTCAGCCGGGCTCCACTTCTGTCGTTCGAGAAAAAAACTTCCAGGGAGTTTGTTTGAGGCAGTGACCTCTCAATAAAAAAAAAACAAATTAGATCCCGTCAACTCCGGATCCTGAAATTCGTAGCTCTTTTCCTGCTGTTTTGCTCTAGGGCTATGCCGGGACGCTGCACTGGCGCTGCGCGACTCCGTCACCGCTGTCGTTTGGCTGTCTGATTCATAGGGGGGCCAAGACAGGTGGAAGGCGTTCGTTTCAAGGGAAGAAAAAAAAAGTTCACTGAGCTTCAAAGGGCACGTCAGCTAAATACTGGTCGAAATACTTTGCGCTTTCTTTTTTTGCAATTTCGGTTTGGTTTTTAGAGGCCAGGTGAGAGAAGTGGTGACCATAGCGAAACACCGACCTGCAAAGAAGAGCAGACGAGTAAGAGCCATGGACAGGATACCAAACACCCAAGGCGGCGCCGCCAGTGCCGCAGACGACTCAATTGGCGCTCAGGCACCGCCGCCAGCGGTTTCGTTCCAAGGAAAGGCCGCCGACGGCAAAGACCAGAGCGCGCACATCGCCGCAGGCATCATGCTTGCGTCTGTTGGCGGCGACCAGGATCGCAACTCTGTCGCGACGTCAAACGGGCGTAGTTCGGGGACAAGAGACAAAACGCCGCTCGCGAGGCTGAGGCATGTCTTGATCACGTTTGGCAGGTTCGTGGGGCCTGGATTCATGGTGTCTGTTGCGTACAGTAAGTCTTCATTTCTAGAGAGAGTGATGGATGACTCAGACTTCCCCTGCGATATTCTTGATATGAGAATTAGAAGTTGACATGCTGACTTCAATTATTATAGTTGATCCCGGAAACTACTCCACCGACATCGCTGCGGGCTCCTCCTACCGCTTCAAGCTCCTGTTCGTCGTCCTGCTCAGCAATCTCTTCGCCATCCTCCTACAAAGCCTCGCCATCCAGCTTGGTACTGTCACTGGTCTGGACCTCGCAGAGGCATGTCGCGCCTATCTGCCGCGATGGCTCAACTACTTCCTCTACGTGCTGGCAGAAGTGGCCATCATCGCTACTGACATTGCCGAGGTATGAATTACTGAGCTATTCACTGATGGATCCCTAAGCAGTCATATGCTTACACTCTTTTATTCTAGGTCATTGGAACGGCCATTGCGCTAAATCTCCTTATCCCCAAACTTCCCCTTGTTGCAGGCTGTGCCCTCTCCATCCTCGACGTCATGGCTATCCTCATCTTTTACCGTCCAGACGGCTCCATGAAAGGCCTCCGCATCTTTGAGTTCTTCGTCCTCTTCTTGGTCCTGGGCGTCGTCGTCTGCTTTTGCATCCAGCTCTCGCTGATCAAGCATACCAGTGTCGGGGAGGTCTTCAAGGGCTATCTCCCCTCCAGCGCCATTGTCCAATCTAATGGCTTGTATCAAGCCTGTGGCATTCTCGGGGCCACTGTGATGCCTCACAGCTTATACCTTGGGTCAGGCATCGTCAAGCCCCGGCTCAGGGAATATGACGAGAACCACGGCCTCATGCCCCAGGATCCCGTGTCGGCAGCGTCGTCGACTATTGATGAGAGCTACGATAAGGTCGTGTACATTCCGTCTCTCGCAGCCATCAAGCACTCGCTCAAATACTCCATTGCTGAGCTTTCGCTGTCGCTTTTCACCTTTGCGCTCTTTGTCAACTCGGCTATCCTCATCGTTGCCGGCGCTTCACTATACGGGAACCCCGATGCCCTCACCGCAGATATTTTCGGCATTCATCGCCTGCTCTCCGACAGCATCTCGTCTGGGGCCGGAACCATCTTCGCCCTGGCTCTCTTACTCTCAGGTGTCTCAGCTGGCATCGTGTGCACCATTGCGGGCCAGATGGTCAGCGAGGGCGCCCTTCGATGGAAGGTGAAGCCTTGGCTACGACGCCTCACGACGAGGTCCATCAGCATCACCCCTTCTATCATCATCGCCGGCGCAGTTGGACAGGTGGGCCTGGACAAAGCCCTCAACGCTTCGCAGGTGGTTCTCAGCACGGTGCTGCCCTTTGTCACATTCCCGCTCATCTACTTCACTGCGCGATCTCGGTATATGACGGTGCAGCCGGGTCGAGCTCGGCTTCAAATTGAATCAAGGGAAGAAGACGGAGAGGCAATTCGCGCGCCTGGTATAGACATGTCCAATGGATGGTTTCTTATTATTGTGAGCGCCCTTGTTTGGTTGCTTATTGCGATAATGAATGTCGCAAATTTGGTATTGCTAGGGCTGGGCGATTCATAGAGCATTCGCCGCAGCTGACGAATGTTTTTCTTTTCTTTTCTATTATCTTGATTTTTGAGAGCACATTGCATAGCGAGTTAGAGCTAGACCACGATACTGCGAGAGCTCAATAGCCCTTGGCAAGATACTTTGTTTATATAGCAAGCACTTAAATTGTATTTACGGATGAGAATATGGCATGATGGAGGAGGCTCTCGGCATTCATCAACGTATAGTAATTATATACATATGTATAGACGGTAGAAGGAGCTTGGCTGTTATTGTACATACAATATATATCAACAGTCGATCTCGCCACGATATGAATACCCAGGTACTGTAAACTGGGCTAGAAAAGTACCTGCATACATACATGTATTCAGTAAATGCTGACCGCTCACACGCGCTATCGCAGCCGTCACAGCTACTCGGGGCACCGCTATCGCAGCTACTGGAGACTTTGCCTTCCAAATCAAGACATTGATCCGCTGCGAAATTGCAGAATTATGGAAACACGAACCAGACTACAATTTAAAATCGGCCGACTCAAAGACAAAGAGAAAAGACCCCCTAAAGAAAAAGCGACGTCACTTATGCCCCCACCGCGCCTATGGCGAAACAGCAGCAGCCCCGCGTTTCTTCAACCCGAGCCCAGCATAAGGGTCGCTTTCTGCATTTCCGAGCTACCAAAAGGCGCAGCAGTAGCAAGAGACTGTCTTCAGCTTGTGCCAGTCGTTTTGGCGATTGAGGCAATTCGAGAGGCGCTGTTTGATTGCATTGCGCGAGATATCAGGCGTTGCGAAAGCTTGTTTTATCAGCTGAGCTTCTTTGCGAACGTGGCGCTCTCAAGATTGGAGCTATCGAAGCTGAACTGCAGTACTGAGCGAGCTTGTTCAGCATTGTACACCGTATTCTTGATCGGCAGACATTCGTTCTAGAAGCAACATCCTCACGTCCAAGGCACAGCAAGCTGCGAACTTGCCCATACCTACTTGCGCGGCCATCTGAGCTTCAATCTCTACCGCCCAGCATGTTCCAACCAGTACGACAGACATATCCGCTGCGAGAGCTCTCCCACGCTCAGCTACTTCAATCTTCCACGATCTTCTGCTAATGCCCATTCTAGAAGAAGCCCTACTCCGCCGTCACGGTCACCATCGAGACGCTCACGTCCGAGGCCTACCAAGAGGACGACGTCGGCGGCATCCCCGACCTCGTCGAAGTCATCACCATCCAGGCCTCTGGCCCCACGGAGGCCGCGCGCGCCATCCGCAAGAAGCTCAAGTACGGCAACGTGCACCGCCAGATCCGCGCCCTGGTCCTACTCGACGGCCTGATCCAGAATGCCGGCCCGCGCTTCCAGCGAACCTTTGCGGACGAGCCTCTGCTAGAGCGTCTGCGTGTCTGCGGCACGTCTGACCTGTCCGACCCGGAGGTGAGGAAGAAGTGCAGGGAGCTGTTCAGCAGCTGGTCCCAGTACTCGAACAAGCCTGGCCTGGAGAGGATCGCGCGACTGCACAAGGAGCTGCCGAAGCGCAAGGTTGGCGTCACGCAGGAGAGATCAAAGGTGTTGAAGGAGACGGAGAACCCCTTTGGCGACGAAGAGGACGATGAGCCAACTTCACCCAAGCCTTCCAACGCCGCGGGGCCGTCGTCTTCGTCTCATAACCGTTCGGCACATAGCCGCGAAGGCTCGGCAGTCAACTCGCTCAAACACCAACAGGCGTCTTCACTGTCCCTGTCCAGCGGCGGATCCATATTTGGCAGCGGCTCTTCTAGCTCTGATAAAAAGAAGAAGAGTAGCAGCAGCAAATCCAAGGGCAAGAAGAAGCCGTTCAATCTAGAAGCAGAAAAGGAGCAGATGAAGTCTGTTATCGCAGAGTCGTCGCTGGCAGCTACAAATTTGGGCAACGTGCTGCAGACTATTAACCGTGAGAAGGAGCGAATTTCCGAAAACAACCTGGCTGTGGAGAGATTTGAATCCTGCAAGCTGCTTCGTAGGAAGGTGTTGCGCTACGTATGTCACCAAATGTTCATTTACTTGGGGAGAAGATTACATTATTTAGATGTCTGCTTGCTAACCTTAATCCGTGGGAATTAGATTCATCATGTCGATCACGAACAGTGGCTTGGCCCTCTCCTCCACGCCAACGACGAACTGGTCCACGCTCTCATGACCTTTGAGCAGCTAGATCAGTCTGTCGACGCTGACAGTGACTCTGACGACGAACTCGCCGAACAAGCTCACTTATACCGAAGTAAGAACTGACTCTTTCACCTAGCCTATCACTTTCCCCTTTAATTCATCATCTCTGGGCTAAACTAACCAACCCGCCTTGTGAAACAGTGGCCGCCTTGAAAGGAAAAGAGGAACAGGTCGCCAAAGACGGCACGACCTCCCCAACCCGGGCCGAGCACCCTGACATTGCCGGCCTGAGCATCAACTCCCCACCAAGACAGACTCCGCCGCCCCGACCATCTGCCAAGCCGGCCTTTTCAGCACCACCAATCCCTCCGCCGCTGCCTTCGAACCCGCGACCGGCAGTGCAGGAGAGGCAGGATTCCTACCAGTCAGAGGAAGAGGACGAAGACGATCCGTTTGCGGACAGGAACGCTATGTGAACGATCTTTTATCGAGGTGTCTCTTCGCGAGAGAAAAAAAGAAAGAAAGAAAAATCACGTGTGCAAGCTTTCATCTATCTATCGTTCTGATATCCCTCTGCTGTTTGGGCCTTTCTTTTTAGATTAATTTATTCTTCGATTTACTGTTTTGGGGAGAGAGAGAGAGAGACTGCTGATATGGAAGTCTGTGGTTGACGAGTTGTTTGAAGCGGGCGAATCTAATGGTTCATGAGGCCATGATACCAAGTATTTGGACTTTGCGTGTCATTTGGATTCAGTTGGAAATAATACGAAAATTATGCTCAACTTTCCCTTTCTAAACTTGTTTCTCGTTTGATAAATCTAATTCATGAATTCTAGTTGTATGAAAGGAAAGGGATAGAGAACAGATTCATCGCTCAATGCGGAGCCATTCTTTTATTAACCTATACACAATGAGCTCTTTTTGACTAAATAATAACATTTTTAACAAGCATTATATACTGCTTTCATTACGAGAGATACAGACAAACACTATCTGCTATATCCTTCAAATTTCACGGGTGGGGAATGGTATGATGGAGATACTATCCATTGCAAGATCCTCTACGTCTCGATTAGATATCTTCTCAGGTACGCAAATTAGGTACATATACGTCATATGCATCCAAAACTACAAACACGCAAATCTCATTTCGAGATCCCCCCTCCCTTGAGTAAAAAGCGCCAAATAGCTTCAGGGTAGGCCCATCCACTAATGCACTCAATATGTGCCCACGAAAACCCCCTCAAGCGATAAAAGCTCATGTGATCCAGTATTTCTTTGACATCAATAAGTTTGCCCCGGGTGGAACCCATGTCTCAACTTTCAATTCTCTCAGAGACCCAACTCGAACCATTTACCCCCACATCGAGAGTATAAGGAGACACAAGAGGGGATGCAACTCTCAAGGTGCATGCCTCTTCGCTATTTGCTAGGAAACGAGCGAATAGAAAGAAAAAAAGATGGTCGAATCACGCACGAACCAACAACCCACCTTTGTTCGGAGACTTTTTCTGATACGTGAACTGACCATCTTGGAGAGGGGTGTCCTTTTGTCTTCCTCTCTCTCATTGCGTGCAACACCTTTTTTCTCTTCCTCAATGGGCGGTCTAAATAGGCGCTCCCGGCGTTTGCTCAATGTACTCGGCGTTAGCCTGATCCGCCGCCGTTGGATCTTCCGATGGACTACATATATACAACTAGACACAGTCAGCAGCCATGGAGCGATCCCTCATCGTGGCCGTCAGAAGACGCTAGCCAGGTGGCTAAGTGTATATCGTACAAAGAAAAGTATGAGACATCCCGGATGTCTGCTTATTTTTGGAAATGTCACTGGTCACTGTTAGGGCAGCTGGAAGATGGCAACGCCATGGAAGTTTGTCCTAATGCTGCTGCTGCTGCTGCTGCTGCTGCTACCTGTATTGAGTTCGGATAGACAACCGTAGGACATATTAGGCAGCAACTTCACATGCCTCCGTCAATGGCGCCCGCTGCGTGTATTGAATGAAGGGCTCCATCAGCAAACAATCAAACATTGCTACTAGGGCCAGGCGAGGGGACTCCGAAAGACAAACTGTGTACCCCAACGACAACGAAAGTAGCTCCCATAATACGAGCCATCGTTTCAAAGGCATGGAGTACCTACTTGAATGGCGAGAATTGCAACAAGATCTGTCATTCGACGTTGGAAAAAGCAACGCACATCGAGCCTGCTTACCGGGAATATGTGCACGATCTCTGGTAATGCCACGAGGTAAGACGGGTTTTGCCGCTGCTTCCCCCAGACGGGAGATTGAAGCTCAGGACAGAGAAGGGATCAAGCAAGTGTCATCAGCGCCCGGTAAATTGACTCTCCCGAGTCTTCGTTCCAGACGAAGCGCTGTGAAACATGACACTGCGGTCGAACAAAGCGTCTACTGCCACATGGTGTCGTGTGCTCTCCAGGGCAGTACCGCATCCACGTATCCCCTTTCTGACGTTTCCGGAAGCATGGGGGCCGCACGGAGTTGCCGGGACTCATAGCTAGCTCTCTTTGTTGGGTAACCCAAAATAGACGGTGCAAGGATGCGAGGAGAGTCAGCTCTCATCATCCCATCGGGTTCCAAGCTACTGGATGCTTAGAAAAAATAGTGAATGAGATGTGACGTTCAAGGCGCCGCAGTCCCTATCTTGTGAGCGATAGAAGCTGTAGCGATTCTATCCTCCTCCTCCTCCTCATCACCCCTCCTTTTGCTCCATCGACGCTACTGTCCATAATGAGCGTTGATTGGGTATTCTAGTTTCATTAAGCGATCAATGCTAGCCTTTGTAGCGAATAGGTGATGAGGATCTGTGTGTATACTTGGAACTAGGATGAAGCCACCGAATGTACGGAGTACTCCGTGGCGCCTTGGTCGAAATTCGGACCCAGTTGACAATAGCAACTGCTAGTCACCGGATTGGGCCTAAAGCATTGTTAATATGGCCCTGATCTGCTGCCCCAAGCTTCTCCCCGAGAATTCTCAACGCTAAAGGCGCCTTGTGTGTACAACAAAACGTTGTGTCCTAGTGGTTTTGAGTGACCGGGGTTCAAGGCGGTTAGTACGTCTTAGCTTGCAATTCAACATGCTGCTATACCAACAGCGTTCTTTTGAACAAACTCAAGGGGAAGCCAAGCCAAGTAGGTATTGTTGGTGGCGCTGTTGTCAGAAACTCGGCCTGTGAGAAATCTCTCTCGTTTCTGCTGTTTATTTGCCATGTCTAGTCAAGGGAAAAAGTCTGTAGACTGATTGGTTCACAGGCTGTCGAAATGTTCAATGACGCGCTGTCCCTGCGCGCTGATGCTAATATTATCCATCCGCCGAAAAACGGCTGCAAGTTACCGTGCAGATCAGCTGTTGTAGTACTTAATATATTATCCTGGCCTCTGATTTGCGGCGACTGGGGGTAGCATGCGTGATGGCCAGTCGTTTGTTTCATCTGCGTGGTTTCAAGATTAAAAGTCTGTAGTGCGACATATTCCTTGCATGCCACCAGCCATTTCGAGCGCGCCATGCGTCTATGGCTTGCAAGGTTGTATATAGTGTTAGGAGGCTCATCGGATATCGCGATCCAAAAGCTAAGATGAGCCTTGGAGAGAGGGGTGTCTGCAAACTGTGGAACATGTCGTGGTATGCAGGTATTTTGGGTTTATGATCAATTTCCTACACGCTAATGTCGAGGCTGTTGAATGCAATTTCTCGGCGAATCGTGGATTGCTGTACCAAGTGCCATGAGCTAGAAAGCTGGAGAGCCACAACGTCCCGAAAGAACAGAATGACGGCATTGTAGGCCTGTTGATCATCCATCGCGCAGGTGACCTTTTGTGTAGCGGTGCCTAGTGCTACGGGCAGCTGTAAGATTTTTTTCCCTCGAATGGGGTGGGTGGTCAGCTAGCTGAATTCCTTTGACCGATCCGTCACTTGTGTCCCCTTGATTGTTGATGAATCATTTCAAGCTGGTGCAACTTTGTTTCTCACCACACGTTTCCCCACGTCAACTTCTCAAATTATAGAAAACAAGGACCACTCATCTGCATGCAGAGCAACTCGAAGGAAAAAGCCACTCTACTGTCACGTCGTGTGAATTGTTGACTAAAGAGGTAAAATACGCGCTTTAGCCCAGGAGGAGGTTGTGTGGAGGTGTTGATATTGGTTACTGCCATGTACCAAATAGGAGGGTTACTGCTAGCAGTAGCGTTCTTGCGGCGGATCACGGAAGCCAGTAGCCGATCATGATGATCATACTCAAGCGCTCACCGGTATTGACAGCAAGGGGTGGAGGATAATTGTACCGTACTACCTACCAAGTAGGTGTCCGGCTATCCATCCGTAATCTGCTCAGTAGCATTCGGCTCCGTCAGCCATGCGACGCTGCGGTTCATTGGCTGCGGCTCAGAGAGAACTCAAGCTTCTCGAACTCTCAGAGAACAATACCCCAGTGCTGAACCACGCACGTAGCGTTGTTTAGTTGTGCATAGTGCTCCATATTGGTGCGTACTTGCGTCCCGCTAGTGACGGCGGGGCTCGTTGGAAAGCTGGAGTTAGTTAGGGAGATGCACGGGGCTGGGATAAGCCTTGTCTCACTTGGATAATCCCTACACGCCGACAAGGATGCTGCTAGGAGAGTGGAGCTGAGTCGAGGGAGACTTGAGCCGAGAGAATTTCCAGAATCCTGCCACGTACGGCTAGAGCAATTTCCGTCAGGGATGCATGGACCATCGGCCACTCCTTTGCAGCCAACCAGAGGCAGAGACGGCGCTGTCGCGAAAACGAAGCGGCACTCTCTGCAGCCCACCCCTGGCGCGCAACGGCGACAGCGGCGGCGGCCAGAGGAGAGGGAGACTGAGAGGAATCCAAAGGGAACAACTGCACGGCCACGTTTGCGTCTTTGCCATGACGGAGCGGTTGGTCGAAGCCAAGGGAGGTGGGTGGAGTGTTTCATGCAAGCCTTGCGAAAAGCGGTCATTCTCAGCACGCCCGTGGCCGTCTCGTCGCTGCCTGGAGAGCGGCGTGACCCAGTTCTCCTGCTGCTGCTTGTATTGTCATGATGATGACGGCGTCCAACAGCACGTTTTTCTCGCCCACGACCTGCATGTCAAGATGTTTGCTCGAACGACTGATGGGGCCAGCACTAGAGCAACGGTCAGTCGGCTCGTGGCCTGGTGCATATACGAAACACACTTGCTTTGCTTCTCTCATGTCACGGTGGCAAGATGCCAGCGTGGTCGCCCACTCGGCGGGACATCTGGGTCCAACGGTTTCGATCCCGGAGCTGAGTTTGGACAAGTATATTGCACGGTGCGCACACACTCATTCGCACGCGCGGGCCGCTCCATCTTATCTCATTTAGGATGAGAGATGTGATCGATTCCGTGTGCCAAACGCCATGGCGGGCGGCCAAGATGAAACGTGCGCCCAGCGGCCGGCGCATGCTGTGCCTTTTGGATCGCGTGAGCATC